CAGCCAAAGAGGGCCGGCGATGACCTCAGCTGTTTGTCGGCCCATAAACTTCCCACTTTATATATATACAGGGTAAATATGTAAAAGATTTACGTATAATTTCTTTTGGGAAATCCTCTGACAGGATGATAGAAAATTGCTTTCAATCATATGTTTCTCGAAAATGACTCGTCTTGTTTGTTTAGGAGTGCTTGTTTGCTTATCGTACTCATTATGTGATTGATTGAACTATTTTAATTAACCGCCTTTTATAATGTTTGTGTACAATTTTAACATTGTTTAAACTCACATCTACTAATACAGCCTAAGTAAAATACAATAAATAATTCAAATACAATTCAAATTTTTAAAAGCGCTTTTATTTATTACTTACAAATATATATTTTTTATAATCATGTATAGATTTTTTTGTTTTGTAGTATAACATCAATTGGAACTTCATATTTTAATTAGTATGAATGACTAATTTTTGTTTGCCTTTAGTCATCGAAGATTGCATCTTGTTAGACAATGAACTTTATTGGTTTACCTTAATGATATTGAAGCAATATTTTAAGCAAAATTACGGAACAATTCTTAATCAATGGTCAGATTTGTATTTTATTTTTTCTTAAATCAAAAATATTAAGAATTTAAAAAAATGTAGTAATAAAATAAATTTATTAGCATGTCCAAATCACGTCGTATAACCTATGAACGATTTATTTATTTACCAACTTGCTTGCCGACTAGACAGATTATTTTAAAAAGATTTCCACGGTTTTCATCTGCGTGGCAGGTAGTATGTCAAGGTTTTTATTTTTAACCTAGTTTAATAAACCCACAGTTGCATGGAGTACGCATCAGTTGTTTTCCTTTTAATGGTTCGGTTTATTGGTGTTGCAAAAACGTAAAAACACATTTACGAGTTCTTTTCGCCAATTATTGTCACTATACTGTTAACTGTGTCCGTTTAAATTCCAGCCAATAACTCCTCCTTTACTGAAAATGAAATGATTATTGTAGGCCTTTTGGGCGCAAAGACCTTTCTCGAGCTATTGTAACTTTCTCATTGAAAGGTAGTAATAATGTTTCTTAAAATAGGTACTAATTGAGTAAAAACTTTTTAAGTTCTGGTTTGATTTTTTCATACCATTTTGGTCTTTCAGTCGGCATTTTCTCAACTGTGTTTGGTGTTTGGTCAGGGTTATATGCAGGGTAAGCAAGACAATAAAAACTATAAAAATGACGAAACGCACCCACAGACCCCATGGAGAAATTTCATTCCATAATTTAACTTGTTTGTAAGATACAAAGTAGTTCCTAGGTATTTAATAATTCTTCAGCTTAAGATTGTAGGTCCTTGTTTCATTGTAATAATTGTATCTACTGCTCAGATAAATAAGATTTCCGTCAAAACAATAATACGAGATTAGTAGACCTAAGATGGTTTTGATCATTGTGCTGTGCTTTATGACCATCCAGTACAATAAACTGCTTAGATTGACAAATTGTGTGTTTAATTTATTTGTTTAGTTTTATTTCACGTAATTGGTGGTGTTCAAATTGAATTATTTATCCACGTGCGTACGTGAGCTGGTTTAAGTGTTTCCTTATTAACTCCCGACTTCGTTCGTACTCTGTGATGTCGGTAGTAATAGTCTGTGTACTCCGACTGCGTTCGTGTGCCATCATAGACGATACGAAATAAGACTGATATGATAGTTTTTCACGAAATCTCTTCCAGCTTGCAACGTCTCTGGGTCGACTGAGAATAACGGGATTTTCAAATATGCGCGGTGTACTGATTTTGTTTTATCAAATTCGTGGAGTCGGGTGTTGTTTTGAACTATCGCCTGGTTGCCTTACACGCTGATAACGGATGTCGCTTTTATCTTGGGTTAAATATAATCTGCCCCGTTAGAACGCAATTGACGACCATCAGGACCCAAGCCCCGCCCAATCCAATGTATTCATACGAATCAATGTGCAAATATTTGATTTAAAAAAAAGAAGACGCAGGACGCGCTTTTTCACATTTAAAATGAACCATTAAACATCAATCTTTTATTGCACAAGGTTTATTCATTAACTTAATCAGAAAAGGGCCCCTCGACAACTCGGTCGGTATTATTACGCAAATCGGTTAAACATGGAGATATTGGAATGTAAGGGTTTCCTGTTAATGGCCGACCCTGATCTCGTTCATATTCAAATACTCAAACCATAAATTATTATTAATCCAATAAAATCGAGTTGATTTACTCATGTTCTTATTTATGAGACTTGATCATTTTGTCACCTCTAAGGTCTTTGGTATATTCCTGCAGAGATGAAATCTTGTTAGTTTGTTCAAAATTAGTTATCTCCGATCCACCTGTTTTCGTAGCGGCTCTCTTCTTTCGGTTTAATTAAATGTTTGAAAAACTATCCGTTTCGTTTTGATGATACGCTTGTCCGGAACTGCCGCGAGAGTAGGCAGATCAATGAAAAAACCCATGGATTTTGCGATGGATGTAAGCGGGTCACGTCAATATCAATCGAATAGTCAGTCATTGTACGAACTGTTCGATTTTAATCCTGAAAACGGGACGATTTTGCTTTTTACTAACTGAAACTTTAAAAAAAAGTCATTTTGATTGATAATCTTTCTAGACGTAGTCATAGTAGGAACTGTTACAATTTTAATCCTGAAAACGGGGCTAATTTTGCTTTTTATTAGCTGTAACTTTTAAAAACTGTCATTTTGGCCGATGGTCTTTCTAGATGTAGTCATAGCAGGAACTGCTACGATTTTAATCCTAAAAGGGGATTAATTTTAGTAACTGTAACTTAAAAAAATGTCATTGTGACTGATGATCTTTCTGGACATCGACTGACCAAAAATTTTAGATTATGTGAAATTACCTAGTTCTGATCAAGACTGGCTGAGAATCGTGCATCCCTTGAAATAATGTATGTAATAAATAAAAAATAGGTCGAATAGGTCATTCTTTCACTTGGTAGTAAATTAACAACAGAATAACGATGTAATTGTCAGGTATTAATTTTTATAACCGCATAATTAAAAATAAAGTTGTTAATACTTTTATTAAACGATGAAATATTGTACTGTCCACAATTTTCTATTATAGTACCTCGCATTAATTAACCATCAAGAATGGATGTAATAACATCATTCAAATCCTAGACAATGTAAACATTGCTTTGGCTAATGTTATATTGTCCCCATTTGGGATTTTTAGGCCTTGGACGAGATATGTATAATTTTCTTATTTGGAACATCAAGCTATATTGTGTCCAATTTATGTTCGATTAATAGCAACAGATAGTTATTTGGAGTAACGGTATTAAAATAAATAAAACTGGTCTCCTTTTAATATTCGTGCGTTTTACCATGTTTTGAAATTTATAAGATCTATACGTATAATATTTCAAAATTTTAAAAAAATCTATTTCAAATGTATATACAGTAGAAGTTTATAACAGACTGCAGCCAGTCTTTTTTTACAAAAAAAAAGGTAATTCTAAAACTAACCAATTTATTTAATGCGGCAATAAGGTTAAAACATTTTCCTGGAATATAATGGTGCGAAACCTTTCAGCCACCGAATGAAGTTCCATCATATAGATATAGACCAATATTGCTATTTCCAATGTTCCAGTTCTACATCACAGAATTGCTTATAATATGGAGATAGTATCTGTTTCGCAGTGTTTCTGGTGCTTTTAATAAGGTCTGTCATGTCTTTAAAAAAAGACCTCCGCCCAACCCAGTACGTACAACTTCTCTCCTCCTACCTTTGAAAGTGACTATTCCTAGCAAAGCAAGAGGGCGAATATTGCTTTATAAAAAATGGTTGGTGTTCCCTAGGGGAGCGTCCTAGGACCAATTTTGTATAACAGCTACTTGGATAATGGTATTGACGCATTGACAAGAAAACCGCAAAATATGAGCAACCGGTTTGACAGATGGATACAAGATTGTAAAATTAAGATAAATTGGCCATAAGTCAGTATAAATTAACTGTACTAACAGAAAAATCAGATATACAAATGATCATAAACGAAATAGTACTGACACCAAACGCAGTGATATGTACATATAGACAATTTAAAATCAACGGTTGGGCAAGGTTTTTTGTAGTAAAGCCGAGGATAAGAATAGGAAACAAAAAGAGAAAAAACAGGCGAAGTTTAAAGAGGGAGAGAAAGCGACAGAAAGAGAGAAAACCAAAGGAAATATTTTATAGAAGTCATGGTGAAATAAAAATAATAATCTGAAAGAGAGATAGATAGAAAGGTAGATAGATATATAGAGATGGGGGAGAGATAGGTAGGTAGATAGATAGATAGAGATAGATACATAGATAGTTAGAGAGATAGATAGATAGATAGATAGATAGATAGATAGAGAGAGAGGGAGAGAGAGAGAGAGAGTGTGTGAGAGTGTGTGTGTGTGTGTGTGTGTGTGTGTGTGTTTCATTGAGTGCGAAAGAGAAATGTACATTTGTTTAATCAATATTGAAGTAAATTAATGCTTGGTGGATTCCGATCAAGTAGTTGTCAGAAAAATTTACATTTATTATTTCTAAATTGATATAAATAAATAATAAAATATGTATAATATACACATATACACTTTTTTTTATTATTATCAGCGATAGTTGAAATCATTCAGGTATCTGTCAGGTTGAACTTTAAAACTATGTCATTGTTACCGATTTTTTAACGGATTATCCCCTACCACTAGTTTCCTAATTTTTTTGTAATTTACCCCACCAAAACATTTTCCACACGAAAACACAATTGGATAAAATGTAAATCTCAACAATAACTCATAATTAGGTTCCACGTGCCTTCGACGGAATTCGGATTGCGTAAATAAGAACGGGTGGACAGTTTCAACAATAACTTCAGTTGTCATTTCTTGAAAATAATAAGTAGGTTAAATGAATCCTAGGATAATCTATTATAGCAGTTGTAATGATTAATTATACATTTTTTTAATTGTCTTTCAGGCCGATGGCATTTTTCACCGAGATGTCCACGATGTGTGACCCTTTCCTAAATTAGTGAGTAAATTTTCTTTTATGTATATGTTTTTAAGAATCATCATTGAATTATGTCGCGAATTTATCGTGTGTTGTTTATTGAATTGTTTGTTTGATGCATCTGTAGATTTGTATATTTGTGTGAAGTATTTTTGATGTTTTCAATTAGATCGTTGTGCATTTATTATATTTAAGACTTACTTAGAAAATCTGAACATATAATGAAACAATTATTTCTAGATAATAAAACACTTGCTATTAAACTATTGTTATCAAAACAAAATTGCTTGTTTTATGATTGCATTAATATACTTGACAGCAGCTTTTTGCTTAAATTATGTTGAAACGTAAAATAATGGTTTTCTGTACATAAAACACCAAAAACCTAATGAACTAGGAAAGTATACTATTGGTACAAAACAGATCCCGGTCTTGTTTTTCTTTATTATTATATTTGTTACCTACTGACAATTCGCCATTTTGCGTAGAACGTTTGGTGCGTGTCATCAAATTCTGACACACGCCGATTGGTCGGGTTTTATAGCATCGGGCATGTTGTTCCAATTTACGTTCTATCTACAATATTTTATCGCATTTTCGCCCTGTCGGCAGATATTTTGAAAATGGATGAAAATCGTTTGGGACGGAAACTGTTCCCTCTCAAATCACCCGTGAACCCAATAATGGTGTTTACATGCTCTGTACGGTGATAACGGATGTTTATGTTTTTTTCTTTCAAAAATTATTCAGACAAAGTTAAATTTATTGAAAATGTTTCTTAGTATTCTCCTGTAATTAACAAAGATTGGCTGAAGGATGATTTTTTTTAATAATCAAACTTTCCCTTTTGGTTTTCAATAACTGAAATAATTAAAAACCATTATAAAATAAGCCACAGAAAAAATGTGTTTGTTTTTTAATAAAACATAGTTTAAATTGCTAATAATATTCATCGGAGGTTGTTTTGCTCTCTATTACGGTGTTTCAATTACAATTACATGCACGAGGAACTCTTTTTTCATAAAATTTTAATGCCTGTTTATCTCGAACATGTCCATTGAAATTACGCCGTGTAAACGTATTATAAAAAAAATGAATTCAGAAATATTTTAAAGGAAGTGAACGCTTTAAACAATGACTAACATTCTAGTTTTATCAGTCTTAAAATGTCATTATTCATATTTGGATCAAACACACCAATTTTCAGAAATGAGAATGACTAATGTGGATATTGTGGAAGTTGTGGAAAATTGGTGGGATAATCAAATATCAAATTTAAACTAGTGAAAGACTGCACAAACCCGTCAGCCGCTTATTACAAACTTGGCGCTGGACCAACAAGATCAAATGTTGATAGCCGTGCAGGATGTAACAAAATTTCAACCGATGTCGTTTCGAAGAATCGAGAAAAGGCAAACACAAACTGTAAAAATATTGCGGCTCGGTTTTTTCAAAATACTACAGCCATATTTGAAGTGGAAATGTTTGGGCGGTGTGGCCTCTAGGATGGGAAATTGAAATGTGCAACTGATTGACTTGTACAGATTTCAAAAGAAAACTTAGGCCTAGGCAGCATTTTATAAGACCATGCTTAAATGTCAAATGTTGTTCACAAATTAAACTGATCGCAGTTGATTGAAATCGCACATGAATAATATTCTTAATTGTTGTATTTAACTTATCACTTGTCTAGTGTTGGCTTTACTAATAATTATTCATAATTAGTTCAGGAAAACCTAGAAAATATTCTGTCGTGACTATCCTCGTTAAAAATGAAAGCCGATGTCTATTTGAAAGTTAAACAAAGTCGAGGCTATTACTTATTTTACAATTAAACTATATTACCAATTATAAATTACTTTGTTAAATAATAGCATTGCTATTACATTTATAAATATAGTAGTAAATGTTAATGTTCAACGTTACTCTCTTTCCATTTTTGCTTCATTTTCCAGTTCCTTCCCAGAGAACTAACTATAATTAGGCAAATCTTAAATGAAAATTTGATTTTTTTATTTTCTCTCTCTCTCTCCCTCCCTTCCTCACTCTCACAATTTCACTCTTACTCTCACTCTCTCTCTCTATCTCTCTCTCTCTCTCTCTCTCTCTCTCTCTGTCTCTCTCTCTCTCTCTTTCTTTCTTTTTTCTCATTCTTTTACTTTTCTCTCTCTCCTCTCGTTCTTTCTTCTTTATTTATTTCTCTTTCTTTCCCTGTCTCTATCTATATATCTCTATCTCTTTCTCTTCTCTCCCTCCTCCTCTCTTGTGTTGAATTTTTTTGTTGTCAAGTTGTTTTATTGATTTCTATTTTACGAGGGCACAATGAGATTTTTAATAATCATTGCATAATTATAAACATTATGAAAAACATAGCTGTTCTATTTACATTAGTCTGTCAAAAATGTACCGTTTTTCACATTTAGCCCAATTTTTATCAAAAAATAAGTTAACACTTATTGTTTACAACTGGGAATTATTGTTGGGTTTTGAAACATGTCGTTTCAAAATGGGTCGTTGACGTGTACAAGTAAACATTACAAATAATGATCTCATCATGCACACACAATCGGGGCTTTCAAGAAAATTGCCCTGGTGATGTAAGAAGATATGATTATAGGGTAGTTTCTAACTGGGTAGGCTATTCATAAAAATATTTGTGAATAGTTGGATTACACTTCAAAAAGCCTTTGGATTTTTCCTTTGGTGTGCATATTATACTGATGAATAAGTAGTTTATTACAAAAAGGAAATCCATTCAAATGCAGAAAGATATAACATTTTGATGGGCACATTTATATCTATCAATCTGATACCTTATTTAGAGATAGGCATTTGTTTATAAATAAACCTTGATGCTTTCAAGTTTTTTGTAATGAGTATTTAATTAGTGATAAAGTGTTTTTCTTGTTTAACTTGAGATATTCTAAGCAATATAATTTTACGACTACATGATTTCTTCAGAATGAGAAAATGCCTAAAGATGCCTCAGATTTTATAAGCCAATTTTTGTCATTGTTATTTTTAAACAATTATTCTTGCATTAATTCACTGGATTGCTGTCTATTCTTGAAAATACTTCACACATAAATGAGGAGGTGTGAAAAATAAAACTTAATAAAATGTGTGTAAAGGAGAATTCTTTTTGCAATGATTTTTTCTCAAATATCCACTAGAATCCGACAAGGTTGTAAAAGACGCGCGCATTCTCGAGAAAGGAAAACCTGTTATCCAATAAAAATACCTCGTCATTGTTCATCATTCCGTCAACCCAGTCCCAATGCTAAGAAGAAATAAAGTATTGCGTTATTTCCCACGAGAAAAGACTCTCGTAAGCTCCCATTATATAATTTTAAATAGCTTAATTTTGACGAAAGGATGTTGTTTTTTTCCGTTCTGCTTCTTTTATTTCGTCTTAAGTCCGGGCAATCTCACTTTGCTGTAATTATTGTACAAGGCGCGATATCATGGGAGGATCAAAATTATTGTGGCGCACACTTATATTCTAAGGGCATCATCATTTCCCTCCCGAACTGATTTAAGACCAATAACTATAGTAAATTACACGGCCAAAGTTGATTCCATTCATCGCTAATTAACAATAAATATTGTTTTTGTTACACCACTCAATAACATGTTTTTATTTAAAAATCGTTATTGACCCATGCTATTATGCTACAATTACAAAACCGCATTTCAAAATCTAAACTGATAGGTGCATTATTTTGCATTTTTAATTGTAGGTTTATGATGTTAATACAATTAAAATTAATTCAAGACTTCGATGTAGATAATTGTGTTATAGTTGTGCATGTTTTTAAATTAGGTTTTAACAATAAATAAAATTTGTCTGATAAAACATTTATGTGAGACATGAGATTTCCTCTTGAAGTTTATAGCCTGTAGTTCGGTCATTTCCTAACATTTTTGACTGTCTATCGTCTCCGTTTTGGCCAGAATGATTTGAAACAACTACAAAAACAACAAAACATATTATTTGGCTAACTGAATTAAATGATAATTTATCTGATCCTTAGTAATAGTATTGCAATGTTAAGAAATAAGGCATATGTACTTTCAAGTTTTACTTTCTGAACCTCAATAATTTGTCGCAGTGAAGATTTTAATTTTTAAATTGAATATTTTCGTTTTGAATATAGGATTTTCTTATTCATTTTAGAGTTATTAAGGCATGAAAAAATCCAACAAATTCTTCTTACGGAATTTAAAGATCTAACATATTTTATTTCTTGGAGTTTGTTAAAACAAAATCTACTTACTTTTACAAAAAGAATCAAAAACTTAGAAAATCATCATCGTACTCAACTTGCTTTAATTTTTTAGGAAAAATCTTTCAGGATATTAAAAATTTTTTGAATACTATGAAGTTATCAAATTAATTCAGCTGTCGTCAAACACTTATTACCAATGCAAAGTACCACCGTTCCGCTCATTTAGATTAGATAGTTATATATTCTTATATTCAACGTTTTAAATAGGGGAAAAGTGTAGACATTTGGACAGCATTTTTTTATGTCTACAACAGGCTAATCGCAAATCTAACTTTTTTGGTCCGCTTTCTCTCGCTGGTTTTATGATAGCATTTGAAAACCGTCAATCTTGACCCCTGCTTCATCAATCCCTGTTTGGACTTTATAAATGGACTTTATAAGACAAAACTTAAAGCTTAAAATATGGTTCACATTTATTGATTATAGTTAATTGGTTATAATTTTACATATATGAAGAGAAAATTTATATTGCTTTTTAACGCTTAAAGAAAATTGTTTAAAAATGTTGAAATTCTTTCGAACAATTGAATTACTCTTAGAATAATTTTAAACTGTCCCCACATACAGACGTTCAGTCATCAATGCTGATCACAAAACGTTAAATCTATATCATTCTATTTATATATATTTACTTTTATTAATTTATAACTAAAGGAACGCCCTAGTTTATTTTCCCTCAATTTTTCAGTCTTGTTTATTATTTAGTTGAGAACGAAAAAGAGTTATAATTAATAGTAAGTTTAGATGTGTTTTTAACAGTGCAACAAAGAAAGAAAACGACTTACAACTTGATTTGTCAACAAATCCATAAGGTGGTGACACATAAAACAAGACAAGGAAAGGAATTGCTGATGTATTGCCTCGTGCCGTGCTGCGTTTGAACTACATCGAAGAGAAAAAAACTATTGAATCAGTCTGTTATTCAATACGCTTTTCCGTATTCAAAACAATGTTTGCTAATACCAAGGACATTATTTTAAATTTACAATTTTATTTTTTGTATTATGGCCTTCGTTAAAAGTTAAATTTAAATTAAGTTTAACATATTAACTTTAGTTTGTATTTGTCAAATGACCTGTTATAAATTGTCAATTTGATTTGATAAAATAAAAGATCCTTCGTATTCGCAGTGCCACAAAATAAAAATCAGCTACTGTGTATGTTTGTATACATATTTTCATAAAAGTGCTTCAATTCCCCAAGCAAGTGGACGATAAGAATAAATTGTCTCTGCCCTTAGACACGGGCGAAGTCCAGCTCGGATCAACTTTTGCTTTCGATAAGCAACAGAAAGAGTATTCTTGCTTACTCTACACACTCTAGACGAATTTTATCTTTCATCTTTCTAATCTGTTTCCCAGTAGGCTCTACCCACCGTTGATTTCCCTGGACTTAAGTCTATCAGAGAATTTTTCTTTTCCATTAGGATGTCTTTATTTTTGATATTATGAAAATGCCAAGAAAACAATAAAATATATTTTTGTATTCATGGATTAGGTTTCAAATTTTATTTGAAAAAATAAACTTTTGACTAGTCTGTCAGTTTCTGTGTTCAAAATTTCACCGATCATTGAATTTTGCGCTACAAGCTGCTTTGATGTCTTTGTGAATGTGTATTAAAAATTATAAGAGTGAAGAAGTTTGCACTAGGGAGGAAATCGCGAGGCCATTGACGCTTTAGACATTTTGAATGATTTTCGGAAAGGTTCGGGATTGTTCGAGGGTGTTAGGACGAGGGTCCAGGGTTTTATGGAGTTTGTATCGACTTCTTGTTGTTTCGAGGTCAATTGGATTGGATGCGAAGTAGGGAGCTTGGGCAATGATTCGAAGAATTTTGGACTGGAGCGACTGGATTCTTTGGAGATTGGAACGTTTGAATTCCGAACGTCCAGTTTAATTGTAGTAGTAATTTGTAAATGAGGCTTTTCTGAAGTGAAAGTTTCCATGTAGTCAAGTAGTGTTTTCATTTGTTTTGTATTGATTATTCTACGGAACTACTAATTCTTTTGAGTCGAGTGACGGGGTATCAAGTAAATCTTTTGATGTCAAGTCCCAAATAGCGCACATTAGTTGCTGGGAGATGAACTGAGTTGCATTTAATCGGATAAGAGATATTACAGTGAAGATGAAGGTTATTTGCTGATACTTATAGTTTCGTCGAGTGTGATCCTCCATTTCTTGAATCACTTTTCCAAAAAGGAGAGATGGTCCTGGAGGTTCTGAAGACCACTACTAACTCTAGGTTTTATGAAAGGATGAGGGTATTGTCTGCATGCATATACATGGGAAGTTTAATATTGACTGATATTAATTCTGCAATGTACATTAAGGAGGGAAAATTCAAGGTAGGGTTGAGATGGGAAGTTGGTGTCCGAATGGATCGAGGTCACGATAGCACAAGTGGTAGAGCAGCGGCGTATCTAGCCGACGATCGTGGGTTCGAATCCCGCTCGTGCCATTGACTTTTTTTCATCTCAACTAAAAACCTTAATTAATTGTAATGTACTAATTGGTCAAGCGGACCACGAAATTAGTGAATTTAATGTATATTAAATTGATCTGAGTACCAATGATGTTGCCTTGCCTAGAAGAAATTTAGATATAGTATTGTCGGATGGAGTATATGTGAATGAAAGGATGACCCTTGAATTTCCAGGGTGCCACACCCAAAATTGTAAGAAAGCATTCAAGCAACCCCCGCGCAAGGGAGAATGCGATGATATACATCACCGAACGGTAGAGGGATGTCGCCTGAACCCGATTCGATGAGATGGAATGACATAGGAGCTTTTCAAGGATGGGAAATAGGTGTTTCATGAGGAGTTTTTCAAGAATTTGGCCAAGTTATGGCAGTAAACAGGTGGATTTAGGGTGTTACTGAGACTTTTGTGGGTTGGGAATGGGATTTACTGATTCACTGTCAAAAAGAAAACTGTTTACTAATCAAGTCTTGTCATGTAGAATTATACATTTGTATTTTGAAACTGAGCTACTATTCAGTTTTATTTTTTTGACGTGAAATCTAGCTGAAAGGTGTTTCATTTCTTTTTTCTATTAAATGAGATGCTTACAGTTTTATCGTAATTACGTGTCCAACAATAAATTGATTGTGTACATTCTTTTCGTTAGGAAACCCGCGATATTGTCATCTTTTCTCTCACAAACAACACAAAATTTCAAAAAGAAAAAATTTCATTCCAGAAAAGGAATTTCGCATAAAAAATTAACAAATTCGTTGGAGTTGTTCTTTGTTTGTATTTAAGACTTTCAGAATAAAAATTATTAAACCACAAGGTCGTTCGGGCGGTTTCAGGGTCGATCTCTGCTAAATTGCATTCCTTATACAAACATATTTACTCTCCTTCTTTCTTAGACATTCGACTAAACGCTCGGTGGAAAAACCCCACGCCACTTTTTAAAATTAAAAATTTATCTGCATTAGCCTAGAATATGAAAAAACATTATAAAATCATTATTTCATTAACAACAAATAAAAATGTCTGATACAATTAAAATCGTAACTGTGATTCCAAACATGTATTGAGAATTGACAAAAAACCCTTCGGCCTTGTAGAACCGTTAATCATATTCAAAAAATTCTGTTGGCATGAAAGTAATATCATATGTTTACAATAATTATTTACTATGTTGTTTATAATAATGACAGTCATGTGATGAAGAGGCTACAAAGAAATATATTACTTTCTTTTCTAAAGTGTATTTAATTCAAATTAAACTTTAAGAATTTATTACAATAATTTGGCAGTTCGGTATAAAAGAATCTTACCTAAATAGCTTGCTACTTTCTAAACCAGCGACTATAAAACAGAAAATATGCTAATGTTTTCAATCACTTGATCTTTTAACATTAATTGCACAATTGAATCTCTTTACTCTGTAGTATTTGTAGTAATTTCGTATATTTTAATTGATTTTTGGAAATATTTTTTTTTAAATTGCTGAATCATTCAAAACGATGGTAAAACTGACAGGTTAACCAAGAATTCACCGATTTAAATATTTTCGTATATAAACAAATTTTAGCCCGGCTATAGATATTTAACTCATTAGAGTCGGGAAGAAAAAAGTGTGTGAGTCGTAGAGGGTGTGGGTGAATGTCAACAGGTCCTTTAATAATTAAGGTTCCAACGACCTGACTCACTCTTCTATTTTTCGTTCGTTGAAAATGCGTCGGTATGGTTTGTGTGCTTAAAATTAGTACTATAATTTTTTTTAGCACAACCTTATTCCTGAAATTTTGGTAGAAAGATCCTATCCGGAAACAGAAAAATAATGTACCCGAGGCCCGTATCTGATTATTTACAGAAGAGGCTTCTTTTCTGCGGGCAATTAAAGGCCAATGAACCATACACCTAATTATTATTATTAAAAACAACAAACTATCTTTTTGTAAAAAGAACAAACTGAGTTTTTCAATAATTTATTTTTAATAATCAACTCCAGCTAAGTTTAAAAATTGTATGATATATCTTTAGAATTAATATAGAACAATTTTTACAATTATTCGCTCTTGATTTGAGGCATTTCAATAAAGATGGCGAAAAAAATAAATAAATAAACGTCTGAAGTAGAAAATTTCAATGCAATGTCAATTCAAAAAAATTCACTCCCGTGTCTAAACCCCATTTTATATTAGTTGAAAAGATATTTCTGTTCACAAACTAGGCTTGGAGAGATCAGGATTTCGGGCGGTACATGCTCATCATCAGAGTACAATCTGAAAAACGTACTTTTAGATAACTTGCGTGGTCAAACTTCAAAAACAGTTTGTGAGTAGAACCATCATCAACTATTCATATATTCACTTCATTATAACATATTTTTGCCCATTCGATGTGTTTTGATTATTTATCTACATTATCACTTTTTTCAGGTACCTAACGTGAGCTGACATGGGGCAGGAAGTGAAATTTCTAATATTATTTCTTTTCCTTCAAACCGCAGCAGCGTTGAAAAACGAAAGCTGTCTCAATGGCCCAGGTATCACACGATAAACAAACATAAATTAAAAGCTCTTAATATTTTCCTTTGAATTGACTAACACGTAAAATTCTATAATGTAAGATTTCAAAACAAAACGAAAAAAATGATACATTTTTAAACGGTTCAATTATTTTAATTTCTTTAGTTTCATCCTTAAAAGCACAGAACGATTCGCTTTTACCAAGAACTTAACGGGGTGTTAAATTATCAAATAAGTATAATTTGTTCAAAGAAAAAATTACCCGCTCATCCTTTTTGTGACATAAATAGGTTATGATTATGTTTGTTTTATTTATTTCGTCCTAGAGCTTCCCAGAATATTGTGAAAACGTTCTTTACATGAAACTTACTTTCTAACTTTAAATACTAAGGTTAAGAAAGGTGTGAGATCATCAATTCTCCCAGTGGCTGTAAGGTCGGTTATGAGACAAATTCCGATCTTATGAGATGCAAAGTACCCGTGTTTGAAAAAGTCACTAATTTTACCGCGTAAATGGACGATTTTCAGGGCGAAATACTCGTCCTTCTGTTCTGGCTCTATTATCGTAGTTTTTTTCCCCTTGCTGCTGGACGTCTCGCTTGGAAAAATAGCTTCTTGAAACATTTTTTGTCGTAATACTCTAAAATCAAATACCAGAATGCTTAACTTCACTTCCTGTGTCGCTAAATCATATCAAGGGGATGAGACCACGATGTCTGACTCATTAAAGCCAGAGCGATAACCAATGTTTTGTTTCCTGGACGCTTTTTTGAAAAATAGGGAATTTCTGTGTAAGAAAGTGCATTTTATGTATTATAGTAAGAAAATTTATGTTTTTTATTGGGATATTTTTGCCAGTTCACTTGAAACTGTAAGCCGATACCTTTTTAATATTTGAAGTTTACTATGCTTCGCTCTAAAAACTATTTATGAGCTTTGTTTATTAAAAATTGAATCCAGGATCCCTACTTTTGGTCAGATCACGACCGTCGATCATTTTGGAGCCTTAATGATCGCCTTATTCAAAAATGGACTTGAAATGAATTTAATTTACAATTACAAACAGTGCAAATATTCACAGTTCAATGAAGTAGAAATTAATTTAAAAAATGTGAAGCCATTACAGTAAAAAAAAATTTATAGCATAAAGGCAGTAAAGGTTAATAAAATTATAAGGGCGTTGCATACTAATTTCGCAGAACCTATGAGCTAATGCGGTTTAGTATAATCACAGCGCCGTTTTCCAAACAAAAATCCTTATCGTTGTCGAAGAATGTTCATTATTCATTGTAATTATTCAAATTGTAGACAAATTTTACTAACATTGCAATTATTGTTGTTTAAATTGTTGTTTGAATTAATATTTTTGTTCTTTAAGAGGTGAACCCAAAGAGATTTGTTACAACGAAGGGTGTTCCCATCCCCTTAACACTGGGTGTCACTAACAGAATAACTCACAAATTGGCAACTCATGTTTTTATGATATTTTTAAAAGAGATACTGGGTTATGACACTGTCGTCATTAAGAATGTCACACACGATAATATAACTGCAATATTTGAAGGTCTCTCTTCCAACAATCAGTAAGTGATTTCTTTGTCTGTTTTACTCTGACATATGTCCGAACTTGTATTGACTTTTATTTTATTTTTCAGAGGTCCTCACTACATGATAGATTTGGAGGTGTGGATCACACCTAATTTAAACACAATTCATTACACTGAAAGGTTTGCCGTTTCAGAATGTGGCATCTTGGCTCCGCCTGGAAGGTGATTGGCTGAATTTGTTTCTGAAACTGCCATCATTTGTAATGTGTTTTCAATGGTTCTTCTTTGACTTGCAGATATGGATGGTTTATCCCTAAAAAGTTCATCCCACCTGACAAACAAAATGTTTCTATTTATTGGAACAGTTTTAAAGATAAAAATGTAATTAAAAAAATGTATTCTGCTGAAATAGAAAAATTGATTGAAGAAATGAAGGGGTAAGTTTCATTCAAATAATTGTTATTAAATTATTACAATAATCCATTTTATGCTAAAATTGTACATTATGCTTAAAATGTATGAAGAAAATGTATTTCAGAGATCTTTGTGAGGTTTATTGTGATTATAGCAAGATATATTATGTCCCTAAATGGTGTAAAGATGGTATGGATTGTCCTCTCATACTAGCACAGGACTATGGTAAGAATTTATATATAATTTTGCTATCAATAAAAATAAAATTTTATAAAATAACATGATTCATGAATTGTAATAATATATATGGTTTAATTATATTTCAGAATCAACTTCCTTTGTTATTAATGATATTGCGGATAACAAATTATTCGCAAGAGTTATTTGGCTGGGAAAACATTTTTTTAAATACGTAGATCAAATTATGAATAACAACTATTACATAAATAAGATTGTTCCTATTATTCTCACTTATACACCCAGTGAATTAATGCTCGATGATGATTTTGTATCAGTGTCTTTTCCTGCATGTAACTATTATATATTTGATCATTGTAATTATGGGAACAAAAGGCTTGTGAAATTATCTTGGAGTAGTCTTGTAAAAGCAGCGAGACCTGCTTTTGAGGTAGAAAACAAAATTATAAATTTAATTTAAAAAATTAAAAAACTAATTGATTATGTTTTGTTTTTAGTCATTACAGAACATTGATTTCTCTGCAAGGAACTATAAGGAGATGATAGCAATCTATGTTAAAAAATGGAAAGAAAAGGGGGAGGATCTTAACGATGATGAACTTCGTAGTGTAGCTTGCGATTGGATGAAAAATAATACGCATATAGTGAAACGGTGGAAGCCTGAAGATGACAAAAAGAATACTCTTTATATTGGAGGGATATTTCCTTTAACAGGCTCGGCCCCATTTTTTGACACAGTTCGTGGTATTGTTGTAGGTGAGAGTTAAAGAAAAAAAAAAGTTTAATGACTTAAAAAAGGATTGTAACATTTTATTGTCTTAAGGTGCTACAATGGCGATAAAAGCAATTAATAATAATACTAGAGTCCTCCAGGACTATAAGTTAGAGTTACTTCTTGACAATGGAGAATGCAAAGCGGATATTGTCATGAGGACGTTTATTAATTATATATTCAACAACAATTATCCACAGCTTGTTGGAATTTTGGGTAGGAGACAGATAAAAATAATAATTATTATAAATCATAATAATAATAATATGTTGTGTGGTTTTATTATATAGCAGTGGTATATTAATAAGTTTGTGGTTTTAGGGCCTGCTTGTTCAGATACAGTTGAACCTTTAGCTGGTATAGCTAAACATTTTCACACACTTATAATTAGTTATAGTGCTGAGGGTAGCAGCTTTTCTGATCGGGAAAAATATCCATATTTTTATAGAACAATAGGCGAAAACAAACAGTACATGTATGTATGTAATAACAGTACACTTATCCAATTATTTTTTCCTTTTTTTTAATTATTATTATTAATTATTAAATTAGTTGTTCTAAGGTGATTCTTCTTTCAGGTATGTCTATCTTAAATTATTGAGCAGATTGCAATGGAAGAGACTTGCTTCTTTGACAGAAGATGGAACAAGATATACAGAGTATGTTTCAATGACTGAAAATCTGCTTCAAAGTGAAGGGATTTCTTTTGTAGTTAACCGCAAATTTCCACAAGATTGGGATACATCTACAATGCAACAGGTTTTTTGTTTTCTTTTTTTTTAATCATATCCTTCTGAAATACTTGCATTTCAGTATTAAAACAAAGATATTTTCAGTGCTTGGAAGAATTTAAAGAAAAGAACGCAAGAATCATTATCGCTGATGTTAATGAAAAAGCTGCCAGGACTGTCATGTGCCTCGCTTTCAAAAATAATATGACAGCTGAACACGGTTATGTTTGGTTTCTGCCACATCGACAAACTGATCATTGGTTCACTAGCGTAAAAGATGTTAACTGCAATGTGAAGCAAATGATAAAAGCGATCGATGGACATTTTTCACTCTCACATGCTTTCTTTGCTCCTGATAACAATACAATGCAGGAAAACATTACAGTGAAAGAATGGAAGAAGAAATATGAATTAGAACTGACTTTAAACTCTACCAAAGAAAAAAATATAAAAGGGTTTTCAAATTATGCTGGCTACACGTATGATGCAATATGGGCTTATGCTTACGCCTTGGATGGGCTTACGAAACAAAATCATTCTTCAGTAGCATCACTCCATTCACCAAATACCACCAAGTAAACCCATCCTTTCACTTAATTATTTAACTCTTAAATTATCCTTATTTATTTGATAAATTTTAATTCCACCCAGGCAATTTGTAAAATTTTTACAAAAGACTAACTTCAGTGGAGTATCAGGTCATATACAATTCAGTAATGGTTCCTCAAAGTTCATACCAATTAATATTATGCAGTGGCTAGGCAATAAATCAAGAATTATAGGAACTTTTGAACCAAAGATAGACAACGACACAGCTGACTATTCTGCTGGAAAGTAAGTACATAACTTATTATAGGTATTTTATTGTTTTATCAAATGTTCAAATTCAAGTAATTTTATTGTTAAAGTTTGACCCTATACGAAAACCAAATTACCTGGTTATATCCTGACGGCAAGCCTCCTGATGGAATGCAAATTGAACCACCCTGTTTTGTTGCTGGATTTGCAAAAATGCTGAACACAGAATGCCATGTAGCTATTGTTATTGCAAATATTATCGGCATTGGAATTCTAATTTTGATTCTGATAGTTTGTTTCCTAATCATAAAGCACAGGTAACGGAAGTATTAATTAATTTAATAAGTAACTTTCAATTATCTTTAGTACTTTAGTTTTGAGATGAAATAAATGTGTTGTTTTAGATATGATAAGAAGGTGAGATTGACTCAGAAATACATGGAATCATTAGGTATTGATCTCCTATCTGTTGGTCCAATACCAAGTCTTGATACCTGGGAAATTTCCAAAGAAAAGGTAGTGATTAACAGAAAGCTGGGTGAAGGTGCTTTTGGTACAGTTTATGGTGGTGAAGCTTATTTCAATGAAAAAGGCTGGGTAAGTAGACTAACTATATATTTTTAGCATTCATAAAACAAAATATTATTTTTCTTACAGGTAGCAGTAGCTGTAAAAACACTCAAAGTTGGCTCAACTACAGAAGAAAAATTGGACTTCCTTAGCGAAGCAGAGGTCATGAAGCGATTTGAACATAAAAACATTGTACAACTTCTTGGAGTCTGCACAAAAAGTGAGCCAGTTTATACTATAATGGAGTTTATGCTTTATGGTAAGAAAACTGTTTTATTTAAATATACATTGTTGTTCTTGTATTATATTGTCAAAATCGCTTAGGTGATCTCAAAACCTTTCTGCTTGCTCGGCGACACCTGGTTAATGAAAAGTTTTCTGATGACAGTGATGAAATATCAAGTAAAAAACTTACCAACATGGCTTTAGACATAGCTCGTGCACTTAGCTATTTAGCAGAACTGAGATATGTGCACAGGTATTTTTTTTATATTTTTTTATGTACCTGTAAATATTTAGAATGGTTATTTATCGGTTGTGTTTGTAGGGATGTTGCATCAAGAAATTGCCTTATCAATGCACAAAGGGTAGTCAAATTAGGAGATTTTGGCATGACAAGGCCGATGTTTGAAAGTGATTATTACAAATTTAATAGAAAAGGTAAGTCTCTACAATTCAAAACCATACGTTTTTTAAATTGATTTAATAATAAATTAATTCTAGGAATGCTACCTGTACGATGGATGGCTCCTGAAAGTTTAGTGCTTGGTGTTTTCACCCCTGCATCAGATGTCTGGTCATTTGGAGTTTTACTTTTTGAGATTATTACATTTGGGAGCTTCCCCTTCCAAGGATTAACTAACAATCAAGTATTAGAACATGTTAAACAAGGGAATACTATAAATATACCTGCAGGAATCAAACCACAACTGTAAGTAATTTGAAGGAATGCACGGAGGCATGAGTGAGTGAGTGCGTGCGTGCGTGCGTGCGTGCGTGTGTGCGTGTGTGTGTGTGTGTGTGTGTGTGTGTGTGTGTGTGTGTGTGTGTGTGTGTGTGTGTGTGTGTGTGTGTGTGAGAGAGAGAGAGAGAGAGAGATTTTGCTTTTGCTTGACATTCAGCTTTTTTAGATATATTGTGTCAGTTGCTCTCAAATCATCATTACCTGGACATTCTTGCTAGTTTTGTTTATAAGTCAAAACAATCACACCTCAAATAATTATTTTAAGAAAATGAAATGTCATAAAAAACATGAATAATATTGAGTTGTTTTTAATGAATGGTTTACTATAGTTTTTTAGTTTTAATAGTATAATTAATTAATTACCATTGTCTGAGAAAAGTATAGTTTATTGTATAATTAAGACAGCAAACATTTTCAAGAAATTCATCAAGCAACAGGACAAATTAAATTTATATTTGTAAAATTTATTTATTTTAGGGATTGTTTAATCAAATCCTGCTGGGAAAAGGATCGTAAGAAGAGGCCACATGCATCTGAAATAGTTGAATTTCTTGCAAACAACCCACGGCTTCTCGTACCTTGCATAGATGTGCCAATATCATCTGTCCAAATGGATGACACAGCTCAGCTAGAGCTCCCTTTACCTCAAGATAAGATGCGAAGGTTTTCAATGACCCTTCGTCAGAGGACGCCGTCTTCACCGACTTCAGACATAGGGTTAAGGACAGACCTTGCTCAACCTCTCCTACCAACTCCTGCCAGGTTTAGACCAACAATAAATTCATCTATATCTGAGGAAAATAATATACAAATAGACTCACCTCTTTAATAAATAAGATAGGAAAAGTATTAATAATCAAAAGTATTTAAGATCCTCAAATTTTATGAACACACAATTTTAACAAATAGCATCTTATTTGTTATTTCCAAACAAATGTCTGTTGTATATTGGTTCAAAACTTTTTAATAGAATAATTTTTAATCAAATTCTCAGTGTGTGATCTTTATTTATTACTTATACAGGCATGCCAAACTCAATGTACAATTTCTATATCTAATTTTTTAGCCTCTTAACATTTTTCAAACAATTCACCATTTTATTATGGTAGATGCTAAGTAGCAATATGAGTTTTAGCACATTCAATATGTGACATTTGAGTAAAAGGCAATTTTCTTCCCTCCATTTATTAGTTGATTTTATGATTTATTTTTTCAAAAATTAAAAATATTTTTAGAAAATTCAACTGTATATCTACCTCATTAAACATCACCCTTTCTCAGCCAGGTTTTCTCATTGTCAAAGGTACTTTTTAGATTTTTTATTGTTATTTTTGTACTTTATTTTTATCTGATGAAGGGGGAAATTTCCAACTTCGGCTCTAATTTAATTTTATCTAAATGTTTAAACAATGCTCATTTGACTTTGAAATAAATGACATTAATGTTTGGTTTATTTGTATTCAATTGTAAATACTTATTAATTCACCAAATTTCTGGAAAAAATAGATTAGAGTTAATTTAAAATTATGTGTAATTAAAACTCTGCTTATTTACAAATGTTACTTCACTATTTTTCATTTAATTGTACTTTGCTATAATTATTTGGAAAATTCCTATTGTATCAATCTAGTCTATTTAGTTTTAAATTATGTTTAAATATGTTCACTGCCCTACTCTTTAACAATTTATGAAGTGAAAAAAAATCCTTCATCAGATAAAAATTACATTTGATGTATTTTTTGTTATCCTGTACAGTATGTCAAATTTTGTGAAAATGTTTTAAAAGAAATTTATTGTTTTAAATTTCTGAAATAAGTGTAAATTAATATAAAACTGCCAAAAAAAGAAGAGAGAAGTTGTAATATACATATATATTTTTAAAAGATAAAATGTATTGTATTTTCTAACCAAATATTTACTTGCTACTTAATTGATGTCTTGCCTGACAAAGTTTTGCTCAAATGTAATTATTAATATTTAAAGTAAATTTTTTGAAAAAGTGCAATTTAATTTAACAATTTTAAAATGCATTATGTCAAATCAAATTAATGATGGAAAAATGATAATTCATACATTTTATAATGCACTATGTACAAAAGTAAACTTTTTTTACTGCAATAATGAACTATTTACTAATTAAAATGAGAAGAAATAGTTGGATAAATTAAACTGCATTATATCTAATTTTTCTAATTTGTTTTATTTTTTGTAAATTAATAAAAATCCTTTTAAGCTATTTTCATGATTTAGTTAAAGAATATAATACAATCTTGGCCTCGTTAATGTACCTGAATAATAATTATAAGCTCCTCTTTAGTTTTAATCTCTAGAATTTGTAAGATCAATGTAAATGGAATCCAAAGGATTGAATGTGGTTTGTAATTAGAAAAATTATATTTATGTAAAATATATAAAGAAAAACTCCCAAACTGTTTTTTTGATTTATGTTACTATTTATTGTATAGATACTGATATTTTATAGAGAAAATATTTTATATAAATGGTGATTCATTCCATCTTCCCTGCTGTTAGTGCCATTTTAACTATTTATTTTATAATATCTAATGGCCATTAAACAAAAAATTTACAAAAACAAATGAAATTAAAGTATGTTTTCTAGAAAACCTATTTATGTAGTTTTTATTAAAAGTCTTAAAACTACCCATACGTAACAATTTTGTTTATAAATTCAAAACAGTTATTTTTGCAGCACGATTGACCTTCAATGATCTGCTAAAGGTTTGTATTACATTTACTATTCAAAAGTAATAAATAATGAAAATTACAATGAATGAAAAATCTACTTTAATACAGGACTTAAAGTCCCCTTGAATAATTAATTATGAATACAACATATTTCAGCTTGATAAAGCTACACAAAGATGTCCATTTAATAAAATGTATGCATATAAAGTGACTCTACAATGGATATTCAACAAAAAGGGACAATTAAAAATCTTTGATAGCATGTTGGATTGAATGAGGAAGGGAATTCCTTCCATAAATTGGAGGATTAGAAAGGAATGACTGAATGCAGTAGTTCTGTGTTTAAAGGGATACAGGTCAAAAGGGCGGGAACAAGTTTGATGGTAATTTACAGAGGTTCTGAATGTGAGGAGAGTACACATATAGGGAGGAGATTTAGTTTGCATGCGATAGGAAGAGTAAATCGCCTCAAATCGGTGTATAAATCTGTCATGTGGGACACCTTGGGAATCAGAAGATAAAAGATACAGAACAATTCCTGAGATGTTTAAGCTTATTTTCACACTCCCCCAATGATTCCTCCATACACAATACATCTATAATCAAAGTGGGGGTGAATAAGGGAGAACAATAGGAGTTTGCGGGTACTATACGAGGAGGCTGGAATGATGGAACTGATAAATGGGAGAAAAGCATCGTTGGGAAATCTGTGAAATATTCTTTCAAGACAAGATCTGATCAAGGACAAACCCAAAGGTCTTGATGGTGGGACAGAAGGAAATATGGTGATTGTTAATTTATTGTAAATCAAGGAATGGTGGAAGAAACTGAATCCAAACACACTAGCCTACGATTTTTATTCAAGTTAAGCCTTTTCAGCTCCCCAGGATCTAATTGAGTTTCTGTTCTTTCTGAATAATTACAGTTGCAGCTTGTAAGTCAATAAGTAGAAACTAGAAAGAAGAGAAAAGATAAATTTGGAAGACATCTGCATAAAAGTGATGGAAGCAATGTTTTATCAACTTAGGGAATTCATTAATGAAACAGCAAAAAAAGTAAACAGAATTAGCGAGAGTTGAACATGAGAAATTGTAGAAGTGGTGGATAGGGGAGAGGATTGGAGCTTCTTTGGAAACAGTTTGATAGGAAAGTGGAACCAGCGGAGTACACTGTAGGCGAAGTTAAAGTTTTAAGTTTAAGGAAACAGGAATGATCTACAGTGTCAAAGGCTTTAGAAAAATCGAGGACAAGAATGATTTTCCTTTTTGTTTTTTACTTAATTGTGTTTTTTATTATTATTTTTACTACAAGAGTTTGCAACTGCAGAGGTCATATCGACCCTCGGGGTGCTGGTGTTTTTGAAAAAAGTCCACTTGTATGTCAGAATTTTTTTAATTATTATCATTATTATTAATTTATTAATATATTATTATTATTATTTTAATGGCTTTGATTACAGTACTGTTTATAGTATATTCCATTTACTTTTTTGGAGGAAGAGGAGTGTGGAAAAAAAGGCCGTGGTGAAGGTGCGAATTGAACCCGTCTACAAGCTGAGAGTATAACACACTGACCAAATTGATTAGTAATTTTACCAATTGGTATTGGTCAATAGCAATCTGTGTGTCAGTGGAGATTTTTAGAACAGCGGATTGTATGAAAAGCTAGGAGTTTTGAGTTTTCTAAGTAGAGTAGACATTTGTAAATTAAGTAATTTTTTCAAAAGTACAAGACGTCAAGACAATGCTCAAACTATTACCCCCTGAAGCATTCTGAAGTCAATTCTTTCCAGGTATGTTTTGAAAGATTTTTCCCAAGTTATTAACCATCATGCCCTTCCCTCCGAATATCTTTTTGCAATAATGAATTTGCATAAACAAGTCATTTAGTATTATCTTGTAAAAGTAATTAATAAATGCATTTCTGTAAAAGGAACAGAAAATAATTAAAGTTCTTACCAAGTAATATTTTTAGACTAGTGATAGACTTTTTTTAAAATATATTTCTTCTTTGAACATATTTTCTTCTAAATTTGTAATATTTTAGGAATTCATCTTAAAACATTATACAATTCACATTAATAACATTTTTAATACTTTTTGTAAACCTTTACAAATCAAATTTGTTTTTACTATTTTTATTTTATTTATTCAAATTCTTAACTGTATGTACTTGTTTTAGAATATAATTTGCTTAAAAAAGGCCACATAAAAAACATTAAAAAAATCCACATATATTGTACTAAGAATTTTTTATAAAAAAATTAAAAAACATACAAAAGTAATTTGTCATTAAAATTACACATTAAAATCAACAGTTGATATAAGTAATAGATTGATTAACTTATTACTCAGAATTGTAATAGGCATAGAAGACAAAAACTTAACATTATATACATTTAAAAAACTTAACAACTTAAGAGGAAAATATATCACATTTGTTGCTGCAAAGAGGTATTTTTTGTATTTATTTGAAACTACTGTATATCTATTTATTACACACAAGCTAAATTATATTATATGAATATAATTTAGAATTTTACACAGCAAAAAGATTGTCTTCAGTCAGCATCGTAAGATGCAAAGTACCACTGGGTACTGTTTCTGTTCCTTCTTTTGTTTTCTGCTTCAAAAATATTGTTGCATCTAGCTGAGTCGGGCTATGAGTTACCTCAGCTGGGAGTTCACATTCGCCCAATAGCGCATTCGGAAATATCATATTTTTTGAGAACACCTTGAAAAAGATTTTTAATTACTTCCTTTAAATATTTACGTTATGCCTGATTAAATACCTTTAAAACTAACGGTTTCTTTGGTTTCTTTCTATAGAATATAAAAGCGTCATTCCATTCCGGATGAATGTCATCCGTTGCAAAATCTGTTTTGACCTTATAGCCTTCACAAGTAATTGTGCAATATAGATTTAGTCCTGTTGACAATATTTGATAATATAGAATTTTATCTATTTTTAAAACATTTTGAATACCTACTTGCACTTCCCCATGAATGATGCTTGTTTTCAAGTTCAGCACTTTCAATTATTATCACAGTCACGATTTCTACTTCTGGCATTAAACAAGAACACGGTGCCCACCGTTTAGGAATGTCTTCCTTGAGTTCTCTACAATTTTACAACAATTTTTAAAGTTACTAGAATTAAATTGTTATTTGTAATGTCATTTTTGTTTATATTGAAATAATAGCAAATTAAAATCAAAACGACAAAATCAGCCACATAAGCACACAGTTATACAATTCAATAACTAAATAAAACAAAAAGTAATTGTGCAATATAGATTTAGTCCTGTTGACAATATTTGATAATATAGAATTAAATCAATGTTTCACTATAATTAAAATTTATATATTTTTTATGCAATTTTTGTTTTTGTTAATTAATATAAAGAGATAACATGCAATTACTTTAATGAAACACCACTGTCTTGTGTGAAAACCCGAAGGAGGAAGGACGCTGAATCTCCTTCCCTGTATGTTGTTGGTATTATGACATACTTGGCATCAGAAAGATGCCCTCTATAAACTATCTCCCGTTTCCTTTTATGATCTTCAGCAATTATTAAAGGATTGTGTGGCCATAATTTGTGTAGTCTTGTGAAACGATTATTTTCTACCTTAAAAAATACATTTAATTTGTTAATAAAAAATTATTTACTTGTCGAACAGTAACCTCCTTTTATACCTTAACTAAGTGAAAACCTATGAGCTGATTCACAATAGTATTTGTTACAGAAGGTTCATCTTCTTGAAACTGTAGCAGTTGAATAATTATTTCCTTACTCCCTTCAATATCAAGCCCAAACTACAGCCAAACAAATAAAGTATAAACTTTTAAATAAATCAATAAATAAAATCCTACCTGTGGATTATGTAAAAAGTTTTCGCCATAAAAATCGCCCCCACCGGACCTGTCCAATTTCGTATTTCTAGGTCCTGTGCCCCATACCCCGGGAAAATAATAGCATTTCCATTTCTTAGCGGGTGTAACAAAGAAATTTTCAGTGACAAGCCGGCAGATTATTGCCTCGCTAAATTCACTCACCACATCTTCCAATGGCATCCTTCAAGCCAAAAAAAATCAAATAATTGACCACACTCAGAAGTACAAATCAAATTACCAAAATTCTGTAGAATCACGAAACACTAAACCAAGTCTTTTCCTCTCAGCAGAATCAATGTGTTGCCAATCAGTATTTTTCGACCTCAGCCTTGCTAAAACTTCCGTGCTATATGCAAACGGGTTCCCATCACTACTAAGAGCACTAAAACAACGGTAAAGTAAAGATTATTTAGAGATCGTGAGATGGGGGGGTCTGGTGTGAAGTTCAGAAAAACATTTTTTTCTTTTTTCATGCCGTTTCAATCTTTATTGTGATCACCATGTGATCATCAATTATAAAAATGAATAAAAGCTATGAATATGAATTTATCCAATGATGTACACAATATAGAAATTTTAGGTTTAATCAAAGTATTTGTACTCACAAAGTAGTACTTACAAACACTTTAAACCTAAAATTTTTATATTGTGAACTTCATTGTATAAATTCATGTTCATATCTTATATGTATTTGTGTAATTTAAACAATGTTTGTAATACCAGGCCCTGAAGATGAACTCAATAAAGATTGAAATGTTGCCACGATAAAGAAAATGTTTTTCTAAACCTACATCACATCAGACTGCATCTCACGATCTCCAATCAATCGTTAATTAATGATCACTAAATACTTCAGGTAAAGTAAAGGTGTTCCAGTTAAAAAACACAATTTGTAGTATTTGCTTAATTAAATAATACTTCTGGATGAGAATAGTTGAATATAAAGATAAATAAGGTCATAAATTTAACAGGTTTACCTATCTGGTGAACTTGGAGCCCTTTTTTCTTCATATCTTGGGTCCTTTAACCTAACCATTGCCACTTTTTCTCGTCCTCTGAAAAGTAATCAATTGTCAAAGTAACTTAGTTTATTTTTAAACTTATTTAAACTATACTAATTACTGTTTAAATGAAGAGAAATTAATCATTTTCATAATTTTTATATCCTGCATTATTTTATCTTAAAATATATAAGTACATACATTCATTATTTCACAAGGTACAAGCCTGAGCCTTCGCTAAGCTACAGTATATTATGCCTGTTTTAAAAATATCACCCCAATGCAATTTGAAAAGTATGAGTTAAAATACATTTATTTTGTTCTGAATTTTAAACCCATGTTACAATTGTATTTTTCTTATGCTCTTATTCAGCGGCGGTTTTTTAGAGTTTTTTCTAAGTTGCAGCAGCCGAGCCAGTGAATTATTTAGAACTTTTCCTCTTTTCCTACAGCGTGAAATCAGACAATACTGTTTCCACTTCATGGTACCAGAGGGTAATGTTTGTGTGTAATCAGGCAAAGCAGTGAATCAGTCCATTCCCCTTCCCCTCCTGCCAACCTTCATTCATTTGCTTCCACCTCTTTCTACAGCTTACTCTATTCCTTCAAAAAATGCAAAGACAATCAGTACAAACTTTATCAGTGATTTTATTTTAGTTTGAAATGCCTTTTACGAATACTTTCTTGAAAGGATGTGATAAAAAAAAGAGTGTTAATCCATGGTGGAAATTACAGAAAGCATGAGCCTCTGCAAGTCAGAAAACAATACAAAGAAACCTAGTAAAAGAAAATCTGTTACATTTAAAATGGAGCTGGAAATAAAGTAAGTATGGTTTTAATGTAGACTTAGTGTACAAACTTTAAATTGCTCAAAAGTTAAAGAAATAAAAAATATATTTTCTTTAAAATACCTTCTTTTCATAAAAGATTATATAAGTAGTATTGTATAATATTTTTGTTTCAGTTCATAGTGTCATACATAGTTATTAATACTTGACTAATAAATTTAAAAAAATTAAGCAAATTATAATTATTAAATTGAATGCATTGAGATGGCATTCTGATGTTATGTCATAGGGGATTTTACCTTTTTTTGAAATGAAAATATTGATACAACTGTTCTAACAGTATAGTAACACCACAGGAGAAATGAAACAATTATTATGTTGGTGACTATTAAGGGCATTAAAACATAAAGAAAATTTAACATTAAAAAATTTAATTTTATTGACATAACACTTTCACACAAAACCAATATGGCACCACAAGAATAGCACCACACTTTATGCCTTGAAGATGACCCGAATAAAGGTCGAAACATCTGCAAAAAAATAAAAAAGGTGTTTTTCTAAACTGCCGTTCCTCACGACTTCAACAAATTATGAAACAACCGGTCACTAAGAAACACACATGACATAATAAAATATAAATAAAAATTAATCTGCCACCTTGGTGAAATAAGTCAGAGCAGAATTGTATTACATCTATTTAGTCATAAATATTTTAATATTTAATAAGTAATAATCATTCCTTTTAACTAAGAACTGAGGGGGCGTCGGTGGCCACAACGGTTTAGGCGTTGACACGGTGTTCATCACTGTAAGGTAAAGGCTTTAAAGACCAGCAGCCCTGCATTGCAAACTAAGAACTATTTAGCATAACAAATTATTTAACAAAAATTAATAATTATTTTAATTAAAAATTGCTTGATAGAAACAAATATTTTTATTTGTTTATTTTTTATTTTTTTATCTGGAGAATATGTACATTGATGTTTCATCACATACAGTTTTTTGGGGGAAGAGGAGTGTGAAAAAAAGGATGGGGGCAATGGTGAATCTGATCTCTGCAGAATCTACAAGCCGAGGGTCTAACCCCAGACATAATCAATTAGCTTTTACCCGCAACTTTGTCCACATGGGACTCCATTTTAATGTACCTTTCTATTGCGATGCAGGGTGCTAGAATGGCTTTCTAATGTAATATCTCATTTCTCAAATTATTCTCTTCTTCAGTTCACTTCGGTCTATATATGGTAAAAAATTGTCCATGATCCCCTAAAGAAGGATAGAATTTCAAAATATCCTTTCTTAACAGCTATTCATGTCATTCATTATAGGAATGCACTGTTGAAATTTCAGCCCTTTAGTGAATTGTCTGTCAGTCAGTCATGGAACTGTTTTATATATATAGATAATTAAGCTACGTGGCTGATGTTAAATCAGCAATAATATATTAAAATTTATTTATCTATATGAATTAGCAAGTTAAGGCGATTGTACACTCAGATTTTTGCTAGGTAAGCAATTGAAAGAATATTGCTTTTATCGGTTTATAAATATTTATAATTTACAGATTGATTATAGATTACAATTTTATACGATTTTTATATATATTTATTTAACCAGATTTATTATTTAACATCTTACATTCTGCTTTCAATTGAATAGAATACCATGAAAGTTTTTCCCTTTCAAAAATAAAAATATATATATATATCCCCCCCAAGGGTATTTCAACTACTTTATGAATGGTGCTGACATTTTTGAAAAAAGCCCGTTTTTAAGTAAGTATTTCTGGTTTGAATGCAGGGCTGCAGGTTCGAACCCAGGACTTTAGCTTACAGTGATGAGCGCCATGTCAACGGCTAAACTGTCACAACCACCCACACCCCTAAAAATGATTAATTTTTAATTTAAAAAATTAATTCATTTTTATTACATCATTTGTTAATGTGACAGAAGAAATCAGAAAGATTATGTACTTCTTAAATACAAACTTTTTGAGCTATTTCACTTGTGATAGGTGATAAAGAATGTCTGGAAAAAAGTCTTTAATCATTCTTAACACTTTCTGAGAAATAATCCCAAGGTAAAATACGCATAACTTATCATTTCCTGATTTGTCGGTGAAAAACCATTCAAATCTAGATATGAATTCACTTTTTCATATTTTTTCAATGTCGCTGTACCCTCCCATTAGTTTTTATACTGGTCTTCAAATAATGTTTCTAAACGCATTGAATTTATAATCAATATGAAATTTGGGTCTCCCAATTTGATAACAAGTACTTAATTATTGGATTTAGGATTACGGCCTCCAGATAATGATTATAAGTGGAAAAATGATTAAAACCTACATATTTACAAATAACAACCCATATTTTTAAAATAAGAATCTTAAAAACCAAGCCAAAATATAAAACTTTAATTGAGTGTAAAATTAGTGTTGTAATTAGATTATTTCATTTCAAGTGTAAAATTATTACAGCAAATGAAAATAAAACATGTATGTCAATATCATACAAACAACTAACCTACAAAAAATAAATTAATTAAGTAAAAAATATTTCAAACTTTTGGATAGGCAGACTAAAATAACTGGTAATACACACTTAAACCAAACCATAGGTTCATCATCCTGTACACCCCATGGAAAAATCTCACACGTTTATATCATGAGATTTAAAAATTATAGAAGGGAACACCAGTTTGTAGAACCAAATCTTAATTTTGTACTCATATGTAAATTTATGTTGCTACGTTAAGTAATAAACTTGTACTTTCTATTATTGTACGTACTTGAAGAGTGAGCGCAGTGTTGTTTCCCCTAAGTATACTTTTTTTATATCAGTCATGTGATATGTATGACCCTTGGTCAAACCCAGTTCTGTCCTCTCTCCTATGTTTGAATTTGAAGGCGCCTAAAAATAAAATAAAAATTAGTAATTGCAGGAATCAAGATTTAATAACTTCTTAGTTTAAGTGTTTAAAATATATCGTAGCAACAATATCAGTGTGTTAGCCAGGGTGTATGTTCAACTACAAACCATTAACATACAACATACCATACAAACAAAATTTACAAAAGGGGCATTAGTAGCGACAACGGATTAGGTGTCGACATGGTACTCATCAAGATAAGGTAAAGATCCTGGGTTTGAACCCTGCAGCCCTGAGTTTGAACCCAACATACTATGAATACTCATACATAATTACAAATGGGCTTTTTTTCAAAAGCACTGGCACCCTGAGAAATATAACCTCGTAGTTGAAATACCCTCAGAAAAAAAAAAAAAATGAAAAACTTAATAAATTTTTGCTTTGTAATTATGACTTACATATTTATTATAACAAAATTAATATTTAGTTAATTCCAGGCTAAATTTCAAGCTATAAAGGGAAATGTCAAACTTGTTTGATTTAGATAAGGATAGGTAGATAATGAAACTGGAAGGTAGATAAATCCGACACACAAGAACACACCTGATGTTGTTAAAATAAAGTGTATATAATTTGATGTATAGGTTTGCAGTGTTCGAGTGATAAATATTCATTAGGAAGTATGATTCATTTAAAAATTTACTAAAGGTATAACTAAATGGGTGAGTACTACTTTAGATTTATAATGAATAATAATAATTAAAGGAGAAAGCCTACTAGCAAAAATTTATATAAAAGTATAGAAAATAAGTTAAAAGGGAGTTTGAATAAATGTTTAATCAAATATTTATTTGATCTCCTCTAATCTGTCAAACTATTGAACATTATTAAAACAGCCAGGAGTTAATTTAAAGGAAAAACTGAAAATAACAGGGTTGGGCATTCATACTGAGGACAAATGTAGCCTAAGTGTGAGCTTATCTTATCTAAAAGAAATATTTCGTCGATGCAGACTTAACTTGCATCCACTAAGTGTTCTATTTAAAATGTTATGAAGGGGGGTATATCACTGTTTATACATGATTAGCATTATTATTTTATTAAATTTAATGATAATTATTAAAATACTGTTTGTTACATCAACATAATTATTGTTAAAATATCAAGGGGAAAAAATAGATATTAAACTTTAGTGAACTCTAATGATAATTTATATTTCTAGTATATCATTTATGTGACAAAATGAAAAATATATAAGAAATGTCTACAAACGAAGATTATGCCAACAACTTCATCCAGTATTACACTGTTTAAGTAGCTAAACTGACCTGTTGTAATAAAATTAACGTATTAAAATGTAGGTTTTTGTAATGTTTTAAAATGCTTTGTTGTTAAATTAAAATGTTTTGTAATGTATTAAAATGTTTAATTTTTTTTAAATGTGTGGTGTTTAATGTAGAAGAATGCAGTCTACAGGGCTTCAACAGTCAGTTCTTGATTCGAAGCCATCAAGGATTTTATCATTCCCTCTTACAGTCAAACAACAGTTATGGCTAAATTTTCTCTTGCCAGCGGTGATCCAAATTACTTTCTACTTGTTCGGTATTGCCACTGACTTAACAATTGGAATTGTGCTTCTAATGGAAAAACATACATGGGCCGGTGTAATAACAATTGGACTGACGTATGTGGCCCCTCTGATCTGCTTCTTCATGCACTTTATGAATCCCCCAGCAGAAAACAAATGTTCAAAACTCGCTTTGTGGATTCTCGCAGAGACTTTAGCATTGATCTTATATCCAATCAGGCCTGTTCAGAGGTATGGACTTGTTCATTGAACACAAACTTATTATATTAATACAATTGCATTTTTAATTTTTAGCTTTGCTGAGAGATTTTTTTGGGCTGTTGAAGCTCTGCGAAACCCAGACCCAAAAAGAGAAGAAGCACTTGTTGAATATGAAAAGGCAGAAACTTTTATAGTTGAAAACTACTTGTTTATTCAAGGTTTGGTCCATGCAGGACCACAAGCCATTTTTCAGCTAACACTTCTCGTTTTTGGAACATCAAACAACGCTAGCACAAGTAAAAAATCTTGTTACATCACAAATAAAAAGTTTTAGTGCATTTTTACAGTCATTTCATAATAGTTTTCTGAAATTTTAAATCAAGGAAAAAGCATTCACATTTTTATTCTCATACTAATTTATTACTATTTAAATTAAAACATTTCACACACTAACAATTCCAGAATTTTAAATTTTATTATGTCTAAACGTTCATTTATTCAATATTTGCATTGATTAAAATAGTTTTTTTTTTTCAGAGCTTTTTCAAGCTTTTGGTGTTATAGTATCTCTCTTGTCGTTATCTCTTATAACAACATCATACCAAAGGTACGAGACTCAGGCAAAAGGAAGCAGGAAAAGAGTTTGGTATAAGAGTGAAGATAGTGTGGAAAATGAAGAACCAAGAGAACTTCTATATGTTCCACCCAACGAAGAAGTTTTGCCTAGGCGAAGGTCATGGACCAAGGTCATGGAAGAGGACAACTCACTTGGGAAGCTTGTAGCATTTATATTCTGGTTCTTTTTTCTTTTAGGACGGATTGTTTGCCTTGTAATGGCTTCTTTGTTCTTCCCATGGGCTGTACTAGGAGTGTGCATTGCTCATTATATTTTCATGTTCTTTTTTATATTACCATTGACCAATTGCAAGACAAACGTTGTCACCAAAATATTATTATCATTTGTATACATATTTTGCCTTATTGAAGTAGGTATTAGATTTAGAAAATCTCAGTTGTTCCATAATTTATTTATAACTTTTTGTATAGTGGAAAACTTTTCTTTGTCGTTATTATGGGCTTTATGGGGTAATTGGAACAATAACTGGTGGTATGATTATGCACTCTACTTCATGGGAATAACACATTTCATTGCTCTCTTATTTTTATTTATATATATAAAATTTTTCAGACCCACCATAAGGCGAATTCAACCAAATATGTAGACATTCTTTTTATTTTAGTTTATTTACTTTCTGTTAAAGTTCAAGTAATTATTTAAAAATGCTTTAATTTACTTTATAACGTACAATGAAAATGGGGGGAGGGATAAATTGTTCTTGTTACTACTACTAATACTACTACTTAAAATTTCAAAAATTTGAAATATTTGAAAATAATTATGTATGAGCCAATTTAACTGACTTACTGTATAATAATTGTAATACTCCTAAAAGTTCTAGAAATATGTAATTTATGTGTTCCTAATTGATTTTTTTGTACATTATTTTGATTTTTATACATATTTATACACTACAATTTTTGTTCAAATAAGAAAGATAAACGAAATGTAAAAATGTATGACAAGTACATCACGATCATTATCACAATTGTACATAATATATACTTGACTAGATTTTTATTATTTTGATATAAAAAGATTTTAGTAAGAACAACCCAAGCAGTTTTATAAATCTGAAGAGCATGACAATGAAAAAAGCTGCTTGTTCTAGTCAATTGTATAACTATATGAACATATAATATGATAAAGTTTGTAGATAATTAAATCTATTTTGAATAAACTGACTAAAATTAATTGAAATGTTCATAACTCACAGATACCGTAAAGCAAACTATGCTGTGATCCGTTGATTCTTTGTTCAGCATATCATATAGCTGGGCACGTTTTTCTTCTAAATCGTCATATCTTCCAGCTGCTAGATCTATTACTTCACATACACCTCCGGTGAAATCTACCAGGGCATCAGAAAGTTCGCCTTCTTTGAGCGCTTCATACGATCCATGTAGCCTAATATTTAAAATATTTTTATATTATTCGAATTTCACAACTTAAGTATAAAAAATTGTTGAATAACAACTTGGCATATGCTTTCTCGACTAAAGAAGCCCAAAATTCATTCTCAAGATTAGATTGCGTTGTTAAGAGAACATTTTCAACTGTAGGAAGAAAGTCATCTATTACAACATCAGTCCAATTTCCAAATCGCCAAAACTTAAAATGGAATAATCCACAATAGTTATTCTCTCGCCATTCCTGATCCCAATATTCAGGTATTACCTATAAAATTCAATTATTAAAACTAAACATATTTTTTTAAATTGTCTAAAATCTGTTTGTTTTTTTTCAGTATTTTTATGTTTATTGTGAAATTGTTTTTTTAGCCTATCACTTTTCACAGTCCACCTTTCAGACCTTGCTATGCTATTCATCCAGCCACCGAGGTTGGGCCCCAGGGGTAATCAACAGCTAGGTCATTCAGCCCCGAACGCAATCAGTTGCTAAATTCAAACACATTCACACTCTCACTCACTCTTAAATCGATTCTTTTTTATATTCAATTCACATAGGGTGGTAGAGTATTCGACATTCTTCCATTACCCTTTACACCGTTTACAAAATCGAGGGTTGACAGTGTACTCAATATTTCGCTGTCGCTCTCACACCACACATTCATGCCAAAAAATATATTCACTCTCAACACATGCTAGACACAAAACTATTAGTACCATATAGAATAAAACAACCCTCAAAGATTCTAAATTACTGTAAATTTAATTTTTCTTTAATAAATAACAATTTATACAAACTCATATAAAAACTTTTTATTATGCTAATTTTAAACTTATGTTGAGGTGAGCGGCCCCAGAATAAAAGTCCACATGCTTCGTTCAAAACATTTATTGACAACGCTTCAGACGTCTCACGTCCTTCATCAGGTACATAATCATTGTTTTTTTGTTTTTTTTTTTGTGTCAGTAACACCCTTTCCAGCGTCCCAGACCAACAGCAATTTATTGTTTTTCATTTTCTTGAAACGTTGTCAATAAATGTTTTGAACGAAGCATTTGGACTTTTCTTCTGGGGCCGCTCACCTCAACATAAGTTTAAAATTAGCAATTCTTAATAAAAAGTTTTTATATGAGTTTGTATAAATTGTTATTTATTAAAGAAAAATTAAATTTACAGTAATTTTAGTAAACTATTAATAGACTATATCAGTATTTATAAATATAAAATAGATTTGAATACACGTTTTTTGGAACTACGGGTTCAAGAGAAAACTCTCAAGGTCTGCCATGCAGAAAACATTCAATCATTTAGCTAGGAAATTGACCAAGGTGACTGAGGGCATTACCCATTGGAAATATTGGCTCGATCACACAATGGATCAATCACTCATAACAATTATTTGCATGCTATTTTAGAATTGACTTATTTTTTTTATTAATTAATTTTTTAAATTTGATTTTATTTATTTTTTTAAGCAATCAATTGCATAGCTAACAATAAACCTAAAAGAATTATTATTCACAATAAAGCATTAGTTCAATTAAAACAGAAGAAGATAGTCATAATTAATATTATTCCATTTTTTTTTTTTTTTTAGAAATTCAAAGCACAAAATTTAAAAAACAGTGGGAAATAGTGGATACATATTGCTGATACCTTGTTTCTGATTTCTTTTACGTCTGCTAAGATAGCACAGGCTGAAACTATCCAGTTGCAACTCAGTTCGCCAGCTCTGACAATTTTTGATGTGTCCAATTCGGTAAAAAGCCTTGGAAGTGTTGTCAATTCCTACATTTGTGAACAAAAATTATCCTCTGATTAAAACAATATTCGTTTAGTGATAGATAGAAAAATAAGCGGTGGTTTGTAAAAAGCCACTTACACTGGCTCTTTTCCAGACCACGTTATCCGGAATACCCTCTGCTCCAATGATATTATCGATCGCAGGGAATGTCACATCAGTAAATAAAGATCCTTCTTGCAAATGGTGCGATTTGAGGTGGCTGTAGTTCTGCCCTTTGTAAGGGACAACTTTGTTACTCATCCTCATGATCTTCAACCTTTATAACTGATCAACCCTTAATGTTGTCAGCGTTGTTTGAATTGACCGATTCCCAAAGGGCCCTGAATATCATTAACCCCATTAAAACTGTCTGAAAGGGCTTTGTCGAATGCAGAATCAATATATCGCTGACATGCTTCCTTTCAATAATATTTTAATTCATAACCCTTATTAATTTCTACAAAGATCAAATGTTAATAGATAGATGAAAAAAACACATGCAATAAAAGAAAAACTATGATAAAAATATCACGGTCAATTATTCAAGGCAAGCTATAAAACTAAGTTGTTTAGAAATATGAGATCGTTGCAGGATAATTATTGCTGTGCTGTTAAGGACTGAAGTATACATATAAGACAAACTTAGTGGGGAATCTCTGTCTATTTTAAAATGTTATCTCACTGAGAACAGTTGTCATGACTACCCAGAGAAAGCCTTGTGAGTGTGACTCAGTGACAGAACACTGACCTGACCCTTCTCTCAAATCCCAGTTTCAAAGAGGGGGATCTCCCCACTAAGCAGACAAAGGATAGACCCTTTAAATGCCACACCTGAAGGTCAGCATTTAACTTTGGATTTAGATCAAGAATGGAAACAAAGGAACAATAAAATTACTACCTTTTAACAACAGCAACAAAAAAATAGGGCCTAGAAATTATAAATTTTCACTTGTATCAAAGGAATTTTGTTAATAGTTGAAAAGGATGTTTCAGCTCACAAATTTGTGTGTTGGAATTGTCCTTTTCAATTATTGAATTGCTATGTTTACTCAAATGTAACCATTTTTAAGGAATTTCTTGTTTAAAAATTATACACAATGTTACACTTACAGTTTCATTTTTAAAAAATCCTGTTTTACAAATTATAAATACAAACCTTAAAAAAATTGTTTTCTTGAAGCTTCATTAAAATATGTAAAATATAATTTTGATTTATAATAAAATAATAAAAAAGCAAGAACTGTCCAGTTTATAATATAGTCTATATAATACTTAAACAAATTGTTAACAAAATAAAAATATCTCATAAATTTTAAACATCGTATGCTATACAACTATATAAAAAATGTCATTTCACCCATTGATACCTCCAAGTTATTAAGCCATACTTAATGCCAAATACTAAAAATATTTTACTTGTTATTTGTTAACACCTCAAAAAATATTAACAAAAAACACTTATTTTAATTTTTGTTTAAATTAAATTTCACCTTAATCTGATGAACAGGGGTAGTTTTTGACGTCCACAACCTACTGTTTAAAACAAAAAAGTAATGCCACAATTTTTATTTCTTTTGATTTTTCAGCAAAATTTGCAACGTATTTATGCAATCATTTTGTTTTAAATATATGTTACAATGTTATTTTGTTATTGTCCAACAATGATACACACTGGATTTGAGAATTTATTGGATATGTGGTCTATGTGGACCACGGATCACATACCAAATAAATTCTCAAATCCAAGAAATATATATTGTAAAATGTTGTTAGGGCAAGTGGCAACAAAGCACTTTCTGGAGGTTTTTTGGATTTTTGGATTCCAATACAGGATTGACAACCACATGCTATAGAAATGACAAAGGTGGGGAGAGTATGTTGTTCAACTACTTTGAAAGATAATAAAGATATAAGAAATGCCTTTTAAAGTAACCACATGCTATGCTGCCATTTTCAAAAATAACAGTGTATAAATAATGTCTTTTAAAAAAATAGAAGAAAAATATTTGCATGAAAATGGCACAAACACCTCAAAACATAAAAATAATAGTATGTACCTTCAAATGTGGCTTAATTAAAAACAACCAACACCATAATGGTTGAAAATATAAAAATAAAATAAAAATAAAAATTATTTAAATAAAAAGTAAAGAACATATGTTTTTATCAATTTTTAAAAGTGCTTTTTACTTTTGTCAAGTTTGAGAAATAAAATTTAAACAAAAAAATTTTTTATGTTTTGATTTTAATTTGAAGCCAACCCATTATTTTATTGGGAATGTAATTAAATTTAGTAATGGGTCAAATCACTTTACAAAACATTTTTCATATCATTGTCAATTAAATAACCATGAGTTCTGGGATTCAAACCAGAACTGCTAGTGTGGCAAATATGAGCATATTACAATCATGTATTGTTTTTATATTTTTTATTTTTATTATATCCTCCAAAATATTCTTTTATTTACAAAACTATTTAATCTTAATCGAACATTTGATTTTTTTAAAATATTATAATAATTAGGCATCAAGTCGTAAACCCTGAAACTGCAAAAAATTCAATTTTTTAACATTTAATATTAATTACATTTATTAAGGTATTTCAAATATGAATTCATATTAACGCTGGGGTTCTGGTGTTTTCGTAAAAAAAAAGTCAATTTTATAATAATTTTAGTTTCATGTATGTACTATTTACAAAAATCTCAGACTTAATTAAGTTATTTAAGCTCAATTTTTGTATTTAAAGGTTGAAAATTAGTATTTTATTTTATTTTGACCTAGTGATATATTTGAGTAGTGACATATTGTAAGAAATTTTTTTAACTAAATTTTTTGTTCTTTATTATCCTAGCAAATTTGCTTTTCATTTCCAAAATTAAACAATTTAAATCGAATATTTGTTTCCTAATAATCACAACATATAAGCAGCCTAGTTAATCTAGGAACATCAAAATGATCAATTTTGTACATTACAAACAAAATTTGTTCTATTCTTTAAAGTACTGCATGCTTCTGAAATTTTATTTTCATTTTGCTATAGCCAAATTCATAATTATTATGTTACGGAGTGTATTTCTAGCAATTTGTTTTGTTGTTATTGTACAAAAATTTACCGTTCATTTTCTTAACTGGGATAATTAATTAATTTAAAACCACTGCACATTTACTTTATTTATTCTCTTCTAAATTGATATAATTTGAGACTTTCTAGGCTTCCTTTTGCTTGGTTCATATTGAAAATACTTGAGTGCTACCAAACATTTATACAAATTAAAGTAATTTTTCATAAGGAGAGCTTAAAGTCCAACTTCCCATTGAGTGTTACAGATATGGAGGGGGGGGGGTCAGAACCACTCTACAATACTTTTTCTAAAATTAAAATTTCATGGGCTGGACTGGAGTTTAGCTCCCAGAACTGCTAGTGTGGCAAATATGATTCACCTTGTAAATATATGTATTATATACTCTAAGAGCTTAAAATCTTAATTAAATTTTAGATAAAAATTCTGTTGGTCCTGACCTTTTTGTGGCCAAAGATTCAAAACTTTCATATTGCCAAAAACCTAGACCTATCAGATAATAAGTTAAGAATAAGAAGCCATCAGTTCAATGGGAATTTATTAAAAGACAAGGGCATGCAAGAAAGTTCATCAAAGGACCATCATAGCTGAAGGACTGACAGCTGAACTTTTAAACCTAGGACATATTGACGTGTTAGGACTAGATAGTAGGGCTGTTTACTGGACTCTGGAAGCATATGTACAGACTCGTATATGCCTGTACAGATATTGCCAGGAGGATTAAGAAGTAGCGGAATATGTTCTGTGTTATGCTGAAGGCCTATGCAGGCTGAGACTCTTGAAAAGCTGAAGGTCAAAGCTTTGGGATCTGAAAGCCTTAAGTTTAATGAATAACTCTAGACAATTATAGAAATTGCACAATAGACCACTATTGGTTGCAGTTTGCTAGGTCATGAAGAGTCCAACTCCTTTTAACCTTTAATTTAAAAAAAAAATGTAATTTGTAATACTAAAATAATTCTTAAAATACACATAAAAGAATATTTTGGATAAAGGTATGGGGATAAAATATCATAAATTACTAACTTCTATTGCCAATAACTTTTATTTGTTCATAACATGATTTTAAGCTACATTTTTTAAGCTACAAAATGTGATGTTTTTGGTTGACTTGAAGCAAATAAAAATATTAAATATATACAGCACACAAACAAATTCGCCCAATAATAACGTACAAAGTAAAAAGACTAAACACCTATTGTATTGTATTGTCTTACTCATTAAGTAAGAAATAAGCTACAAGCGCGCTAGAACTTGCAAAAAGATTACACTTGTGTTTTTATAATATATTCCCATATTCGAGATAATAAACACATTGTCCTCTTACCTACCAGAAAATAATTAAATTTTGCATAATATGTGTTAATATTTACAAGTATTTGTTTTGTGCCTCTCTTTAAATTCATTATGCTATTCTGTACCTTTTCATACTTCTTTACACATAAAATAAGTGAATAATTCCTACAGTAACCTCTTTACAATGAAATTTATTTTATTTTGTAATTATAGGTAAATCCCATTATGTTAGTATTATTATTTTTAATTATACTTTATGTGAATTATATTTATTTATTACAGTAGGCCTAGCTAGACTGGACTTAAAACTATCCACAATAAATATATTGAATGGAATGAACAGAACATTAAACCATAAATTTTCGGTGGATTAACAATAATTACATAAAACTTAAATTAACACTATACAAACTTAAAATATTTATATTCAGTCTATTTTTTGACTAGCTTGATAAAACAATAACAAACTTGTTACTAATAAAGTGAAACATTTAAATAAATAATTTAGACAGTAATTACAAACTAAAAAATAACAATAATAATATCGTACAAAGAAATAATATTTGAATAAATAAAATTATATATACAATATATTTCATTTTCAAAACAAATGAGAAAAACCTACGCTTGCAATAAAGGCTCAACTTTAAGTTGAGCTTTTCGTGAATTTAGCTCATTGAAACTTGAGTGTTGGGTGTTTCGATATGATAAAATTGATGAGTGTCAGATGTATCATCTGCTATGACTAGATTCCGAAGTGCATTCCGGACAGCATCATCATTGTTAAACGGCTTCTTTTTTGCAATCAAAAATGACTCTGAGAAATCTTCACCTTCACTATCATACCTAAAAAGTTCAAATTTAGAATTTTCCAGTGATTTAAACAGAATTTCATTTTATTTTCTTACTTAAAAGAATGTAATTTACATATGTACATAATATTAAGTTATTTTTTTAAAAGTATGAGAAAGTTCTAGTTGGATGTTGGATTTTATTATTTGTTCATTTTGCTAGCTAATAACAATATATAGACAGATATGAGCAAACTGAGAAATAATGCAAAAAAAAATGTTTTTAGACTATTCGTGTCTTAATTTTAGTAGTTTTTTAAAATAAAATATACTTTTAAATAATAGATCTCAACTTGACCGAAATTAAATAAATAAATGATAAATATATGACAATATTCAAATACATATATTGGATTCTATTCGCTGTAAAATGATAAAAACATCTGATCTCTTTTACAAAATGAATATTTAAATTTCTGCCAAAAAAAAATCATTTTTCTAGAAATTTCTCAAGTTTGAAAGTTATGTTGTGTTGTGTGATAAATACAAACCATCTCAAGCTCACTTACAACTATTTGCACGTATTAAACATTTTTTAATAATTTAAATTAAACTGCAATTTTATTGGGATGAATGGAAAGAAGAGAAAAAATTGAGCAGAAATAATTTGTCAGAATTTTAAAAGACGAGTCTATAACACTGTAAATCAATTGCTATAAAATGTCGAGTCGTTTATTAAATAAATTGACCAATTATGTATTTTCCAACTTCTTTAAATGCTTGAAAATATATTTAAATATACAAAAATCTTCCAACAGGAACAAAGGAGTTTGAGAAAGAGGAATTTAATGACTTGCCTGCTTAAAGGTCTGCTCCCTTCATCGGAATGTGGGTTATTCGATATTATTTCAATGTCATCAACATTCGCCAGTGAAACATGAGAACCTGGGAAATAACATTAAATATTTAAAAATATTTCTGCTGCAAATGAATTTTTTTAATACAAATCTCTATTCAGCGCATAATTTCCACAAAGTTTTTGTTACTAATAAGAGTGGTAAAAATTCTCCGTAAAGCCAAATTACCTGTGTTCAACATTAATGACTGGTTTAAGTCATAATGTGGCATTGCCTCTCTATAATCCGATAGAGAAGACAAAGATGTTTCAAGCACTTTATTTTCAACCATTGCCAGCCAGTGAGCATTGTGTGCTTGGAACTTTTCCATTTTCACTCTCTCTTCATAATCTGGATCCTCTTCCTAAACATTGAGAATATTAAAAAAATATCAAACAAATAAAAATCCTAGATATAAACCTTGATAATATCAATGCAAGAGTCACAGACTTTACGTATATTAACATTTTTATCATTCATCAAATCAATTAAGTAGTCAATGGCCTCTGAAAAATATTTTAAACAATTAGTAATGACAAATTGTTGAAGGAAAGTTTTTTTTTTTTTTTTTTTTAATCAACCTGTTTTCTTCATTAAATAAGCACGAGATCTTGGATGTCTTGAAACTTGATAAAAAGTGTATATAATTTGAAGGACTATTTCATCGTCCTCTTGTTTCCCTTAAAATAAATAATATTATTAAATTTGAACATAAATACATTATTCTTATTATTAACTGAATATTCTCCTTACTGTTCAATAATTCAATAAGGGCAGAAATGATATTGGCATTGCACAGAAGATCAGAACAGGCTTCGTCTGCAGCGATCGAACCAATAAGCATAACTAACTCAAGAACAAAATCATCTTCACGCCCTGGAAAATAAAATACATAGAACCGTAAGTTAGTTTCTGATTTTCGCTATACTGAAAGAGAAAAGTGATATGAAGATTCAAAAGTTTGTGAATTGTTTCCTAAAAACTTAAAAACCTTTATTTTAAATAAATTGCAAAAATTATGCATGCAAGGATTTTCTATTTCTTGTACTCATCTTTGAGAAAGTGACTCGATTTTTTAGTGCATCCCTGCATCTATTTTAAAGAAAATATGTAATCAAACAAGATCTACACTGGAAGATTTCCAAATTGAACTTTTTATTTTTAAGAACACCATTAACCAGAAAGAATGATCTATGTATTATGAGTTCTGGAGTTGTGTCTCATTGAGGAACAACTTGGGATCTGTATACAAGAGCAGGGAATTTTGGGCTAAAATTGAAGTGAACCAGTCTAGTTCAACCGAGGATCAACTCAAAATTAACAATTTTCTCAAACTCAAAGTTGATCTTCCCAGATAATTCTTGTCTCATTATCACACACCTGACAGACAAAGCAACAACAGAAGATGATATCAGGATGATAAGGAAAGATTAAACTGCAAGTTAATCACATGGTTCTACAATTTCCCTTAAAGAATGAAACACATAAGATCAATATGTTGTTTACTATTTTTTTTTTCAGAACTGCTGGTTTATTTTCTTTTATTTCCGCTTTTTGGATAATAATTTGATCAAACATATCAATTTTTTAGTTTGCTACGCTTGTACTGTTTCTTCATTCACTTCATCCTAATGTCATAGAGGTGCCAGATGGTACTAAGAATTTTTATGGAACTAGTCTTTGGAACTCAGAGCTTTGTGAGCAAGGAGCTCACAATGGAGATTACGCGACTTTCTTTCTAGTGAGAAATCTGCATCTTTAAATGTTTTAAATCACAGATTACCAGATAGCAATATTTGTTTTTGCTTAAATGACATAAAATAGGAAAAATTGAAATGCCTATATCTCATTTTCAATATTTTTCTTCGGAAGAAAAACAAGTTATAAAAGACAGAAAACCTAGTATTATTGTTTAAAAACAGTTATTAGCAACGAATTGAAAATTTCAAGAAAATGCACAGATTTTTGACTTAACCTGTTACAACTAATCTACGGGAATACTTGGCTTGCAGTTTGTTTACAAGTCAAGTTAAAATGAAATTTAGAAAATAATAATTGAAAACTAATCCTATATTCATTCCCCTATTTTATATGATTAATATGAACTAAACAAATTTCAAACAATAATCGCAGTGTTAACATGAGACACATTTTTTGCTAAAATTATCAAATTTAAATTTTTTGTTGAAGAAAATAATTTAAGCCAACTAAATAACAAAAATACAATCACGACTATTTTTTTTAAAAGTAGTTTCAGACTATTTTTACAGGGCAGCATCAACATTTTTATTTTTATAAACTGGGAAGCAAATTTGTACAACACAGGATAAATACTGTCTAGAATTTCAAAAACATTTATGTTGTTTTATTATAGCATAGGAGGGCGACAGGTATAATGGCCTCATTAAAAAATAAATAAACAAAACAAAAATAAAATACGATAAAAATACATCATTCTCCTGAAACCAAAATATTTTAAAATTTCTATATCTCATAGTCTCCTTGCAATACTGAAAAAGAAGTTAAAATAATGGGAACCTCAAAATTAAATAAATTAATTTTATGATTGCTTTTCAATAGTGTAATTACTCCATCGAAAATGTTTGTTTGGATGCCAAAAATATTCCTTACAATAAAATAAACCGTTTTAATATAAGACATACCTGAACTATTAACACAATTTAACCACGCACCGACGGAAAAAATATACAATTTGACTTTTTTCTCATAAGGCGGCCCTACAAAAAAATATAAAATGAAGGAAAGGGTAAACAACAATGAAGGATTGTTAATGAAAATTTGAGGTTGATTGTTTTGAGGTCCCCATTTTTTTTTTTTTTTTTTTGTTTTGTTTGTATGTTTGACATTACCTGGTTTCAGTCCTTGTTGGATCCAGAGAAGGAAAGAATTGTTGGAGACAATACGTGACAAATTTGGGAGTTCGCTTAAAGGCAAATTCCCTAAAGTGCCTGTCAGCTCTAGAAGGTAATCTTCATTTTCACATGTAGGCAGTACAAGCAACAATTCCTCGGCAAAGGCCTAACAGAAATGTTTTTCTTTAATAAATTTACCTAAATAATTTTAATTTGTTTTTTAATGTAATAATAGTTATGAATATTTACCAAAAAGGCGTCTTTAGTAGATTCATGGAGCGAGAGATTTCTAAGCACTTTCATCAATAAGGAATCTTGATAAGCCAACACCCTTTGCTTCAAATGCTCGAGACTTCCATTTTCGCACATAGTTTCAGCACATCTTTGATTCAGAGCAACGTTTGTACTCAAAGCAACAAGATTGACAAAATCTTCACTATTGCGATCAATTGATATCAACATTTTCATGAGCTGTTAAAAAAAAAATTTCAGCTTTAACTGACAGAAATATATTAATAATCATGCATGTGAGGAACCTCAAAATTATCTAGAGATATTTTGTACATTTTTTAACGAACAGGATAATATACAAAATTTATACTTAAGACAAATCTGACTGTTCTTTCATGGAAGTAAATCTATATTTAATAAGACTAACTTAATAAGTTATTTATATTTAACTGTACAGTTTCAAAAACAAACCAGCAACTTTTTAGTTAAACTTTTGTGGGTAATATGAAGGACAATTAGGAAGTATGTAACGTATGCCGAATGTGTCATGTTTTATCATTTAAAAAAATTACTACAATATATAGAACTTTAAATACATTAATGATCAAACAGTATAAACAGGAAATGATTTTTTTAAATTATCCTTATTTATCAATATTAGCCAGAGAAACAGAGAATGCAATTAATTACTTGTATTCTTGCATTTTTTTGGAGAAGGGGAGTATGGACAAATAATATTTTAAAAAATAAATAAAATAAAACAAACAGGGGCAATAATGGGGAACCTCTAACTGTGGGGTCTATACGATCACCACCACTCGGTAGTCCCCTGGAAATGATTTTATAAATCAACATTACCATTGTCACTTGAAAGTTTCTCTTCCTTATCAAGGAATCCTTAAACTCTCAAACTTATTACATAAACTACAATTGGTTGCCAGAAATATTTGGGGAAATTAAACCCAATTGAATTTATAATGAACATATTCAACTATATTTGGTGGTTATGATATTTTGACCATATCTGATCATCCTAAACTGCCTATTTTCCTTAGTTTCGTTTGTTTTTGTATTTCACAATCTTCAGTGGTTGGGTTAATACCAATAAGCAATCACTGAAGATGACAAAAGGGCAAAATGTGTCTGAGAAAACCAGCAAGGGTAGACATACTGTGATGATTAGTGATGATCAAGATACATACAAGGTGAGATTAACTTCTGTTCCCTCCCTATATTTTTTTATTGGTATGTTTTTGTGAAAAACCCTGAGACATAATTTTTTTTGTCTAGTTTCTCCTGAACTTAAATAATTTTTAGCTAACTCTCCAGGATAATGTGATAAGAATAGAAGCTTAACTATTTAAGGTCACAATATTCATTAATGACATTCTGTAAAGCTTTTTTGGCGTTGAATTCAATGGTGGAATTTTTTTTTTTTAAATTTGAACGAATTTTTTCAAATTATTCACAAAAAAACTATTTTCAAACATTATTTTTTCTCTGGATGTACCTCTTTACAGCACGATTCCACCTGGGGCAAATAAATTCCAGTCCACTTTCCATCAGCAGAATTATCTCCAGTTTTTCTTATAATTGCAAGACATTTTTACAATATGTGTAGTAAATCGAAAAACATAAAAGCTAAAGCTCTAATTGAAATGAAAAAGTTAGTGTCACGAGCAGGATTCGAACCCATGACCTTCGGCCGAAATAATAATAATAAATATATTGTATTTAATAAAAACTACACTTAAGTGCAATCTTTTTTAAGATAAATGTTAAGCATGGATTAAACCATTTCAATATTCTTTTGGGAGATTTTTCAAAAGCCTCAAGCATCAAAAAAAATTTTTTATTTGTTTGTCAAACATTATTTCCTTTAAATTTGTATTTGTGGACCAAAAAAATGCGCATGGCTGAATCACACTTTATTAAGCTATATCCCGAGTGTCCTGCTTGTCGAAGTTATTTGAGAAAATAGCTGTGAAGCTTTGAAACAAGTGGAACAATTTATTATAAATAATAATAAACTAAATATAATTATTAAGTAAGATTAAGATAAATATAAATTGGTTCTTGGTTAAAGAAGAGGATTTCGTTTTTCTGAAAAACAATCTTTGGATTTTTTTTTTTTTTTTTTTTTTGAGAAATAACTTGAGGGGACACTTGTGCCCAATTAAATACTGTTTACTCTGTTGAATTCAGTATCAAAAAACCTTTCAAAAAATTTCTATTGAAGGGTGGGTCGCCATTTGAAATTCTATTTGTATCCTGCTATCCTAGAGAGTTGCATAAAAACTTTTGGTTCATGAAAAACTACATAGGAAACTAATAGGAAATAATACTTGCCTTGGAGTTTTTCTTGAAAATGTTCCAATAAAATCTTAAAGGAGGGGACAGAAGTTAAACTCACCCCGAAAATGATGATTATTTATAACAGAATAAAAACTAAGATATAAGTACGTACTTTTCATATGATACATTTTCATATAATTATTTATTATTTACCTTCGGCAAACAATTTGTGAATGTAAACATAGCTTTCACTCTATCCTCCATACTAAGATGGTACAATATTTTGAGAATAACAGATGTGTAGCGTTCATCATCTAGAAGAAGCATTGCATTAAAACTAAACAATAGTACAAAATTGATTATGATTATACATACTTAGAAGGCTTGCTAGTTTTTGTAGAAAGCCAACTCTTATCATTTTATCCCTTAAATTAGTGTCAAACGACAAATTGAACAAAAGCTGTAGTGTCGCTTGTTCCAATTCATAATTGTTCATTTGCAACAATTTTGGAAGTTTTTCAATAACATTTAAATTTGCCTGTAGAATTATAAAAATATTAGTGGAAAAGAGAAAATGATATTTGTTTGGGAAAAATCATTTTTTACCATTTCTTCCTTGTTTTCAACTCTAATTGAGAGCTTTGTTAAAAATTTGGCAACAGTGATAAGAAGAGGAACAGAATTCCTGTCCAAGCACTGAACTAACATTGCAACAACATTTCTCTTCCTTATTTTATCTTCTACTTTCAAATTTTCAGCAATGTTCATAAGCAGCATAAAATTTACTACAAAAACATATTCATTCTTAATATACTATTGATAATGACAAAATTTGTTAAATTTTTATTTTTTTAGTCAGCTTACCTTTTAAAAGTCGGTCTTGTTTTGCTATCATTAACGTTTTCTTTTGAATCGACTCTTCATCTGGGGTACTTGGACTTCTCTGTGAACATGCAGTCTTCGGGGTTGGGATTAACGAAAGCCTTTTTCTGTCGGCGCTCTGGCATCCTACAGCTGACGGCGTAGACGACCTCCTTCGGTCGCCACTCGGAGTTTGACCCCCAGGTCTTGCACTCTTGGGAACAGGCAGTCTTGAAACAGGTGCTGTGTCTCGCCCTCTTTGAAACTGTATCTCACTTTTCCATTGTGCATAGAGTGGAAGTTCATATTCTATTATTGAAATGGATAGTGATCCAATCTAAAATTAATAATCCAACAATGAAAAATATTTGTATAAATTGTTTCAAAAAAATGTATACCTTGTACTGTAGTATTAATGAATGGAATTGGGTGAAACAAGAAAAGGAATGGAAAATTGACAAAATATTAATACTCAGATCAATGCTTTTCTTGTAATCCTCTCTTAAAACTCGAGCCAATGCACTGAGAACAGGGTCTAAATAATGCATGTAATTTAATTGCAGGTTTTTTATTATTATTATGTTCAATTTAATGAAATAATCAAGTTACCACTTCGAGAAAGTTCCTCAAGGTTATCAGTTTCAAGACTTAATTGCATAATATATGCAGAGCCTTTGATCTTATCAGCTAGATCCTCATAAAGCAGGGCAACATATTGTTCAAGGTTTGCATATGTCGCTCTCTCACCTGAGGTATTCGGCACCCCACCACTTGGGCTCTCATAACCATTGGTCGAAGCTGATGAATTCATACCATCAGAGAAGTTACCTGGCAATATGAAAAATTTAGGAACAACCATGTATACCATAACTGATTTTGACAAAAAAAGTACATTTTAAAAATAAACAAAAATTAAAGACAACTAAGACAACATGCACATTTTTTAAAATTCAAAATGCATTTTTAAGGTTGTTGTCACCTGTAAAAGCATTTTCTTTCCGGCTCTGGAGGAAATAGATCAAATGCTCGACATCACCTACTTTCGAAGGATGGATCAAAGAACACTTTGCGACAACTTCTCTTGCTAATCTTGCACAGTCCGAACTTTTGTTCAGGCATTTGAGTCGTATTATTTTCTGACATTCCTGCAATTTAAACATATGCCATTTAATATTGTTTAAAAGTTTATAATCCAACAGTTTTGAATATTTTGTTTTGTCGAGCGCTACATTCAAGGGATATTTGGATTTATTACCTTTTTATCGCTCAAGACAGGGTTTTCTGATTCGCCGAGGATTATCGCTTCAACCTCATAGTTGACGATAAGTGCCGGTTCTGATGGGTGAACGTCAATCGCTCCGGACTTGACCCTCCTTTGGAACGAATATTGAAGCGATGTCGAACATTGCATAGATTAATAAAATTGTACACACTCTCAGCAGTAGAGGAGTGGTTGGGTTTTAGGTTTTTATAAAAAGCATCATAAAGCGTTTTGATTGTTTTAAGCTTTTCAACGGCTGTGTAGCTTTTACAAGAAATTTTAACTTTTTTCAACGAGCCGAAAGTGAAATAGAGCAAAATGGAAAAAAATGGGGGAAAAACAATAAATTTAAAGGCTGACTTTCTTGACAAATAACAATCAAAATATGTTTAATATGTAAATATTTTGTTTGAATGCGTCATTAACTGAAAATACCTTTTTATGTATTTTGCATCTTCTGGCTGAACGATTCCCGTCGGTGTCATCATTTTTATTTAATGAACATAAAAGATGACCAAGTTTATCACAGTGCTACAGCGGTAACCGTAACGATAGGGGCTACCTTTCTGGAGGTTTCTAAACTGATCACGGCTTATTTCTCCTCATTTTTATTATTTTTTTATTTCTTTCTTACTTGGAATGGTAAACATTTGAGATGACAAAAAACTGTCATAAAACAATTACCTTTGTGGGTCTGTTCTTTTTATTTCACGCGGCCTATTCGGCAGCTCAGCGTAAGTTTTATCCATGACATGAGCGTTTGACTTTTATTAAAGACATTAATTTTCTTTTAACATTACAGACCGAAGCTACCTCAGAATAACTGGGCAAGAATTCACATCATTGCCATTGGATGTAAGTACCAATTTGAAGCTGAACATTTAATTTACACCCCACTTAAAAATACAAACCCAATTCGGCTACCTGGCTATATATATATAAGAAACAGCATGCTTCCACTGAGATTCTGACTTCAGCCACCAATATTGTTGTAAATAACTGATCATTGAGAATCACAAATAGGTAAATAGGTAGTGCACTCACAAGAGAAATTTGAGCTTGAATCAAATTTTCAAAAAACAACGGCTTTTTATATGCAACATTGGAACTTTGATTTTTGATTTTGTAGTCTTGGAGGTGTATAGTCTTGCATTATCTTGTTGAAATAGAACTTAATTTCTTATACACTAGAGCTGCATTTCATTGAACTGGAGCTGAATATAAAGTTCCAAGTTGTCATGGCTTTTGGAGTGATCCCCTCGAAATTCCACCATTTACAGATCATAACTTTTTTTTTTTTTTTTTTTCAAATTATTCTATTCCTGGGGTAGGTAGAGCTAATTTTCCTGTTTAACCTGGTTTTCAAGGATAAAATCTTCCTTGAATTTCCTAAACCTTGTCTGAGCAACACAAATAGGCACTGCCTCTGACCCACCTATTTCACAGATTTTATTGGCCGTATTAAAGCAGAGCCTCAAAATACCATGAATTTCCAGAGTAATGCACTTTATCAACTCAACTATCTATCCTTGTTGATTGTGTATGTTAAAACTCACCACAAAAATGGAATAATGCTAAAACACTGCTGACAGACAAAAGCAGCGATGATAGGATGCCCAGGATGATAAGAAATGATGAGGTTTTTCCATGATAGATTCTGGGTTTGAATCCCAGTATAGCCCATGCATTTTTAATTGAGTTTAATAAGAAAGAGGTATTGTAAGGTGTAACCTCGTCTGCCACACCCAATGGTTATTTGGATGGTAAGCCCTTCGGCAATTCACTATTTTCAGTGGTTAGTATGGGGTGTTATTTTATCGGTAGTGTTTGCTACAAAAATCAGTCAAAATATAAAGTTTGTGTTTAATAAGTGATAGAAGCAGTTCTTAAATACTGCATAACTCTTGTAACAAATTTATTATTTTTTAGATTCTTTTACAAGGTATAGTCAGCCTGTTCATAACCATGTATGGCGTGATGTACATTGCCGGTGAATTCAAGGAGATAAGGGCGACTGTCGAGTTACAAGCCAAATCCTGGGAGACACAAAGGAACCTCCCATCATTCTATATCTTCAATCACAGAGGAAGAGTTCTTTCTCCGGCTTATATACCTTCCCTTGATGACAACTATCTTTCATAACAGTAACAGGTGTCAATGGACCTTGATTTTTATATAAAATATTTAAAAAAATGTAAATAAAACATGAAGTTTTGAGTGTATTATTGATGTTACATGAATTGTTTAGTTTAATTATCTCTGTTGTTTCTTTGTTTTGTTCTATTTGTTCTTTTTTTTTCTTATATAAAATTTGTAATTTAGTAGAGTCCATAATTTCAAAAGACTAAATATTTATAAATATATTAGATTGTATTGTTTCACTGTAACAGTCAGAGAGCATTCCCTGTTCACACCAAAGACAAAAAGTATTGTTTAATTTTTTATTTAATTTACAATAAATGAAAACATAAACACGTTTTGGTCTTAAAGGTAAAATTGAATATCAAATTTAAGATACAATAAATTTGTTTAATTGAGTATTATTTACTCTGAACTTATCCCAATTTATTTTAATGTGAAAATGTCATGGATGGAATTCTCACAAAGTTTTAAAGAAATATTGTGTATAAAAAAATAGTATATTAGAAAATTTCATTTAAGAAGTTAGAAATCAAAGTCAATAACATTTACAATTTTTGCTTAAACTTTATTCAATTTTCAAAATAACATTATCAATCACAGTTCTTGCTTTGCGACACATACCCTATTTTATTTATCGTTTAAATAAAATACCCATATACAATAGTTACAATTTAACAACTAACAAGAAGGCATAGGCCTAAACTGGTTTGGGTTTTTTCCCATATGCAAATTAAATGCAAGTTAACAAAAATAATTAAATCACAATTATTCACAAATAGGTGATGATAGTCAATCCAAAATTAGGGTGGATATTTTAGGACGAATCGTTAAAATTTAGCAAGATTTCTCCTAAAATTATTGGCAGTTTTTTTGCCTTTGATTAAAGAAGGAAACAAGTTGAAAGAATTTGCAAGATCAAAAACACAAACAATATTCTTTATCAAGAAACCATCTTGAAATATCTGCATCAAACCTGGACATTAATATTTAAATTTGGAATGACTAGATAATTTAAAAATACAATTTTTAATGTCAATAACAAAAAGTTGACTAAGTAATGCAATTTAAACTGTTTATAATAAAGACTTTTTTATGAAAATATCTTTGGCGATTATTCCTTACATTTGTGCTTACTACAATTACAGTGGAAAGAGAATGTTAAACAGTGACTTCTAAAATAATGTTTTCCTCTTTTGGTCCTTTCCCATACAATCATATAAACCACATCTTTTCAAATATTGGAAAATGATTGGACTTGCAATTTTCTTTGGAATGTGTTTTCCACCCAGAAAACCACATACAAATATTTGGAATTTTTTCTCTCTCCTTAAGTTTTATGGACAAAGTGCAGTTATTATATTTTTGTTTTTACCCCGTTTAAATAGTACAATATGTGATATATGCATTAAATTTGAATTGATAATTTTGTTTCCTCTAAAATCTATTTCAGCTTGAATTGCTGAGAGTTAAAACGTTTAAAACCTGATTGTAATACAGCCTCGTTCGATTTGTCAATTTGCTCACCTCCATTTACATCCCTTTAACATGATCAAATGTTTTTAATTATATCAGGCACTTCTAATTGCACTTCAGTAAAACTTCTTGAGCTGCTCATAAGTTATAAAAAATATTATGTTCCAAGGACCCATCCTTACCCAAGTCGGTGTGAAACCTTTATACAAAGCCAAGAACCCTTCGTGTCTTACAGTCTAGAACACAAGAAGAAAAAAAAATTATAAGTGTTTATCAAGCATTTTATCACAATAATAAATCCATATTAATTTGGATATGCATATGCTCAAATCCGCACATGTATGTACAAACATACAATCATGTACAGAGTTGTGCCTAGGCTTCTTGTAGTCCCCTGGCAATTCCAGCTATTGCTATTTACAGTAAATTACCAGCAGACTTGAGAATCAGCCACCCCAGGCGTTGGCAGTCCGGGGGCAGACCTCAGTCTTATCCATCCAGCCACCAAAGTTGAGCTCTAGGGGAGGGGGTGCTGTCAACAGCTAAGTCAATTCAGCACCCGATGCATGCAGCACCATACCCATCCATAATCGCATTCATTCTTACAGACAACTCCTATTTTCATACCATTCATTCAATTAGGGTATGGAGTTGAGCTTTTTATATTTCTCCATCACCTTTTACACATATACAACTAGCCATAGACTCTCTCACATAAATTCATTTCTTCATTCTTTATATTCATGCTAATAAATACATTCCCTCTCAACACAAACTAGGTGTATATAACAATTATTACTACATGCAATAGAATAACCCCGTTTCCTCCAAGAAGTAAAACTGGGAACCCAATTACTTACTGCCCTGTCCAAGGACAATTCTCAATTCGGGTAGAATTCTTGCAAGCTCTCTGAATGGAGCCAAGGAATTGCACCCTTCAATTAGGTGGGACACATTGAGCAACCTTTCTCTGTATGCCGGACATGGGGGTATTTGGTCCAAAATCATATTAATATGTTCAAATTAGTTTAACATATTAACTGTCCAATTATCTCACATTCCATACTGGGAGCACTTTCATGCTTTTACTATTTCATTTCACATGTCCTACTGTTTTAACGTATAAGTTAGCCTATTGTTTTGTTTTCAAAATTTACAGTAAACATTTCTTAATAAACCAGACCATTACTGAGATTCTACTGTACATAACCTCTTAAGAAAAGAATAAATAATCAAGATTTAGATGCATTAGAATTATTGGGTTGTCCGGAAAATAATGCAGGATTTTGGTATTAAACAAAAAAAAAGAAACTAGTTACTTTAAAGCAATGTTCTTTAATCAAAATAATTTCCCATACTCTCAATACATTTCTCCCAACGTGTTGGTAACTTATTAATTCCGTCTGAGTAGAATTCAGAATTTTTAGAATTGATAAAGTCAATAAATGCATTTTCCAGTTCCGTTTGATTTTTGAATATTATGTGTTGTAAGTAGTGGTCCAGGTGTCTAAAAAAATGGTAGTCAGTAGGCGAGAGGTCCGGAGAGTAGGGTGGGTGAGGCAAAGTTTCATAGCCAAGCTCCAATAATTTTTGTGACGTTACACGTGACACATGTGGTCGAGCGTTGTCATGCAACAAAATGGGCCCTTTCCGATTGACCAAAGAGGGCTTCATTACTGCCAATTTCTGATGCATGGTATTAATTTGGTTACAGTATGATTCAGCATTGATGGTTTCGCCAGGATTTAAGAAGCTGTAGTGTATTAAACCAAATGAAGCCCACCATACCGTAACCATTACCTTTTTTTGATGAGTTGGGGGCTTTGGAAAATGTATTGGAGCTTCTCCTTTGTCGAGCCACTGTCCAGAACGTCTAGTGTTATCGTAGAGAATCCACTTTTCGTCACATGTAACAATTCTGGCCAGAAATGGGTCATTTTTGTTTCGACAAAGAAGTGATGCACAAACATCAAAGCGCTGATTTTTTTGGCGATCGTTTAATGAGTGTGGAACCCAATTTTCGAGTTTTTTCACTTTTCCAATCGCCTTGAGGTGGTCAGCGACGGTCGTTTTACTGACTTTGAGTTGCTCTGCAAGTTCTCGAACAGTTGTTTTGGGGTTTTCTTCCACCACTGATCGCAGAACATCATCATTAAGAGAGGAAGGCCTTCCACGACCTTCTTCATCTTCAAGGCTGAAATCTCCCTCCCGAAATTTTTTAAACCACCTTTGCACAGTGCACTCATTAACACAACCCTCGCCCCAGACTTGGTTAATGTTTCTAGCCGTTTGGGCTCCGCTTCGGCCGAGTTTAAACTCGTAAAAGAAAATCGTACGAAATTCTCGCTTTGACATTATAAGGATGACTGAATTATTTCCAAGTAGCGGAATGCTACAGAGGTAAACAAACAATATCATTTGGAAGAGGATTAATAAGTGTTCTGTAAACGTAAACAGAATATTTTATATAGATTTTTTTTAATGAAAACTTAAAATCCTGCATTATTTTCCGGACAACCCGATAAAAAATGAAATTCATCCAGCAGCAGGTCTAAATTTGGTGACAATGCAGTCAACTTGTGGAATATATATCACTTTCTCAGCAATATTAATATAAATTAACCTATATTGGGAAATATTTCATTTTTAACGTACCTTTAAAGGTTCATTAAAAAAAAAAAAAAAAAAAAACTACATACCTGAATTAAACAGTCAATACTTCCAGTGTATATTTTGTTATTACCACCTACTAACAACCTTCTTTGGTTCATCAGCCTAGTCTAGAAAAAAATATACAATATGTTAATTTCATAGAGACAAAGAAAAATCAAAAACTTACTCTAACAACATCCAAAGGAGTAGATGCTACAGCACTTCCTATACTAGCAGTGAAACTGGAGCTGCAAAAAAGTATTTAAATTGAAAACATTTAAATATAAAAACAATGTGCCAAACAAATTGCGCTTATTACATAAAATGGTTTGTAATGTTATCACCAAAGCGCTCCATCAGCTGATGCTTGCAGAAGTCATAAACTGGGAGCTCCACGGCTGCAATAACTGCAGCCCGTTGTGAAGTGGGTCCAACCCCCTAATAAACAAACTCTGTTAGAATATGCATTCTAATTTTATGATGAGTAATTTACCCTCCATAAACCGCCAATTCCTTCATTCCTATAGACTTCTTTGAAGCATGCGAACAAGCCTCTTTTTTCATAGCTACCTCCAAGAACCTGCATTCGGACCTTGAGGACATCAGTCGGATTGGCAATAGCACTAGAAACCATGCCGGCAACAACTGCACAGCAAATATTGACCGTGACATCCTCCTCACCGTTGACAAGGAAGCTTTTCAAAGAGTAATATGTACCAAACTTGATAGTACCATAGGTGGCTTGCCTAAGTACAGCTGGCCATATTCTAGAAAAACAAGGACACATGTAAGAAGATAAACTAGCTACATTTGTCCATACACAAAAAAATAAACATACTGCAAAACAAGTCTTCTTCTTTTCTATATGACCTTCTTGCTGGTTTCAAATTAATTCCTGAAACGTTATTCAAGGGTGGCTGAATTATAAACCAGTTTTTGTTACATATTATATTAATGTAAAAATTATGTTAATACAAAAGGATATAATACATAAAAACTGGAACCTAAAGAAAGGAAGATGTCCAGAAAATAAATATTAGTTCTAATATTGTGGCATAAGTGTATTATTCACTTTTTAATCACACCATTTTATTTTTTTTAAATAGAATTAAAATAATCAAGCTAAGAGAAAATTAATAAGTTGCATTTGGACGGGACTGTATTTTCAATCTTTTATCTCAGGAACTGATTAAAAACTACTTGGATAAGAAAAATAATTGTAATCATCCTTTAATTAATGTCAATTTATCATTTCTGTAACTGCACACAACAGTCGCATAATTAGTAAGATTTGTGCAAGTCTTGATCATCCACGATTATCTTGGTCTGTCTATTCTTGGTGGTTTTGTCCATTAATTACAATTTTTTCTTTCAATATTTTTCCATTTTAATGGTTTTCCTCAATGGACGATCTGACAGAAAAAACAACACAAGAATAGGCATGACAACAATAAAGTTACAATTAATTATTCTTTCTATCTAAGGTTGAGACTAAAAATTAGTGCCACGAGCGGGATTCTAACCCCATGCTCTAATCACTTGAACCAACATGACTTGTATATCTGAAGTTGTGAATTTTTTATAAAATTAAGACAATTTTTCACCAAATAGAATAGTATTGCTTAAAACAAGGTTAATTTATTGATTTTTATTTTTTATTTTATTTATTTTTTAACCAAAGCACTTATTATTTGAGCCGAAGGTCATGGGTTCGAATCCTGCTTGTGACACTAATTTTTCATCTCAACCAAAAACCTTAGATAAAAAGAATAATTAATTGTAATAATCAATGTGGTCAATTATGACCACTAAGCAAATATGAATCAAGTTACTGTTTCATCAACTCGCATACGTCACCACAATTCAAAATTAAAACTAAATTGTAACATTTTCAGCTATTCTATATTTTATTTACTTTAAACCTATTAGTATTAGTGCGAAATATTTATCATTTCTAGAACAGATTTATTAAAAATCAAATATATTTACATTATATAAATTGTCCAGTAAAATAAAACGGTATTCTAATAAACACAGATGGCCCTCTTGAATTTTCAATATGTTTGTAATACATACTTAGGAAGGCTTACAGTAGATATTCATTATTGTACAATGGGTAAAATATGTAAACGCATCACCATTAAAAAAGTTGATTTTTTTTATATTTACTTTTGTAACTGCGTTATGAAGGTATGTAAAATATAAATTGTCATACAGGAGGATTTAACGTCCCAATAGGTGTTGCGGACAGATGTAATGAGATATGTAATGAAGTAAAAACTAGTTTAAGTCCATAACTTTCTACATACTCATATGCAAATATTAAATGTTTAATAGCTTAAAAATAAAAAAAAATCAATAAATTCACTTTGTTTTAAACACTATTCTGGTGGAAAATTATCTTAATTTTATAAAAAATTCATGACTTCAGATATAGTAGTCACAATAGCTCAAATGGTTCGAGCAGTGGTGTATTGAGCCTAACGTCGTGAGTTCGAATCCTGCTCTTGACACTAAAATTTTCATCTTAACCAAGACCTTAGATAAAATGAATAACCAATTTATCAAAATTGCTTTAAATGTTAAATTATAAGTATTGCAGTGAAAATATGGTATGAAATAAGGTAAAATAAGAAACTAAATTTTTTTAAAATTGAAGTTTAAGCAATAAAAATTGGACAGCTCTGAATATTGACAAACAAAACTGAAATATTTTCCAAGCTGAGGTCATTGCAATTTAACTTCATTCATATGAAATTCTTAAGAACAGTACATAGATCTATATACTATCATATGGCCATATCTGCATAGTTTTAGCATCAACTTGGCCTGAGCGTGCCATTCTAAAAACAAAACAATTATGTGGAACACGAGAGGATTGATAGAAATATACTAGTTTATAAAATTGCCGATATCTGTCACATCCACCAGACCAACCACAACTGAGGACACCATGAAATTTCCTGAAAGTGAAAGTTAACAAATCTGTACAGGCAGACTGGACTAAACTAATTTAAATAGTTTATAACTGTTTCAAACAAGAAGGTGATAGAGTTTATATCTCGTTCAGTTCCTGGAATTGAGAAAAATTGAATATCTATTATTGGCCATAGCGCATTCAAATATTGCCTTGAAAGATGGGCAAAACTGTTATAATCGCTAACTCTACTTAGAAGTGGAGAGAAGTATTTCAGGTGACTGAACATAAATTAGCTAAGTGGGATCTAGAAAAGTGCTCAAAGTTGTAGAGCGCACTTTTCAAGGGGACATCTGCTTAGACATGGTTAGGTCACTTACTTAAGACTTAGGAAAGATCTTTAAATCACCACAGACCTAGGTTGTAATTAAATAAAAAATATATAAAAAATAAAGAAACAGATATATAAGTACTAAGATCCTGGTTTACATTTGAACCACCCTTGTGCTCCATCAAAAATAAATATTTCTTACCCATAATAAAATGCTTTAAATCCTTCTTGTTTCGATATCTTAAGGATGGCATCAGTCATACCACGGTACCTCAGGCGGGTACAGCTGCGATCTATTATCTGCCCTTGGACTTGTAGCCGGGTCTTCGTCGTGTCAATTGGAAAAGTACCTGCACTCATTGTCATTTTTTAAAAAAAACTATCCCATGTCACAAAAGAATTATTTTTTTAACTAGAAACAATTCTCTACCATACCAAATTCAGCCGTACAAGAAGCTAAACCTCCATATACGAAAGGCCTCCAGTCCCTCTCTCCCATCACACTACAGCAAGTCTTTAAATAAACGTTATATTCCCTCCAGGACAGAATTGTCTGTAAATAATTTCAAAAAATCCACTGTAACAAGATGCCAGTGAGATGGAACAACAGATCTAACCGTCAAAACAGATTAATAAATTGCTATTAACGTCATTACTATAATCAGAAAGATAATTAGATATTACCTAACTGAAGAAGGCCGGCTGGGAATGAAAAAACCTGAAGACAAACCGGGCCAGACGTTGCAGCACAAGGGAATGGGGATGGGTGATAGGTCCACACCACAAAGGGTATCACCTTGAAAGGTGGGGGGTCCAAACTGCCAAATAAGTGACGCTACTGGTATCACGGTATCACTAGTCGGGTGATTGGATCACTATCTCAATCAACAAGTGCCCCCAGCAACGTTTTTCGTCTTTTTATTTTCCATGTTTGATAAATAAAGATATAATTCCTAAAAAAAAAAAAAATCGACGAATGAAATGTATTTTTGCATTTTGTAAACAGCATTGGGTTTTACAACTTGTCAACATCAGGAAAACTTATTCAATACTCATAAATATTGAAAGAATAAAAGAGTCACAGAATTAAAAAAAAAAAAAACATTATTAGTAAAATATTTTTTAATTCTTGTTGTTGTTGAGCTTGTGTAAAAAAAAATCCAAAGCCTACAGAAATACAAAGAGTATTCTTGGGTTTTAGGTTTCTTTTCAGGAACTAGACAACCAACAAACTCATCTTTTCATTGATATCAATTTCAGGGGAATCAGTCTTGTTTTCGTTTTGGAAATGCATGAATATTAAAAATTCGTTCTTGCAACTACAAGCAATCTTTGCACATTTGCACTGGCAAATTACATTGGTCGGTGCCACCCTTCCATTCTTTCCTTGCATTCCTGATGTTTCAATCCTTCCATATCTTTTCTAGTTTCACCAGCCAATTATAATGTTATGCAATATAACGATAACCAACTCTATTTCCTTTACTCTATATGCTGGCCTTTCCGTACCTCAGGGCCTTGTCAATTGTGGATAAAATAACACAAATAACAAACACGTTCAAAAACCATAATAATTAAAACAGAATAGTCTGGTTAGCAATCCTCTAATTCCAGAGTACTATTCGAAATTGGGGATAAGCCTCATTCATGTTAATAAATTACATTCACAGATTCATTCACACTACCCCAGTGTACTCACTATTACTTGAGATGGTTGGGGATAAAACACTCCATTTATGCTAATAAATTACATTCACACATCAAAATTTATTCATATTACCTCAGAGTATTTGATATTCCATGGGATAATTGGGGATAAGCTCCCCTACATGCTGATAAATTACATTCACACTACCCCAGTGTACTTGATATTTCTCAGGATAATTGGGTATAAACCACTCTATTCATGCTAATAAATTATATTTATACATTTGTTCACAGTTTCTTGATATTCCTCTTTGGTATAAACCGCTCCATTCATTTTAATAAATTATATCCACACATCGCAATTTATTCATACTACCTCAGGGTACTCAATATTCCTTGAGTTAATTGGAGATGAGACCACACATTCATGATTCATGCTAATAAATTACTTTTCAATTAATTAATCTTTAAATAAGGTATTGGTTGAGATAAAAAAGTCAGTGTCACGAGCGGTAGAGCTCAAGTGGTAGAGCAGCGGCGTATTTAGCGAAAGGTTGTGGGTTCGAATCCCCCCCCTTACTTAAAGATTAATTAATTGAAAAGAATTTATTTGGTCAACTGGACCACGAAACCTAATTGATCTAAATTACATTCACACTACCCCACTGTACTTGATATTCCTCATATAATTAAAAATAAACAACTGCATTCACGCTAATAAATTACATTTACACACCACAATTCATTCATACTAGCCCTGGGTGTATTGTTAGATATACTAAAAGTTCAGTCTATGAAATCTAATGTTTGAACTAATAATAAGTTCTCAATAGTTCTACAATAATAAATTAGTCTTTTTATATTTATTATTTGTGTATAATTATTATTTAAATAAAAATAAAAAAACACACTACCACTGATAATGGCGAAAAGTTGAAACAACCAAGACACCAGAGAGGATAGGCAAACCAAACAAACCAAAATGATTAGAAGTGACTAAACTGTTAATAAAAAAATAAATTTTATTTATACTTATTTATATCTAATTCTGAACGATTAAAAAAATATTATAATTGTAATATAATAAGTACAAATAGATTAAATACACTACTAACAGATGAGTTAACAATTGGTAAGTTATCTAACAAAAAGATTATTTTTTAAACATGTATTTACAAAATATGTACAACAATTAATACAATTGATAATATTTTAAATTTATTAAGTTTCAGCAGTTTATCCTCTATCAACAGTCCTGTGATAAAAATGTGGTGCTAGCTCAATTAACCACTCAGGCTTTACGACTGTCAATTCCCTCATAAATAACTTTTGTGTAAATATTGTATCAGTGTAAACAACCCTGTAAATTTTTTTTCCATATAACTACTGATTTTTTTAATATTTTTATTAATTTCATTTACCACTGTGGCTGTTGAAGTGTGTAAAGTACAGACGTTGGATGAATATACAGGTCTTGATTTCCTCTCACACTTTTGTACACTCCAGAAGGGTGTAAATAAGCTGCATTCGGAAAAAACCCAGCAGCGATGCATTTACATAACAGTTCCACATTTCCTGAAAAGGAAACATTGGTGAATTTTTTTTAAAATGTTAAATGTATTGACCACTTTTTTTACTCACAAATAATCTGGATCATGTATGGTCTTGATGAAAAAACAAATTCAATTGTTACTGCCGAGATTTTGACCTATTTTAAGGCTATAATCAGGGCAAAACAACCTTAAGTATGTCTACAAAATGACATAATTAAGTTGTTAATAGATGGTTTCAAATTTCTTTGAAGACCAACTCAATCAAAAAATTACCAAGGATGTAAAAGTATATACTGTAACTACAAAGAACTTTGAAACTTTCTATATTAAAAATTTAATTATATCAATTTGTAGACATACTTAAGATTAAGATCTGATTATTTAACCCTGATGATGACCTTAAAATAGGTAGTAACAACTGAATTTGTTTTTTCATCAAGGCCATACCATGATCCTGGTTCATATTGAACTGTGAACCGTCACAGTCATTTACTGGGTCTATCTCCTGGTTTTTTTAAGTCATTCAAACGAATTTCAGAAGAGTTCCTCACCGAAGATGGCACAATGCCAAAATGCATTTGAATAACAAAAAATACCCACAAATGGAGACATACCCAATAAGTGCCGGTTCAACATGAGTTCACCGACTCGCGACCAAAAGCCATCACAACTCTTTGATCCAGATTATTTGAAGGCTCAAAATAGCAGATTACTTACCATCACATGAAACTAATTCCAGATTAAAACCTCTTAAAAGAGATTCCATTTGGTTTAGCAAATGCGTTGTCCTTTTTAATGCCTTTCTATTTACAAAATTCAAATAGCACCATTGTTTCTTGTCATGATCTGGAATTCTCAAATAAGTTTTATAAACGTTAAGTGCAGTTATTAAATCGCCCTCTTCCACTTCAAACAGCCTTCTTCTTATTCTAGATTTAATGGAAATAGCACCACTGGGAACAGTGACGAATATATTTTCAATTTGAAGCAAAGCTAAAATCATCGCCATTTCTTCTGAACAGCCCATTTCACCTAAAAAAACACGATTGAAATTATTTAAAAAAAAAAAAAAAAATACTGTAGGTTTAAAAATTAAAAATACAAATTTACTTGATTTTAAAAGGGATTTTGCATGTAATGGACTTAAAGGAAATTCTGCCATCTGTATCCCAATTGGCCTTGTTAATTGTGCATCCTCGGTCAAAGCGCCGAGAGAGTGAAGTAGCTCCATTGCAGCAAGGAGCGATTTTGCTGGAGGAGCAGTAGGAAAGGAAAATCTGACAACGTTATCAACACCGAGAGCTTTCAATTGCAAAACCGCTCCGCTCAGTTCTGACCTTCTCATTTCACTAGGTGTCTCGGGTATCAATTTCTCATAATCATCCTCTGAGTAAAGTCTGTATACAATGCAATACAAACAAAATTTTAAATTATAATTAAGAAAAAAATATATATACCTGTAAACTTTGCCAGGTCTGTTTCGTCCAGCCCTTCCGGCCCTTTGCTCAGCTGACGCTTGTGATATTGGAACAATGACCAAACTATCAGTAAAACTCTCAGCATTAAACCATCTCATCTTTACAAATCCACAATCAATTACTGAAAATATATATCCAGGCACTAGTTATTATTCTAAAGTTGTTCCTATGATGGTATATTATTATGAATAAAATGTTGCTATTAAGGTAGTTTTACATTAAGCTCTTTTGTCTTGATTTTGTTGGTTGATTTGACAAAAAAGTAAAAAAATGAAATGCAGAACTGAACACATGCCCACTTCTGTCATTTTTATATATGTGTCCGCTGTAGGGTTAATTATAACCATTAACACTTTCTTTGTTTTTAAAATAAACCTAATTTGTCACAATCATGTTGTTACACATAAGAGGGGCAATTTTAATTGTTAATATACTCACCGAAATTTACACCTGGTATAGTCACTGATGTCTCAGCTATATTTGTGGCCAGGATTACTTTTCTCATTCCTTTTGGAGTGTAGCGAAATACTTTGATCTGCTCTGTGTTTGGTAAAGAGCCGTACATAGGAAGCGGGTAAATTTTCACTGTAAAAATTAATATACACTTTTAATATTAATTAGATTGTTTAAATTTAATTTGATCTACGTACATTCTTTGTCCTTGCTTTCATGTTCCGACAGCAAAGAAACTGCTAAATCCACTTCTTCTTGTCCTGTCAAAAAAGCTAGGATATCACCTTGAGGCTCAGCAGTGTGAATTTTCAAAACGGTTTCAACAGTCGCCTTCACATAATCTGCTACAGGTTCTGGAATGCAATTGAAATATAATTAACAAATTGTGAAGAAGTTGTAACGGTAGTTAAAAATGCGGATCAAGTACTATTTCGCTGAGAAACACACACACACTTTTTAATTTATTAAATTGTAAGTAATATTAACAAAAGTAAACCTCGGACATAATGGACAGTGACTGGATACAATCTTCCTTCAACACTAAGAATCGTTGATGTGTCTCGTCCTTCATCACTAGTCTGATTCAAATTGAAAAACTGCTGCAGAAGTTCAGCATCAACTGTGGCTGATGCAATGATTAGTTTTAAATTTGTGTTTTTCTGCAACATACAATTATAATCAGTAAATTAGAACTGCCGATACAATAAAAAGGACTAATATTACCTTGATAATTTTCTTCAGCAATCCCATTAGAATATCAGTGTTAAGAGTCCTTTCATGTACCTCATCGAGCATAATAACTGAATAACATCTCAAAAGTGGATCAACCATCATTTCCCGCATTAACAAGCCTTCTGTCATGTACTTTATTTTAGTTTTGTCAGGGTCAGTGCAATCGTCAAAGCGTATCGAATAGCCAACGGTATGGCCTAATGGAGAGCCCCTTTCTTCTGCTACCCTGACGGCTAAAGTAGTCGCTGCAACCCTTCTTGGCTCAGTGATGCCAATGATCTTTCCATTCTCACACCAGCCAGATTCTAGCAAGTACTAAAATTGAAAAAAAAAAAAAATGAAAGTTTGTGAAATGATTATTTTATTAGTCTGTGGTGCCTAGGGATGGTGGTGATTTACATTTAATTTAGTGAGGAACCAAATTATAATGTAGTTTAATGACTACCAAAATCCTGAACGCTGAAGATGGTGAAATATATGACAATTCCAGCAAGAATGAGTAGACCAGAGATTTATAAGTTCACCATCTTCTACAACATAAGCTGGTCAGGGGTATAAGCAGGGTGGAGCTCATGAAATGCCGAAATATACCTTACAGACCAAACCAGAAAGAATAGGCAGGCCAAAAAGATCGGTAGTTCATCACTCAGAGTATCTTTCATAATAAGTTTAATATAAAATTTATATTATACTAAAAAGCTTACCTGAGGGACTTGTGTGCTTTTGCCGCATCCTGTCTCCCCGACAAGCACTAGTGTCTGGTATTTTTCAAGGAGGAAAAGTATGTCATTTCGATTTTTAAAAATTGGTAGTTTCTTTCTCTGCTGTTCCAAAACTAACGCTAAGTTTTTATTAAATACAAATGTTGTACTGTTAAGCGAGTTAACGTCGCTTTTGTCCTCCTGCCAACCACCTTCATCAGCTAGAAAATAATATACATTTCAAAAGAACAAAACATTACAAATAATTGAAACAAAAAACAAAATAATACTCATAAATGTTGAATTATGTTCAGATTTAATAATTTTCAACAAACCTGGTTTAAGAAATCTATTAGACATGTTCTTTTTTCCTGTGTTGTTTTCAAAAGTCAAACATCCCAATAAATCTACATCTATAGCAGATAAACAAAACCGAATTGCAACCTTTGACTTTCCACTGCTTTAAATCTGAGGACGGCCGCCAGGAAAGCATTTCATGCTTAATATTTTTGTTTACTTTAAATTTACATTGAAATTTTGTAAATTAATAAAATCATTGATCTGAATATTTAAATAAAACAAATAATAATAATAATATAGATTTAATATTTGTCACTCAAAAAATCTTTAATTTTATGTAGTCATTTTCTAAAATTTAGATGTAGCATTTTATTAGATATAGTCAGGGTGTTTAATTTAATTAAACAAATTACTTACTAAACAATTACATCCCATTTAGATTTTAAAACAGCAAAGTACAAATTTCTTACACTTTAAAAAAAATTCATTTTTTCAAACTTGCCTTTGCAAACAATTTGAAATTCATTTGTGCAGAAACTATGCATGCTTAAGTTCATTTAAGTACAATATCTGAATAAACCCCCAGTTTTCAATCTCCAGTCAATGCAGGATATATTGCGATGTATTTTTTTTTTTTTTTTTTTAACGAGGGTTCGCAACAGCAGAGGTCTTAATATAAACCCTGAGGGTGCCAGTGTTTTTGAAAAAATCCCATTTGTAAGTATGTCGGGTTCGAATGCAGGGCTGCTCCATTCGAACCCGGGACCTTTACCTTACAGTGATGAGCGCTGTGTCAAAAACTAAACCTTATGGCCACCGACGCCCCAGAGAGCAAGCTATTGTTCAGCATTCAAGAAATAAAGCAATAAAACAAAATTGGTGTTATAACTTTTTATTACAATATTTTAAAAAGAGTATAAATTTGTTTGCAGTAACGGTAACTAATACAAATTGTCAAATGAAAATGACTTGAGACTCGTATAAATACTTAACTTTTTCTAACATAATGAAGACATTTAATTAAAGCAAGTATTGCATCTTATAAAAATGATTTATAAAGCATTGTGACAATATTAATTTAAATAATGAGACATTCCCTTCTATTTATTTGTTCGTTAATTACAAGTAATACTATTATATATATAAACACAAGTCATGTTACACTAACAATACTTATATAACAAAACTTATTAACTTGTTAAACATTTAATATAATTATTATAAATAAGTAACACTTTAAACATTAGGCTTGAATTTATTACAACCTGAGTGTTTCTTTTTAACTAGTATAAGGAATCCCAAGAAATGTGCTTGGTATTTAATAAAAATGAAATATAAATGGCCAAAAATAAGCCATAACAAATAGAGATTCAATGCAATTTACATTTTTTTACAACATATTTCCTTAAAAACACAAAAGGATGTTCAATGCTGTAAATAATTTCAGAGTTAAATATTGTAAGTATTTTCCAAAATCTCTAGATTTACATAAACCGCATTTATTAACTGGTGGAAATATGGTGGCCAACTTGGCTGACTGTATGTTAATTTAACAAAGACAAACAAAAAACAAAACAAAATCAGTCTTAAAGTCTTAAATTGAACATCATTTTGTTAACTTATTTTTGTGCACAAAATAAAATTCTGAATATACAACAAATATTAACAAACGTTTGTTTTAAATTATCCTTATTCTAATAAAATTCTTGTAATTTTTTTCTTTTAAATATAAACTATAACTACTGTCAATGACATACTTTCAATAGATGTAAACACATACGAAAAAAAAGAAGTTTTTACAACATTTAAAGCTAACATCAGTCTAAAAGACTTTGCCACTAATAGAACTACAAGCAAGATTACATTAACAAACCACAAGATACACATAATTTGCCTATGCAATAAGTAAATGTAAATGCTTGTTTCTTTCTTATAAATTTATTTTATTTGTATGACAACAATAGGTTAATATACACAAAGCAAAAGAGAAAATATACAATATGCAAAAAATTGCTTCAACACATTAAATATTAATTATAAGCTTTTTCAACTTTATGACTAGCGTTTTTAAAGATTTTTCTCTCATATTTCAATATTTGTTCAACTGAAACATTCTACTTTTTTAAATGTTTAATCCCAAGCCATGTTTTGCTTACTTGTAGTTATCACAGGATTTTTTATTTTTTAAATAGTCATATTATGTCATACTAATAATTTTACTTGGGGAAGACAGTCTAGTTTAATCTACAATCTCCAAATTATATATATAAAGTGCAGCAAAGAGAATGTAAAATTTTTAGTTAAAAATTATGGTGAAGAATTGTGTTGAGAAATTATCATTGTAAAATTGAACAAGTAGCTTTATTTTAATCCAGGGAAATGCCAAATTTTTTGCTTTTACTGTCTTAAGGTATGTACAATATAAGAATAGAGCAAATCAACATACTGATGTTACAGGGATCTTAATTCTCTTTGAAAAGAACTTCTCACTTCACAATATTAGCTACAATTTATACATGTTACATTATGATTATGTTGTTTTTAACTTATGTCAAAAATTAATTTTGCTATCAATAATCCCGAATGTTATTCAAACATTTGTGGTCAATTTTATATATAAAACATTAAAATCATGTTTAGTCATTAAAAAGAAAATAATAGCAAAATTTTTATGTTCATTATGCTTTTTAAATTTATTATCTAATGAATTTAAAGGTTTCAGAAATAAAACCTATTGTTAGTTTCCCCATACATAACACATATTAAATATATGTTTACATGATTTTTTTCGTTGGTCATCATATATCAACAAAATACATTATTATTAAACAATAATTTCACTCCAAGGATTTTTACTCGTTTTTTCTTACTGTACAATTTATTACGACAAATGATTGTTAAGAACAAATATACTATAATGTCCCGTGTTATACACTTTTTAATAAGTATCCAAAACACAGCTTGAATGCAAAACAAAAGAAGAAAACTGGCAGTTTTTGTTTTGTTTTTTTAAATCACAATATCAACTACTCTAGAAAGAGTGCAGGATCAGTTCTTGTACCTAGAAGGCATTTATCAGAAAATGCTAGGCACTTCTAAATTTCTACCTGAAATTTTCGTTAGGCACTTAAACAGATTGGTCACTACCAGAGATCTACATATATATTATATACAAAACAAAAATAACAACCTATATATTGTTTCTAAGTACATTTACATTTTTAGTTTCATTTAATAAAGGTCTGACTATTTTATACTGGCAAACAAATTACTTAAAGCACTTTTCACTTAATAAATTTGTAAATACACCGGAATGTTTTTTTTTGTTCTTTGTTTGATACATGAATATATCAAAAATCTAAATTTTATAAACTTTTATCTGAAAAAAGAAAAAAATAGAGAAAATCTATGCCAGTCTCTTTTGTTTACTTTAATTAATTTATTTTTCATAGAAAAAATACATTACGTTAATTACTGCATACTGCATATTTTCTTCGTGATTATCCACAATATTAACTTTTTCGTTTAATTGTCACAAGTTACTGATATTGTGTGATGATATTTATCTAAATGCATATAAAGACTAGCTTATTAGGATAATGTAACATATATATAATCAAATTCAAAAAGAAAAAAAATACACTAATAATATCAAAATTAATCATGCAGCAAAGTTTTATTTAATACCTAACTTTTAAAATAAAAGTTAAATTGGAATGTATGGATTTCTGTTACAAACGTAACAAATTGTTAAATTTAATTTTAAGCATAAACATAGTAATATAATGAAAATTCCTAAATGTGAAGGTAAATGATAATTTTTCTAACAAAATATTAGACGTATAGTCTATTTCAAAATGACATCAGATTTAATTGAACGAAACATAGATTTAAGATTCATTTTGCTTCTCTTATAAGGAATTTTTTTTTTATAAACATGCAATATATCGACAACAAACTCCTATCATTTTATAATACTTAACAGAAACAAAGAAAATAACAAATAAATAAAAAAATTTAATATCTTATCTAATTAACACATTAAATAAATAAAGCTGTTTGTTGTTTTTCTTTAACCTCCTTCACCAAGATTAAGTATTACTCTATGTGGTCCCAAAACCATAGACTTCTAGAACCTTGATTTCAAAATCTCGCCCAGCACAAAGAGGTGGATTGTTGAAGGTTAAACAACTATCTGTTTTTCCAAAACGGATATTTTCATCCATCCAAATTGCTTGGCCATCACTTGAAAAAACCAAAACCAAAATGTAATATAAATCATTGAGGGAAGTTTGACTAATTATATTGAGTGATTCAAATTAAACGATTATGCAAAATATTATCTTCACCTTGATGGAGAAAAAAAATACTTAAATCTATAAATTATATAATTTTTTTTTATTATTAAAAGAATTTAATTATATAAATTTCTTCCAAGAGCTGGTTTTTGAGATGACAAAAAATAAAGACTGTTACAGATGATAATAAACTGTAACTGTCTGTAAATAGTTCAAATTAAAGAAATTCTTATCATACAGTAGGGGAAAATGTCTAATTATTTGTTATGGTTGTTGTGCATGCTAGGATTTGGATCCAGAATCGCTAACAAGGCTAATATAAGAATTGGATGTGGAAATATTTCAGCGTTCTCAGCCTTAATTTTTATTTTACAAAAAAAATCATTTTAATGTGACATAAAAGAGTTATTAATTTATTAAGAAAAAACATCTTTCTTAATTTCCTTTTCTATAAGATCTAAGATATTTCAACCAAATTTAACTTTACTTGATCTAAATTTCAACATTACTCATTAATTTATGTTCATGAATTTTTGTTGTTTATTAATTATTATTGGTGGTGATTTTTGTAAAAAAAATTGTATGGATATAACATAATACTTGTTTTTGAAAATAGGCCTCTCCCGAATTCAAAATATCTCAATCTTTTATCTTTGTTCCTCACTTGTTTTGTAACTTCTATTTTGTATAATCTTATTCACTGTAATAGACATCTAATTATGGAAGTACCTAGGATGAAAAAGATATTTTAGTTTTATCCTAGTTTTATGTGAAGTTGATAAGATACGAGTGATTTCTGTGACAAACATTGATGTTTTTCCTTATTTGTAATTAAAAATTATTGTTTAGTATTATTTTTACTAGTTGTTTTGTTAATTCATTTTTGTTTTATTATGTTATCTGAAGATTGGGAAGAAAACCCCGAAACGTATACAAAATAAATGACTTTGCTTATATACCATTTAAAATGTTTTCACACCTTACATAAATATTTTTCATAAGCATAATTTGTTGTGGTTTTTTTCTGTCAGCAATGTATTATTTTGTAATCATGATAAATCATTTTGTAAAATGGAAGTCTGATTTTTTCAATTCTACCTTGCTCTTATTATTTTTGTTTTTCTTAATCAAATTGTATCTGGGATTGCTTGAATAAACATAACGATTCATCGTCGCCTTTTTTTTAAGTTCAATAGTTGCCTTCATAAGTACTAGTATATGGATCCTAGCTTCCCTATCTTCCACTGCTTTTAACTTTCAGATGTGTTTCCTTTATTTTTCATTGACAGGTCTGAGTGTGTGTTCTAACTGAAGATGGATCGAAATCTGCCTGACAACGCAAAGCAGCGAAAATAATCAGACCAGGATGATTGTACAATACCAAACTACAGGTATATCACCACACAGACCACAATAAGGAAAAAAAATTAATATAACAAGGTCTGCAGAAAAAATCCACTTTTGTGCAGAGTGGATAGATCCAAGTCTACCATGATATCCTGTTCCTGGTAAGACTACGACCTCTACCCTGCCATACAGACTGGGTTTAACTTGTAACATGTCACAACTTTATAAACAAAAGCACATTTTCTATTTACTTCTAAGTTTAATCGCTGAAGATTAATCAAGCTTTTTAAAATTTAAAGGTAAAAAACTTAAAATTCATGAGAGGAAGGAAATAATGTAATTTCCAAAAATGGATTACCAAGACATTATTATGAAACTGCTCTGATGAGGACTGACGGCAGTACCCATGATTGGTATGGAAGGAGTCCAGTCATAGAGGGGTTTAAAATGTAAATAAATCCTATCTGTTTTGCCAAGAAATGCAAAAATTGTCCGTTAAAAGAGAAGATCGCTATAGAAGGGGGGGGGGGTCCACTGTACATAAAAAATAAAACATTGCTTTCTTACCCTCCTCCAATTGTTATCATTTTTGAATCAGCAGCCATGAACAATTCCGCTGAATGTTTCACTGAGCTCTCGTCCATTCCGACCCAAGAATATTTTGCCCGTTCAGGATACAAGCTGAAAAGGAATGTTTCACCGGTTCCAAAGTATGCATTTCGATTTCCTCTTTCGTCTTTCTGATTCCTTTCCAACCACCTTGAAGAACAATACGCGCCAAAAACCTAAAAATAAGTTTTAATTTAAATTATTATTATTGATGTATATGGTGGGAAATATGTAAAAGGTACTGACTTCATTATTGCAGGTTTTAATCATTAATAAAGTCGGCTCGTGTTGTTCAACTCTCACATAAAAAGTCTGTAAGCTGCAACCGTGTTCTTCAGTTGTATATAACAGGAAAGGTTGATACATTGTAATCCTGACTGGTAACCATGACCATAGTGTGAACAACTGTGGAAAACAGATACATATATAAAAATAACCATACTAGTTGGTATGACAGGTATTTAGAAAAAAAAAGTGAATGGAAATTTTACATAAAATGAAGTGCTGCAACAAAGATCAAATATTCCATTATATCAAAGCAATGCATAATATTAGATTTATTTACAGTGAAAAATTAACAGTTGCAAAATTCGTGTTTATTATTACAAAAAAAAAAAAAAAAATGCATTCCTACAGGATATAATAATTTTAAAAATAACATGCACAATTTATAAGAAAATATGTACAATTTTAAAACATGCATATATTTTACATATCTCTGTTCAATTTGGAAAAAATAATTGCTAATGGATTTTTTAACAATGGTGATTTGCTAAGTCAAAAATCACATTTACCCCTCTTATTTTCTTTATAAATTTATATTTATTTACAAAAAAATCAATTATTTAATTTTAAGAGAAATCATTGGTTTGGAAAGAACAAAAAGTGACTATGAAAGTAAAATCCTCACCTCTAAACTGAAATTGAAATGAACAAATTTTTTAAAATTGAATTCTTGTAAAAATTCCCTTTAAAAATAACTTAAAGCTTAAACATTGTTCAACTTAAACAGAAAGTAGATTGTAGTTTGCCTATTCTCACTAGTTTTCTCAGACATTACATGTTCACCACCATTCAATACATCAATACAATAAACCACAATTGTGTAATTAATATCGTTTTACAATTTATTAGCATTTAATTTAAACAAAGTACTCTGTAAAGAGAATGAAATTAACAATAAATAATAAATTACCTATTGTTATATCTTACTGCATAGCTCACCAGACCGCATCTCACGATCTCCAAATAATTAACTAACGGTCACTAAACACCACACATTACTGCATAGCTATTTTTAGGTGTGCAAGGAAGCAAGTAATATAAAAAAGCATTTCACATTTAGAAAATTAACTTTTTCAATATTGCCATCAAGTGTTTACCACCTATCTGGGTTCAAGTTTTAGATTCATTGTCAAAATGTACAACATAACAAAGTAAATTAAGAGACAAGTGAACTATTTTAATAAAAGAAATACAAATTATGTAACAATTTACATGCAAAAAATGCATACATTTATACACATAACATATACAAAATTGTAAGGGAAAAAAATCAACAACAATCAACAGAAATACAAGATGTAAAGCGCAACGAACAGACATATATCACTTTTATCCACTCTTGAAAAAATTGATGTCATTTCAATATGTAAAATAAGAAAAAAAATTTAACAATCCATTACAAAAATTGACAATCAATAGCAAAACAACATTGTAATGACATTTCTTGCCCGAGTGGATAATGACTTACATCTTCCTGGTCTACAATCATAGATCGGATGTTATGGATCGGATAACTGCCAATTGATGAAGAAACCCTCGGTCCTGGAGAATGTTCTCCCTTAGCAGCAATAACACACAATATCGCACTTTCACATCTCCGCATACTTTCCTTCCGCTTTAACAAGTTTCCCAAATACCCTTTTATACTTTAAGTTTTTTTTCATGTTTTAATTGGTTAATTAAAAAAACACAACAAACTGATTTGTTTTATTTCACTTCGATTAATTGTAAGTTATATAAGGGAAACGTATTATATTTGGAAGTAACAGATTAAAAAATTCACTCGTTAACAAGACTCAAATTGGAAATTAAATGCATCACTCACTTACCAAAAAATAAAATAGGCGGCATTAATGTAAAATCATCTAAACAATCTGAGTAATGATTTAAAAAAAGGTGCTTTTACAAGTAACATATTGGTGATTTTATTTTAACAAAGGTGACTTGATTGTGCAACACAAGGTACTTCTATTTTAATACTTCAATAATGATCTCTGATGATATTATTACATAATCTATAAGAAATAATATTAATTAACAAGGATGTAGGTTTTAATGAAAATTTTTAAACTTACTTTTTTATTTTTATTTTTTGTGCATAGCATTAGAATTAATTTAAACTTTTGTGTTACTATTAAAACTCAAATGTGAGTAATTAAAGTAGACATAAGCTTAAATCTGCACATGCATGTCCATAAATACACACATGTACAGAGTTGAGCCTATCACTTCTTGCAGTCCACCGGCATTTCCAGCTTTTGTAATTTACAATGAATAACCGGCAGACCTCAAGAATCACTCACCAGGGTATTGGCAAGCTAGAGTCAGACCTGTCTTATCTGTCCAACCACTGAGGTTGGGCTCCCGGGGCTATAAACTGCTAGTTCATTTCAGCGCCCAACGCAATCAGTTTCTAAAACCAAACCCACTCATTCTTAAATACATTTTTTCTCATTTACATACCAACCATTCAATTTTGAATTTTTGACAAGAGTTTAGGTGTTGACACAGTGCTCATCATTGTAAGGTAAAAGTCCAGGGTTCGAATCCAGCAGCCCTGCATTCGAACCCCTTACAAATAGGCTTTTTTCAAAAACACCAGCACCCCAAAAATTAATATAACCCCATAGTTGCAATTCCACTATGGACCCTCTCACAACACACATTCACACCAATAAATATATTCACTCTCAACACACACTAGTGGAAACAAAACAGGACTGTATATATACAATAAAACAACCCTGTTTCCTCAAAGCATCAAAACATGGAACCCAAATTTCACCGCCCTGCACAAGAACAATTCTCATATCTGGTTCTCTATATGAAGACAAGGAATCGCACCCTTCAATTAGGTGGAGAGCAACCTTTCTCTACATGCCAGACATATACACAGGCTTTGACCTAAAAGTAAGTTCCTTGTATCAACCTCACATGGCTTAGTATATCAGGTATACCCTTCTTCTACGAGTCAGGTCCTCAGGGGCCACCTATTGACAATGCCCTTGGCCAGCCAACACTGCCTCTTTCTTTTAAACTTGTTTTTTTTTTTTACATGTTTAGTGTAGAGAGCCAAATCATGGGGGACAAGTCTGGAGGTTGGGATATCCCGGCCTTACCCGCATTGTCCGCCTTTTCATTACCCTCCAGACTTAAGGTCCATGATTAACAGCTAACTTTTATAAATAACAAATATAATTTTATTTTTAATCCATATTAATTAAATTTTTTATATTTTTAAAATAATTCATCATCTGAGAACAAGTTTGAAAAATTAATATAGAAGTTTTGGTGATACACAACAGTGGATGCTGGTAATTTCTACTTTTTTTCTCTCTCTCTCACTCTCTTTCTCTCTCAAGTGCAGTAGTGTAATATACACAATGAAATTGCAAAATAACATTCTTCTTCAGATTCTCTTAAAAATTAAAACAATTTTATTAATAATAATGACTTTCTTCATATCATCGTTGTGCAAAACACAGGACTGACCTTAACATTTCTAATACTGTATGTATTACTTTGAAAAAAAAAAAAAAAAAAAAAAATCAATGTATACACAAAATAATTTTTATGTCTGTGAATGAATGAATGAATATCGAAACTGTCTTATTGAGTGTGGAAACAGTTAACACGACTGAAACATACCATTTGACTCATAGATCCCTGCATTTGAAGAATTCGAGTCTTTTGCTCTGTTTCCTGTAAACCAACACCACCCATCACCGCCACCACCAATATATTACCCTTTATGGATATAACTTAAAAAAGAAAAATAAAAAAAGACAAAAAAAAAAGCAGACAAAAAAAATCATGTATATAATAATTATATACATAAAGCATAGAGGAATTTACTTACTCAATAATTTATTTACATTTATACTTAAAATTGGTTTAATATTAATGATATATACCTCTCTAACTGTAAGGGTATGAGATGTTAACCGAACATTGATTTGAGACTGCGATGTTGGTAGATTCTCAGACGATCTTGATCTCAGTAGCTGCCTTGGTCCACTCAGAATAGATTTACTTTTTAAAGTCATCTCGGTATTTAGAAACACCTTTCTTATGTAGTTTGAACTTAAGCCTCTAATGCCGAAACTAACTCTCAGGAGTTTTCTCGGACTCACCTGTGTAATACTCGAATTTAAAATTTACACACTTATGAGTTATGGAAAGTATATTTTACCGGAATTTGTGAGCAAAATTTGCTTAAAGCTGGATCGACGCCACTTTCTTGAATTTCCTTGTGCCACGTAGAAGAAGGACTGGAAGAATGCTTTTGGAAAAGGACAAGTATTGCCATTGCGACTCTGTAGAAAACTTTGATGCCTTCGTGCAAGTAGCAGTCCATTACTCGAACCTGCACCCATACACCTAGAGAAACTACATCATACTAGACACCGTTTCTTTTATTATAATTATTTACCTACTTTCTTCATTACTATGTGTTATGAATTTTCAGATGAGGCCCATTAAAATTAACTTTAATTTCAACAAAAGTGCAAAAAATAAAAATGAACTAAATAAAAAATTGTCCAATATATGCTTAGAAAAATACCTCCAATTCTTACTAGCTTTAAATGGAAAATACATGTAAATAAAAATGAAATAGTTTTCTTTACCAGGTGAGCAAAAGGTAAGCTTTGTAGAACCCACCAAATCCAGTCTGTATATATCCTTTCTGATCTAGAACTACAGCAATGTCTGCCAAGACTCACTGCAGCTGATTTCTAAAAATAAAAATTAAAAATATTACCATACAACTTATAATTTCAGACTTTAAATAAATTATAATTTTCTTTGTGCCTAAGTAAAGGATAGAATGTATGGCTATCTCTGATACTACTGTATATATGTATAAAGTGGGAGGTTTATGGGTTGATAAACAGCTGAGGTCATCACCAATCCTCTGCGTGTTTTCATTTTTTTTCTGATACTTTTTGTATTTTTATTAAATTTCAATTGTATTAAATTGCATTGGAATGGCAGTAATTAAATTAATTTGAAAGAATTGCACCAAATTAATTTCATTATTTATTAATTCTTGGGGCCAACATTACCACAGAAATGTATTTATTTTGCACACATAATTTTTCCAAATTGTACTTATTTTTATTTATTTTGCTTTACTTTGATACATATGGCCTGACTTGCTGAAGACTCCACTCACTGGAGCCGCCACCAAAAATAGGGCCAGAGTGCTCACATTTAGACTTCATTTTTAATATTTATGAACTTCGCCCTTTCTTACATTGGGAGGATGTGATAAAAACCACTTGTATTGCTGTACAGCTGAAAAGTCCATCCCCGAAACCCGAGGCAAAATTTGCCTTGAGCACTACATTCCTCCACCCATCGGCCACTCAGCCAACCTGCCCACACCCCGCGGGAAATTTATATATTTATTTTTTAAATAGCTTACAAAATGTATTACCTACTTTAAGAATGTGTAATAAAAACTGTCATGACAAAATTAGTTTTGAAAGCCTGAAATTGCCATGACACTTATGTCATTATGCTGAATCTATAAAACACCTACCACATGTTTCCTTGTAATATGCATAACAGTTCGCCAAGTCACTTCATTTAAAAGTTTTGTCTGCCTGAGAAATACCACATCTTTTGACGCCACCAGACTAGCTATGCAACTATAACAATTCTCTTCTAAAACCCAAATTATCATTACAATTAGTTTTTCTTACTGGGTATAATTAAATTTAAAAAAAAAAAAAAAAATCACCTGACATATAATGAAGGAGCAAAGCAGTTATCGGATATACCATTGGAGAATAAGTGATATCAGGACAGGAAAATCCTAAAACACTTACTATCCGATCTGCTATTTTAATACCTGCCTTTGTTAGGTGATAGGTATGTCTATGTTCCATTTCAACAAACTGAGGAAGAAGTATTCTTTTGTCTGGCAATTCTGGAAGGAAAAAATATTTAATATGCAAATATATTTAATTTTCAACTTCACAATGCAAATTAATTGTAAATACACAATAATTTAACACTGGTACCATGTGATTTTTTTTTACATCCTCGAACAAATGGTGAAGTAGCACAATGTATTGTAAATAAATAAATGTCAAGAGGGATTTTCTTCAAGGACCTTCAATACGTTATTCAGCAATAAACAAAATATACTTGTTAAGTATTTATCTTTTGTAGTGTTTGCGCTAGAGATTAAAGTACTGAAAAAATTGCTAAAACACTCTTTGGAGAGAAAAAAATGTTTACTCTCAAACTGCTTTGTAGGTCATTCTTTTTAAGCCTATTTAACTTTTTCCTTTCCCAAGAGGAAATGAGTAGATAGGCCAATTCTCATTCAAGCTTAACTGCTTGAGCTATTTCTAATTTGTTATACGATTTAGTTGTGATTTGTTTTTAATTTAGTTCTTTTTAGTTGCTGATAAATAGTAAACTTGATATCATTTTTATCTTCATTTATATACATTGTATAGCTATAAAACATGTGAAAATTGGTGTTTACTGAATCAATAAAGCATTTTGAATTTGAAGAATTCAGCTATTTCTCACATTTCTTACATCATTTAGTTATTCTTTTTAGTCACTAAAAAATAAAAAAGCATTTATACTTATGTAATTACATATTGCATTATCTATTTATGTAAAATTCATTTGGGAATCGACTTGCTATATGGAATATTTGAATAATTATGTAACTATATATGTTTACAACGACATGATGTAATTGCCAATCCCAATAGTTAAAATATTTGTTTTGAAATGTGTATCTCAAAGTTTCCTACCATACCAGTTGGAAAGTGATTATTTTGTTATCATATCTCATGCTAAACATAAGCATCACTGTTTTATAAAATCTAATTACATTGAAAGCAGGTTTTCTATTGTTATGCTAAAAAAAACCTGTTAAACTATTATCATTAAAGGTTGTTAAACTAGAGTTCCTTCACATGTTGCTAGAGCGTTCGACGAGTTATCAAACATGCAAATGTAATAAAGCAATCGCAAAACTATTTTTATTTTTAACGAACCCCCATTTTAAAGATCTATCAATTATCTATTAGATTTTAGATTACACAGGAGATCACAAACAATAAAATTGTACTTTCAAATAATTATGTCATTTTTTTTTATCTTTAAATGTAAACAAGGAAAAGATTAGATGTAAGGATATAAAAATTACCGATTTATTTATAGAATTTTAAAAAGTTTTGTATTTGTAATTCTTTAGTTGTCAACTATTGATTCTGAATCAATTGAATATTCATGTAGTCGGGTCTAACAAACATATTGCTAAGTGATATTCTTAATAAAAATAAAAGAGGATGAGATTATATTTTAAATTTCTATTTTAGAAAACCGGCTTCCAGTTGTTGTTTTGTTTTCCCCAAAGCCATCCCACATAGCCTGGACCACACCCATATTTTCAACCTTTATAAATCATTGTTATCCATGCAAGCAATTAAAAAATAACACCCTACCTCTTCATAAAAGGCTCGACTGGTTTTTAAACGAGCCCTTCTTTAATGTTAATACACAAAGAATTTTAGGGGAAAATTTTAACTTATTAAAATATATCTTTTAAATGAACTTATTTTTAAAATAAATACCAAAGAAATCAATTTATTTTAATCAAAATGTACTCCCCTGAAAAGAATAAAATTATCTTATTTTTGTATTAAGAATGATTTATTGCCAATTGACTTTTTGCCAGTTATTTATATTTTTATCTGAAATATTTTTTATGTATTTTGTTACAAGAATTTACCAGCTATATAAACTTTAATAAGTCTATTTTAACAAAACAAAAGATAGCATGGAATATGGAGAAAATTTCATATTTGGTTCTGTCGACAAAGAAAAATCTTTCAGGAGCAACTTTTTTTTTAACTTTTCCCTATTAAGAGAGATCAGAATTTCAAAAGTCAAATTTAAAAAATCAATTAATTAATTAACCAGTAAAAAGAGAAAAAAATCCTGTGGAATTTAATGGACTTTAATGAGTATTTCTATAGTATACTGCACTATTACTTCACGTTAGAAAAGTAATTAATATATTTGCAGGGTATAATTTACGAATTGAAATAGTCAAAATTGACTACTGTCATAAGACTGACAAATCATTGATATTTCAAAAAATAATTTTCCCTATTGAGATACTTCAGAATTTCAAAAGTCAAATGTCAAAAATTAATTAATTAACCAGTACACAAGTGATATCAGTTTGTGCAATTTAAATGCCTTTATTTTAATAAATATTTCTGTAGTATACTGCACTATACTTCATGTTGTTATTTTCATGATTTACTAATTGAAATAATCAAAAATGACTACTGCTCTTAAAACTGACAAGTCACTGACATTTTTTAAATAACAATTTTTCCTGTCAACAGATTTATATTAGAATTTCAAGTCAAAGTAAAAAATCGATTTGTAATCAGTAAAAAAAGAAAATAGCACAAGGAATTTACTTGATTTTTCTGTAGTGAATATTTCTTGTTACTATGCTCTTAATTCAAGTTTAAAAAAGTAATTAATATTATTCTCATGATATACTAATTAAAATAATCAAAAATGACTACTGCTCTTAAAACTGACAAGTCATTGACATTTTTTACATAATAATTTGTCAACAAATTTATTTTAGAATTTCAAGTTAAAGGAAAAAATATATTAATTAATTAGTAAAAATAGAGAATAGCATGAGGAATTTACTTGATTTTACTGTAATGAATATTTCTGTAGTTACTGCATTATTATGTCATGTTTGAAAAGTAACTGTTAATATATTTGCTAACATACAAAATCTTGTTTAAATTAGAACATAAAATTTATTTTTGTTTTTTTAGTGATGGGTTGTTTAATAATTTATCAGAGTCATGAGGAGCAGTCAAGAACAAGTAACTTACGAATTCTTCTCCGCTCCTCATGACCCCAACTATTTATAAAATTTATTTTGCACTGGAAAAAATATTTGTTGGACTTAATGTAAAATTTTCAATGGTGTTCATCAGATTCTGAATACATTATCAGAAAAAAGTGGGCGGGGCAATTATGAATTGCAGATTAAACTTACTAAATGTACATTAAGATTAAATAGATTTTATAGGCTTTTTCTCACCGTTGGATCCGAATTGTTGATTGACAAGGTCCCAATAGAACGAAGGATCTATTGACTTCTCGATGACATGCTGATGGGCGAGCAGGGGCCAGAGCTGAGATCTAACTTTTGAATTCAACGGCCAGGAATTCTCTCTTATGGCGAGTTTCACCTCACGCCTCTTGCCGTTTTGCAGAAGGGCCTCAATATCGGCAAAAGTCTTAAGCGGAGCCTTCTTTTCGCTCGAAGGGCTATCAGGTACATTGCGCACCTCCGAACTGTCTACATGTGCCGGGAAAGCCTCCAAATTATCGTTTTCCTCTTTGACAATAGCCAGCATGATTTAATCGTACATCCCTCGAGTCACCTTCGTATCCGACACAGATCCAACGCTCGACAAGTCAAAATCAGGTCCCTTAACTTAAGTGAGATCTTGCAGATACTGGTTCATTTTTATCAGCCTTTTTATAATTGTTCTAGATAAAATCAAAATTTTGCTGAAACAAAAAAAAATGTTAAGGGTTTATCTTTTTTTTAGTCCTTGTTTTTTTTTAATAATTCAATCAGCGTGAGAAACAACTTACAACTCGTCTAATCGGATATAAGAACAAAAAAAAATCAATATCCCACGGGTCCTTTACCTTCGACAAATCTGCACAGTCCCATTATATTACGCATCGCTTGTTACATCAAAACTATTGGTAACAAAATTACAACAAAGTCAACAAGAATGTACGGATCGAAACAGGAGAAAAACCGATTCAACAAGTAAATAAAAAATTACGTTTTCAATACGACTCGGCTCGGTTGAGAGTTAAAAGAGGATCTGGTGGAGCAGGGAGTCGTAAACACGAGCAGCGGCCAAGTTCGACGGCGGTGGACGATTCTGATAGTTGCGCGAGAATAGCAAGAATAAGCCGCAATGTCAGGGAGAGCACTGCCCGTCAAACCCGAACGCCCATTCGAATCGGTCCCTGCACGGTTCGCACTTCGCCCCCTTCCATCCGGCCGCTCGGGATATTTTGTTTACAAAATGGCCGCTCGCCCGTTGGCAACGCTACACCACAGTGCGCTGTCAAAGGATATCGGTTACTTTCAAATCAATCTAGAAAGTGATGGATAAAATACACATTCACTCATAAAATGACCAATTAAAAACCTTACATAAAAAATCGCTTAAAACAAAAAATCGATTGTAAAAATTAATTTAAAATTGATAAAAAATTTGGTATATTGCTGCAAAAAAATTTAAATTAAAAGATGGATATATACAAAAGATTTTAAAATAAAATATTAAACATTTGAGTTATTTATTTTTTTATTTCTAATAGATTAATATTTCAACTATTTATTGTTAGTTGATCCTCCAAATAGTAATAACTATGAAACAATTAAAATTTGAAAAAAGAGACTAATAATATAAATAATTTAATCAAATATATTTATTCTTTTTCATTAAACTTCTTTATTACACAATTATGATTTGTAAAAAGAAAACTACAATTGGTGATTATATGAAATAATTAAAAAAGCTTACTATCATTAATTAGTATAATAAAAGATACGCCTAGATAGTATAATAAAATATATTTAATTTTTATCTCCAATATATTAATATTTTAATTATTAATAGTTAGTTGATTCTCCAAATAGTAATAACTATTTGATAACAACTTGAAACAAAATTTGAAAAAAAAAAAAAAAATAAGACAACAGATAATTTAATAATGGATATTTATTTTTTAAGTAATCTTCTTGAAAAAGCGATATAATTATTATTTGCAAAAAGCAATCCTCCAAATGATAATTATATGAAATATACAAAAAAAAAAAATAAATAAATAAATAAATAAAAATAAAATTATATGGAGTAATTAAAAAAGTGTAATAATTAATTATTATAATAAATAATAAAATATATTTAATTTTTATCTCTAATAGATTAATATTTTAATTATTAATAATTAGTTGATTCTGTAAATAGTTATAACTATTTGAAATAATTAAAATTTGAAAAAGTAAGATTAATAATATAGATAAGTTAATAAAATAATGTAGATAATTTAATAAAACAATATAGATAATTTAATAAAAAGATATTTAAATGTTAAGTAATCTTTAAAAAGCAAGATAATTATAATTTGAAAAAAGAAATCCTCCAAATGATAATTGTACAAAATATATGAAAAAAATCTAACTAAAATTATATGAAATATTTTTAAAAAACCTAATATCATCAATTAATGTAATAAAAGATATACCTGTTCTAGGGTTCAAATTTTAAAAACTAATAGTATAGATAATATTAGTAAGCCTCTAATAGTATAGATAATACAATAAATATATTTAATTTTTAACTCTAATATATAAATATTTCAATTATTAATAGTTAGTTGATCCGCCAAATAGTAATAACATTGAACAACTATGTCGAAAAAATATGAAAAACCACCAAATACAGGGTTAGAGATTTACTGTTGTGCACTTATACTTAAATGTAAACAGTAATTTTCTTTTAAGATTTGTAAAAAGCAATCTACTAAACAGTAATGATAATTAAGGAACAATTAAAATCGAGAAAAAAAAATTAGAAAGCCAAATAACATAGATAATATAATAAAAGATATATCATTTTTATCTCTAATAAATTAATATTTCAAATATCAATAGCTAGTTGAATAAAGCAAAAACTATTCTGCCCAATTAATCTATATCTCCAGACATTTTAAAACAGTTGGCCCATAGTTCATTTAAAAAATACATTTCTCAAAACAGCCATTTTATAAATTTTCCTTCCAATCTTCCAATCAGGCCTACTTAAACTATATTGTTATACCTTCTATTTTTAACTTTTAATATAATAAAAATATTTTTTTTTAAAGTTTGTTTTATATATTGTTGTACTTTCTATTTTTATCTTTTGTTACAGTAATTATTCAGAAATCGTGAGATGCGGATCTCATGATTTCTAAATAATTATTGATTAACGGTCACTAATTACCACACATTTTGTTACAATTTTACAAACATATTTTTTCTGATTAATATTAATAAAAAAAAAATTTTTTAAAAAGAGGAAATATTTAGAAAATGTTTAGAAAAAGTGAAGTATGTATACCTACACTCCTCGATGCTGCATGGGAGTCAACAATGAGTCACAGGGATTGTAAGTCTCCAAGGATGGGAGTCTCCAAGCACTGTAAATGAGCTGATTGTATAACCAAGAAAATACATCTACATTCAATCTACTAGGTGAATTGATTTCAACCTATTGTGAAACAGTCTACAACTGGATGGATTTGTCAAAAAAAAAAAAAAATAAAAATAAATAAATAAATTTAAAAAAAATAAAATAAAGGTTAATTATTATTATTATTAATAACGCATATTTAGTTAGATCTGGATATATTTGTTTAAAGAAGGGTTTTTCCCATGATTGTAAGACCGAGGAGGATACACGCAGGTATATAAATAATATATATTTTAACCTAGTATTAATTAATAATTATCTTAACAATTTGATAACTCCATCAAAGAAAAATTGAATCTAATCAATAGTAGCTAATCCATACATAGTATAATATAATACATAAGTAATAAACATTGTAATCGTATATAAAAAATCAACGATAAGGCAAATTTGGAAGAACACGCATTATCCTTCATCAAGCTTTCAAGAAATATATACTTCATGGATTTTCAAGCTATTTTTAATGATTAAATTCCTAAAGAAGGGGATATATTTCTTGACGGTTTGATGAAGGAACTGGGTGTTCAAAATTTTGTATATACAATTACAAATTAAGGGTAGTATCAATCACATCAAATGATGTGGCATATTTAAATCTGATTAAATAAGCTCAATATATTTTGTAATATTTTTTGTTTGAGCATGACAGGAACTATTTGAATCTACCGTATTGAAAATGAATATTTATTAATGATGTGTAGTGTGAAAGGGCTGATGGAGAAATGTGTACCAAATCGACCCTCAAAATTTCAGTTATACAATATGGGTAAAAGGTGATGGAGTAATATCAGTACTCCACCATACAATGAGTGAATGTGTGTGTCTAACTTAATTTAGGGCTGAAATGACCTAGCTGTTGACAACCCCTGAAGCCTTGCTTTGGTGGCGGATCAGATAAGACCATGGTCTGATATCAGGCAGCCAAAAACACTAAAGCCGCAAGCCACAAGAGTGCAAAACATGTAAATCACATCATTTATGGTTTATCCCTACCAAGCTAAGCTATTCCTGTTAAGCAATATTGAATAGTGTCCAATTTCTCCTTAATAAATTATGAAAGTATAATAAGTACAACTTTCTATGGTTTTATGATTAAAAACAACACCAAGGATTTATTTAAAACAAAAATCTTATAAAAAAAATTATATACATTTGCAATAGATTTTAAAAATAAAATGTTTCGATGCTATGATTCAGTTTCCATTGGTTCATTCTCAAGTTCTGTTTCATCATCTTCTGATTCACTCTCTTTGTCAGTCTTTGCTCTTACCATTCTAAATACGGCTTTACCTTGTAAACGCGATGCTGGAAAAGAAAAACAGCCTCTTAAAAACTTAAAATTCAAGTAGCAATAAATGAAATGCCAATTAAAACACTGATTTATTGTACCTGCACGTTGCAAAACACATTTAGGATTGTGAATAATAGCATTTTTGGCTTCTCCTTCGCTCAGATCAAATAATGCAGATCTGTTTTAGTTAAATGAAAATTTGTATGGTTTTTACATATCACAAAATGTTACTTTAAATTAAAATGTATATTATGTCTGAATAACATTGTGTAATTTTAAATTATATTTTTTCGATTTGGTTCTCATTAGAGTAAAATAAAATACAAATTAAAAACACAATAGTTATAAGCATAACATAACTAATTTTTTTTTTTAATTATTGTTTGTTTTACATATTGTTATACTTTTTTAAAAATAATTTTACAAACACATTTTTTGTGTTTAATTAAAAAAATTAAAAACTGCAAATATTTATTTAGTGTTTAGAAAAAAAGTGAAGTATACACTTCTCGATGCTGCAAGAGAGTCAACAATGAGTCACGTGAATGTTCCCCAATCGCTGTAAATGAGCAGATTCACCAAGAAAAAACATATGCATTCAATATGCTTATTGCATTGGTTTCAACCTATTGAGAAACGTACCACAAACTCTCAAAATTAATACTATTTTATATAAAAAGGATACAGATGAATTATATCATAAGGCGATCTTATGTGGAATGGATTTGTCAATGAACTTGAGATAATAATGTTCTAAACAGAGACAAAATCTTTTAAAAGTATTTTTAGTGGGTAAATATTGTCTTAAAAAATGATAAAAGACCTTGGATTTTCCATGGGTGTGGTACGATTGACATAATTGTATCGTATTTCTTCTGCAAGAAGAATCGAGTACAGCTGGTCCATAATTAATCTCAAAAAATACATTTCTTGAAACAGCCATTTTATAAATTTTCCTTGAAATCTTCCAATCAGGCTTGCTCTCAGGTTCAAATGTTACAATATCAGCATCTCCAGTTGAACAACAATGCTGAAAAAATATGAAGAATAATTTTTGTTGTGCACTTTGCATGAATGGAATATTAATTTTCTTCAAACAACAGGATTTTTATGATTTGTAAAAAGCAATATACCAAACGGTCATAATAACTAAGAAACAATTAAAAGAAAAGCTAATAACATAGATAATATAATAAAAAATGTCATTTTTATCTCTAGTGGATTACTATTTCAAGTATCAATGGTTAGTTGAATTTCTTTATTGTGTAATTACACAAGATTGTCTAGCTAATCTATATCTATATGTATTTTTAAACGTTAAAATAATTCAGTTCTCCAGAAAGACCTACTAATTTTTTAAATGACGTATATTTATCAAACAAATTAAAATATTCAATTTATCATATTATAAATATATTGTTTTTAAATATGTAATTACTTATTATTAAATATGTAAAGTACTTACATGGAGTGCATTTCCATTTGCTGGAATAGCTGCAAGCAAATGGTACCTTTTTATATTTTTTGATTTCATCTAATTAAAATAAAACAAAGTTATAAATTAATCAATTTGTACCTGAATAAGTATCAAATAAAACTTACTACTTTGTACCATTGTGATGTATCGCTAAATTTAATAGTCAGCCTATTAAGTACCATGAATTTGCCTTTGTACCTCTAAAAAAAAAACAATTAACTGAAGAATACATTTTTATAGTGTATTATTAAGAAAATGGCTTTTGCTAATAAAGCAAATTAAAAAAGAACAGTGGAGTTCTACTAGTCTGAACTAATTGGGATTGATCCTTGTTGAATAATTGCTATGATGTGCAAGCAAGCAGTAAAACTGGTCCGGTTTATTAAGGAATGCCTGTTTACATAAAACGGAAGTTTTGAAAAAGATGAACAAGGGTGGATGTGTAGTTAGTTTGTTACTGATCATTTTAGCATGCCTATCCTTGCTGTTTTGGTTTGTCAATGGTTCGGCTTTTTGCTAGCTTCAATTTAACAATCTTAGTTAAAACACTCCCTTGAAGATGGCTATAAGCCATAATGTATCTAATAGAACAAAATGTTCATTAACAACCAAATTAAAGATCCATCATCAAACCAAAAGAAATCTCGCATTTTAAGGTGAAAGTGCTACAACATTGAATATAATTTATAGTACAATAACTGACCATTAAAACCATTTAAGTTTAAATTGTGAGATTTTATCGTATTTTACATGGGGTAATGAACCTGTGATATGGCCATTACTGACCGTTTTGCTGCTTATCTTAGCGAAAACCCTTAGGGGAAAGTGAGTCATGTAGTGTTCATTTTGGAAAATAAATTGATATTTCTGCGTATTAAGTGAAGTTTTACTATATTGAACTTCAAGTTTCAATTAATATATAAATAAGAGGGTAAATATGTATCAAGGAAAATGTTATTATAATAATATTGTTATAATACTTACACATATAAACAGATAAATAAAGTCTTTCATTATATTATTATTAATCATGGACGCATTACAGGGAAAAGGGCTTGAAAGAATTGTTTATCAAAAGCAAGATAGTTATTGTTAAGTTAAAATTATCAGAGAATAAAACGTATGTATGAAGATGGTATTTTAACATAACATTATACTAATTATACTATTGAATGAGGATGGCTAGTCATTCAAGCATCCGATCGAGCTAGGGTTTTTGGGTTCAAATCCTGTCATACTCCATGGAATTTTATTTGGGAAAATTAATCTGACCCCTCATCCAAGACATTCAGGGGGTAAGCTAAACCCTCCTGTATGACTGTAATCATAATACTGAAAGATGTAAAATAATTTAACAACATTGAAAACAAACTTACAGATTCTGATAAAGCTGAAACAGAATAATGCGAAGTTACTTTAAAATATTATATGCCTACAATACAAGAAAGAAGGGTTTACAGCCAACTATCACAAGTGCTGTAAATGAGAAATCAGAAAACTCTAAGCCAATGTCGGATATCGCACCCATAATCTTTGAGATTTTAGAACACTTGTGACTGACAATAGGACAGAGGTTCGAAGATCCCTTGTGTATCACTATAATGGATAAATCACAGTCATACAAAGAATATGCATATCTATTGACAATAATTAATATAATGAAAAACAAGAGGATGGGGTAACATTAGCACATAAATGGTAGCTTTATTATTTAGTTAATTTTAAAGAATGTGTCTTGTTTTCCAATATGAAAGAGAACATAAATTCTTTTCCAATTTAATATCAAAATTATTGCATTAATGTAAGTAGATCTGCTTGAACTTTGATGCTTTGATGCATATAATACTGGCTGATAATTCAACCAACAGGATAAAAATCATTACAAAGCAAACCATGATAATTGTTAAAAGGAAGGTAACACTGGAAAATAATATAAACAAATATTAAAAAATGAAAAAGTTGCCTCTTGGCTACTACTGAAGTATGAACTGGGCCATGGACTAAAACAAATTTTGTGAAAAAATATTGTCATTTCGTTGTTGAGTCTAAAGACCATATAAATCCAGTAGCAATTTGACTTGAAATAAAAATGAACTACTACCCAATTATTTTCTGAAATTTGGTAGTTATTAGCTTCTACTTACATCCGGAACTTCCAACTTCTTTGGCTCCGGTATTGTATCATCTTGTTTTTCTCCTTTTTTTCTTTTCCGGCTAACTTCTGTACAGTCTACGGTTTGGTTTAGAGCAATAATCTTCGTTTTATCTGCAATGAATGAATAAATGAAATTATTAGACAAATAATCAACAAAATAAACAAACTGACAACTAACAATCAAATAGTGTGTCCCATAATTCATCGTCTATCGCACAGCTAGCGTCTATATTTAAATCGTGGTAACCGTCAAACTCCATCATTTATTAATTTTATTGTTTATTGCATAAATTAACATTAAAAATGGGAAACTGGGCGAGACGGAATAAACATCATTGCGGACCTGTTATCACGAGAAACCACGTGGTAGTAAAACCTCCTCGAACCTGACAAGTTCAGGTAAATTTGACTTGGTATTTGCTAAAGCTAAACATAAAAATGTGATAAAAGCGTTTGGATGTTAATGAAGCCCAACAAACATCATCAATTATTAACAAACGTTTATAATTGGTTAAATGGTAAATTATATTGTAGTTGATTAAGGTATGTGTAAAATTAACATTTGTTTCTTGTATGCAGGTATTGTTCTGCAAGTCAATCACAAGAGAAAATGTCAAATCCTATGAGACAACTCGAAGAACGCCATTTGGCGACGAAGGTGGATTTGTTGGTATGGTCCAATAAAATGGATCTGCTGGCATTGTCAAATGCAAAGGGTAAATTAATTAATTAAGATGAAATGACTTTTGATTTTTGCTGGTACCAGTAAATTAATTAGTTTTGACTAGCAGGGACTATTACAGGTTTCTACACTTTTGAGGGCATGTTTTGAAATGCTGAGTGCTAAAAGTACCAAGAAATTTTGGTGAAAACTATGCCCAAACTCAACCGTTGTAAAATGGTTGCTTACTTAGCACAAATGCTTGAGTTATTAGATATGTGTGGCTAGATAAAACCAGAGATTCACTTTTTTTACTATGACAAATGCAGATGGTGAAATGTTTATGATATGCCTTTTACAATTAATATTCATTTACTGATCACTGATTTACATAAGCTCAATTCTGCCCACTAATATACATACACTTTTGTACAGAGTTATACCTATCACTTTCTGCAGCCCGCTGGCAATTTTAGCATTTGTTAATTACAATAAATTACCAGCAGGTCTCCAGAATTACCCATCTCAGGTGTTGGCAGACAGGGACCAGACTTCGGTCTTATCTGTCCAGCTGCCAAGATTGGGCTCCAGGAGCTATCAACAACTAGGTCATTTCAGCCCGCAACGCAGTCTCTAAATCCAAATCCATTCACATTCTGTCTTATTTAAATACAATTCATTCAATTAGGATGGTGGAGTACTTGGTATTCTGCCGTCGGCCCTCTCACACCACACATTCACACTAATAAATACATTCAATACACACTAGGAGACAGAAACATATCAGTACTATACATAATAAAACAACCCTGTTTCCTCCAAGAATCAGAACAAGGCACCCAAATACTCGTTGCTCTGCCCAAACACAATTCTCATGGAGAATGGCAATCTTATGCGCTTTCTGTATGAAGCCAAGGATTAACAACCTTTAATTAAGTGGAGCAACCTTTCTCTACATGCTGGACCTTATGCATGCTTGACCCAAAAATCCATGTGCCAACCTCACCTCCTATGGTCTATTCTTAATCGGGTGAGGATGATCCCTCTCCCACAACTCTGATTTGCTGAGGGCCAGTTATTGTCATAACTGAAACATACTCATGTTATGTCAGAGCTTCTTTGCTGATTCAGCCCACCGTTAGCAGCCACTTACATTTAATCATGGTTTTATTGAATTTTTAGAAACAAAGGGTTGGATCATAGTGGTTGTCTGGTGGTTGGGACATCCTGACCTTAGCAGCCTCATCACCTTTTTGTTAGACTCGAGACCAATGTGTCTGGTGGATTCAACAACTATCAATTTACCGAGACCCTCCAGTTCATGGTATCTCTCCAACAAGCACAATGAGAGGGTCGATGAGGACCTGTCACAGACAGCAATATCATGCTAAGGGAGTCTGTCCAGACTAGGTAGGTTGAGCCACCATCGTAATTCTGCCATGTAAAAGCTACAGGCGGTGGGTGCATCCACTTCATGAACCCTCTCAATACACGGCACAAGTCACACCTTCTTAAACAGGACCATGAAGATGAGTCTTTAATTATTAATACAAATTCAACTTTCAGTGTTCTTGCAGGATAAATTATTAATAAAATTACACTTTATATATTATATTTTTAGCACTTTAGGTTATAATACTGTATTATTTATATAAAAAAGGTAAAATAAAATTTAACTTTTTGTTAGGAGAAGTTTCACTGCATAGGCTCAGTTGGCAGAAAGTCTGGTCTCTTTCACCGCCAAAAGAAGAAGTCTTGGTAAAAGGAATTGCTTGGAGACCAGATGGAAAAGTAATTGCAATTGGGTATAGCAACAGTAAGAAACATTCATATTGTACTGTAATAAAAAATTACAATGCTTTGTGTACCCTATTTCTTGTTTCAGATGATATTCTGTTGGTCAATGTGGAGAACAAAGACATCATTCATAAATCAAACTGTTCCGTTGGAGAAGAATCAATGATTTCATTTTTAGCATGGCTTGAGGAAAAAGGGACTACAAGTACAATGAACCAAAACACAATACTTCATGAAAAATCATCAGTCTATCTGCCAAAACTGCCACCGATTTCAAGGACTTACAGTTCGATAAGCGAAGAAACAAATGAGGAATACGAAGATACTAAAAAAGTGATTGATCAGAAGGATCTAAACTTTCTCATTATCGTTTTGAACAATGGACAACTGTTTATGAGTGTGTTTGGACTTTTTGCGTGTGGAGTTATAAATCTACCTGAGAACCTGCGTGGAAATTCCATTATTGCAAGCGTGGAAATGAGCTCGGACTTAAAAAATATTTTTGTTTTTATCACAACTGAGAACTCATTGAAAGTCGTCATATTTGACACATTTGTTCTTTCCTCTTATTGCAGAGAGATACACGCTCTAGCCTACAAGTATGGTCAGATTATGAGTCTAATGGATTATTTAGAAAATACAATGCATGCTATAACAGAGGCTTATGAAAACATGCTACTTTTAGAAATGGAATCGAAACTATCCCATTATGCAGATTCTATGCCTGAAGGGTCTGTCTCTGCTGATTTTCTAGAGCTTTTGATGTTTGGAATTACATCTGATCCTTTAGAAACATTTCTTCTTCAAGACCTTACTGATAAAGGTATCAAAAAGTTAAGTCACAGTATAGAGTTAAGCCATTTTAACATTCAAAAATTGATACTGAAACATTTGCAAGCGGTTGGCCAAAATATTGCTTTTCATCTCTCCGACTTGAGAGGAATGGCAAGGCTGACGGAAAGATTCAGAGTTTTAGGACTAGATGAATTTGTTATAACAAAGAGTTTTACAGAAAATGGATCATTTTTAGTTAAAGCAAGTGAAGTTTCACTAGTGATAGACGACTCTTCAAAAAAATACAAAGCCCTCTTTAAATGGTTGTATGAAATAATTTTAAGGCTTACAGATGATCACATAGCTGATTTGACTTTACCTGGAGTCAGTGAACAAGACATATCGTTCATTGCAGATTATTTATACAACTTAGAAGGCAATGTTGTAAAAGGTAAAAAGAAGAGATGCTACTTGGACCATCTTGGCCAGTATTTTATCGATCAAGATTTGACCCATCCAGTGCCTTTGGATAAAAACCCATGGGAAAAATTTTTGGAAAAAAACCCCTGTTTGCAAAACAACCCATCAATTATAAAAAGATGCCCAAATAATTCGTTAGTCCAGCAGTATAAACGTTTACAAGTTATTATTGAAGAGGCATTTAAACATCCCCAAAAGGCTATTGGAGATAAAATCACAGTCAGTTCAGTCATCAATTTATTTTCGGTACCAAACAGTCTGTCAGTAAGGGTTTCAATGAAGCATTGTTTACAAGAGGAAAGATTAATAATTGCAGTAATACCACAAAAAGATGTTACCCACTTCATTTACATTAGTGTTAATGTTGTAGATAATTCCTTTCAAAAGTGTTTTGTTTATTTTAAATCGCGCGATTTAGAGTTTGGACTGAAAGCGATCGATCTGCAGATTTATACAAAAGAGCTGATTTCGGTTTTGTTAGAACAACCGGGAGAGGAGAGGGGAGCAGTTTTTGTACAAATGCCCATCAGGTCTTTACAAGAATGTTCTGTCGCAAGCCATTTGCCGGACAAATACATCGATGGGTCTCAGCTGGTTGAAGCCGGAGCTCTCAGACCGATAGACAACATGGTCGCTTGCAAACTTGCAGTCAGTGGTGTACGCAAAGTTGCAGTTTTATTGTCTACAAACATGCACAAAGTGCGAACATATGAGATGGAAGTCGAAGAAGATGAGGAAGAGGAAGATATGGAAACAACCAGAGAAAGTGAAAATAGCTCTCAACAACAAAGTATATAAACTGATAAAATGTTATCAATTATGTGACATATTTTCTTCTTCAGAGTGCTGTAAATATAACAGAGTTTTTAATTAATTTTTTTTGTTAAATAAGCTTCCTTTTTCTTCTATTTGGTTGTTTTTGCAAGTAGTCTTTTTGTTTTCCTCGTGCCTAGTGTATGCTCTCTGTATTTATTGTTTTCATTAGTTATTCAAGACTCTAGTTCTTTTTTAACATGGCTTTGATTTATGTCACAAAATGGATTTGAGCTGAGGCTACTTTTTTAGCAAGTATATGTGCTGCCTCATAGTCTAAATACTTCATTTACTCTTCATTACCTGGGACCCACTTTGGCCTTAGGCTATTTGAAAATCTTAGTTTTTTCATTTCCAGAAATTTTTGAGATTATCTCATAGGCTTGTAGAGCCTGTCTGTCTGAAAGGAGTATTATTGGTGACCTTTGAGATGTTTATTATTCATTTTATTGTACATGTTTCTATTGTAAGCAGTTTTGGTACAAAGATGATGGTGCTTAAAGTTAAGCCCCTTTATTCTCATGGCCTCTCCATTTCCATCTTTGAGCTGTCATATATGATAGAAGAGCTCTAGAATTGTCTTCTTTATTTTTCCAAACCAATTTATGATTTTAGACAACTCTGTTATTTTAACTTTGTTGAAGATTTTGGTAGAACTAGCAACTGCTTGATATATTCTATTCACCACCCGATGAATTCTCACTTTCTCTATTGCCACCATCCATTTCACAAATATAAGTAACTTGAGAATATGCCCCATTGTGGCTGAGGGGGATTGTTTTAATGCAATTCTTTAAATTTTCTCTACCTTACTTTGATCCATTTTTACCATATACAACTTGTATAGATATGACCCTTAAGCTCTTTGTGCCTTAAATGCTCTATTATAAGTTCTTTTAGGGTGAACATTACATGCTAACTTTTGGTTGAGAACTATTCCTAAGTACGTGACTTGTTTGGAATGCTTTACTTCTTGATTTCTCAGAATTAGAGCTGCATTAAGCATCTTTTTTCTAAATGGCACAATTGTTGCCTTTGAGGGGTTTACATTTAGACTTCTAACTTGACACCATGTCAGTGTTAAATTTAATGTTTTTGATCTTGCAAATGAAATTGCCTTTAATTATAATGACAATGTAGTCTGCGTACCCTTGTACGTCAAAGCCTATTGTGATCAGCTTATGTACCAGTGACCCTAGGGTTGGTAATATTCCTGCTGTCATTAGTCGTATTGTAATTTTTTTGTCCTTAAGGGGCAAGGCTTAATGATCAGTTTTTTCGAGCTTCATTAAAAACAAAAAGAAAACCATGAAGTTTAAAGTTAATTTAATTAAAAGATTTTTGATAGGAATGTTCGTTCAGTAAATTGAAAGATGGTTGTTCATTGGGCTTATGTACCAGTGACCCATAGGGTTGGTACAGTACTCCTCTCATTAGTTGTATTGTAATTTATTTTGTCCTTAAGACACAAGGATTAATGATCAGTTTTTTCGACCTTCATTTAAAAAAAAAGTTTAAAGTTAACTTAATTAAGAGATTTTCGATCGGAATGTTCGTCCAGTAAATTAAAAGTTCACTCTCGTTGATCATCCTTGTTGCTATGGACAAATATCGATAGCTGTCCACTAGATTCTATTAGCCACTCTAGAAAGACAATGAGTTAGTTCGTCAAGTTCAAATAAAAAAGTTGCAAATATTAATTCATTAATTGTTGGCAATAAATAGAAAAAAATAGTTTACGGTTATTTTTCTTATTCCATAACGAAGAATTTTCCGAGTGTTAAAGGCTAAATGAATGTACCTCAAATTTTTAACCTGACAACAATCCGTTGAGGAACGACCGTGTACCTTACACCGAACGGAGCATGAGCAATCCAGTTTGATGTTAATGTATCGATGTTTTTCTCCGGAGAGATTTCACACCAGGAGAGAATCAACCGTCCAAAGGTTTCTCCTTGACATCTTTGCTTGTTTTTCTACTTTTTATAGATAATAACACTGTCCCTTTGACTTATCTTCATTTCGCCCTGTTAGAAAAACATTATTACGAGTTATAGTTATGCCCCTGGATTCGTCTTGCAGGAATCAACAGGAGATCTAGGAGGAAATCCGTACAGTTATGCACCGAAACGGTGGAAAATAGGATTTGACGAATTGAAACCAGAGATAAAAAACCATGGCTGGGCCTAATCCTCATTACAAGAAACTTGGTAACAAACTTAACTATTACTTCATGTATTAAACGTTCAAACAACTTTTTTTGAATTATTTTTGTACCTTCCAGCGGACTTTGTAGCCCACGGAGGCAATGTGACCTGCCTAGCACTTGGACATATAAGCGGTCGAGTGCTAGCTACAGGTGGGACTGACAGGAAAGTCAATCTATGGGCAATAGGCAAACCCAACAGAATACTGGTAAGGCTGTGTTTCTTTACATTTGTTTTCATACGTCGGTCTTTTCACAGAGATCTTCACATGCCAACAGCTTTTTCATCCATCTAAACATATTACAGACGTTTTCATAGTTACACTAACACACAATTACGATTGATTACTCCATTCCCCATAATTACCACATAAACGTCTTAAAAGAATATGGATAAGAGACCTCTTAAATGATTAATACCATTTTATTAATCCAGAGCGGCTGGCTAATGGGCAGAATGAGTAGCTTTTTCTACGCCCGTAATGCCACAAACAATAAATTATACAATCTGCTGATTGTATATAATACACGTACAGTTGTAGATACAAATAAATTAAGTAAAAAAGGTCATAAGTCAGTCTCTTTGACAACATTGATTCAATCAAAGAAGAAATTAGTTGTAAAAGGAGTTTATTTCCACCTTAAAAGTGGGTTGTATGAATTAAAGAGTGATTGAAGATTCGATTTGTAAAATAATCTACCAACATCTTTAATAAAAGCGATGATTGAAATTGTGAATCATAAAGTTAACAATTAATCTTAATCCATTTATGCGTAGTGGTCTAATTGACCAAATTACTTCTTTCAATTAATTTTTCTTTTTAAGTAGGGTCTATGTTGAGATGAAAAAGTTAGTGTCATGAGCGGGATTTGAACCCATGACCTTCGGCTCAATATGCCGCTGCTCTAACCACTTGAGCTATTGTGACTTTGATCCACTAGGACACCAAAATGAAAAAATGGCAAAAAAGGGGGAAAATTCAAAAGGTTGTAGGTGGAGATGGGAAGTTGGGGTCCGAGTGGATCGAAGTAACAATAGCTCAAGTGGTTAGAGCAACGGCATATTGAGCCGAAGGTCGTGGTTTCGAATCCTGCTCGTGACAGTAATTTTTCCATCTTGACCAAGACCTTACATGAAAAGAATAATTAATTGAAATTAATCTTAAGATTTGTGGTTACAAGGTCTGGATTCGATCGAGGATAGAAGGTTTAATTGTACTCCGTAATTAAATACATTAAGTCCAAATCAGTTTCATGTGATCTACAACACCACCTCCAATTGAAATGTTGACTTTTTATGTTAATAGAAATTTATTTAATGCTATTTATTTATTTGATATGCTCGAATGTTTCCTAGAGTTTAAACGGACATTCTACGGCTATTCAGTGCGTACGATTTGGGCACACAGAAAGTCATGTTTATGCTGGTTCGAGTGCAGGAGCCCTTATGACATGGGATCTTGAAGCCAAATGTGTATTTAGGACGCTGACCGGACACAAAAGCTCGATTAAAACCATCGATTTCCACCCGTATGGCGATTTCATTTCATCTGGATGTTCTGATACCTTAATCAAGGTGATAGTTGCTCATTTGAATTTATTTAAAAAAAAAAAATAAATAAATAATGTTTTTATTTCAGCTTTGGGATATTCGAAGGAAAGGATGTCTTTACACTTACCGCGGGCATACTGGGGCTGTAAACAGCCTAAAATTCAGCCCGGATGGTAATTGGCTAGCATCTGCTGGCCATGAAGGAATAGTTAAGGTATTGCCCATAAATATTGACATCAAATATTGTTTATAACACTTTTAGAGATGCATGAACACGTAAAAATGATTTATAAATAATTTTCTTAAATGCTGTTAATCAATGAGTTTTATAATAATATATGGACATATAAAAAGAAATTGTTTGAAGGGTTATAATTAATTTATTATTTATATATTTGTTTTTAAATCTCGTTTCTTCATTTGGACTATATATGTATATTTTAAAAGTTTTAATTCTCATCCACGCAAGATGGCTTTACATCCAACTAACTATAGGCATGAGGATAAGAAAGAAAATATCATGGTATCGAATTTATGACATTTTAAATAATTCTGTACCAAAAAGCTGACATTTCACTCATCCATCGTGACCCTCCTTAATTTATTTCATCTATTGCAATTGAGTTTTAATTATGAAAATTTTCCCAACACTCTCAATTTTTATCATAAACAAATAGTAAATTGATGAAGACCGTATCTGGTTCAGCAGAAGCTCGATTTCATCCATTTAGGAGAGTTTTTGCTTTGTAATGGAAATTGCCATCAGACATTGACTTGTTGAAACAAAACATTCTTCCTGTTTTCACAAACCTTTAAGTGAGACAAGTTACTAATTATTCTGAATGGAATTCTTCTCTGCATTTTTTTCTGGTAGAGCAAACTGACTCGTATTTGGATTTAACCAGTAAATATATATATTTTTCATAGTGTTAAGTCTGTGGAGAAATAGAAAATACTTTTCTAACGATGAATATTTAGATAAAAAGAAACCAGGTACATTGTGGTAGTTGTTTTATTTTATTTATTTAGAGATGGATGTTTTGGGTTATAAAGCCCATATTTAGCACTCCAAGTGTCCATTTATATGGAAAATATTACCTTATAAAAAATTAAGATGGGGCTAATTCCCTGTGGAAGAAAGGAAAGTCTGAAAAAAAAAAACTTAATTGACCATATAGTCTGAACATCCATCTATAAATGAATTCAACTGCCTCAGAATACCTGGTTTCTTTTAACCTAAATGTATACTTTTTTATTGCAAGTAACAGTTATATTGATCAATAATTCATTAATTCAAATTGAAAGAGTGGTTTGCATGTTCTACTAATTCATTGGCCAAATTTGAGCAGCCAAATTTTCTTTTGAAATAAAATCACAATGTTAACAGAATTTAATACCACAATCATTGAGGATTATCAAACATTGCAAATTCTGGCTTTAAAGTGAGAACATTCTATTTACAAAGTGATTTAATATAATAAATCAATAACCATATTGGAAGACACATTGGGAAATAAATTTAATAAATATTTAGAGTGGTTGAAAGCGGTTTTTTACTCACTCATTTTGTCCATTTATTAAGTATCAGAAAACTCAGCTCTGAAAATAAAACTGCTATTTCAATAATGGTAAAATCTAGTATAATCTAAATCTAAAATTTGTATTTCAATGTATTGTAGTTATGGGACTTGAGGATGGGCAAAATGTTGTATGAATTTTCTGAACATAGTGGTCCTGTGATGTCTATAGAATTCCATCCCCGTGAATTACTTATTGCTTCTGCTAGTCAAGACAATACCGTCAACTTTTGGGATTTGGAGCGATTCACTCTAGTTTCTTCTACTGATAAAGAAGTTCCTAATGCCAGGTAAATTTTAATTCTGTTATTATAGACACTTGTTGTTTTAACTTTAGTAGACACTATACATTTCATTTGGAATTAGGTGCTTACATTTCAATTCAAATGGTGAATTTTTATATGCCGGAGTTTCTGATAATTTGAGAGTTTATGGCTGGGAACCAGCGAGGACACTAAGCACATTACAAATACCATGGGGAAATGTGCATGATTTGACAACAACTTTAGATTCAAAATTGGTAAACACAGCTTTTTACACCTAGTTATTATTTTTTGTTAATTTTTACGTTTGTTACAGATTGGAGCATCATTTCATTCGACAAATGTTTCAGTTTGGCTGGTTGATCCTTCATTCCAGACCCATTGTCCTCTTCCTGATTCGACAACTTCCTCTTTCTCCCACAGTAACCCCCTTCGCAAAAGTTTCACCAAAGTCAAACCAACACCTGAAGTGAAAAGAGCGTATGTCAAATATTCCTCAATATTTTAAGGCATACTAAAAGAAATATTCAATTTACAGATTGACTGTTAAGACTATAGAGGAGTCAGAAAGGTCAGAAACAGATCCAGAAGATGAAAATTTAAATGATATACCAAATGTTGAAGATTACCATCGTGTGTTCCAACCCAGTAGGAACTGTAAGTTCAAAATTAAAACTATCTTTTTGAAGTTGTGTAAATAGCACACTGTATAAATACGTAGATTTTCTTCTTTTATTTGTGTTTAGTAGAGCATTATTGTAGTGTTGTGATATGTGTGTTTCTTGCTTTTGTGAATGCATTTTGCAGTGAATCGAAGTCCTCCAATATGTATTTATGCTGGTTCTCCTATACCAAAATCATCAGGATCGCCAACACCTCCGACTATACCAGTGGTTGTAGATGAACCCGAACAAGGTAGGCTTTGTTTTGAATGCTCTTCATCACTGTTAAATATTAACACAAGTTAAATAGTGGAATGTTCTTGGGAAAATGGTTGCTCCTGACTGTACAGAAAAATTCACTTATTTACCCACTTACTATAATAGAGTGGTGGGTGTTTATATTTGAGGCATATTTTGAAACAATAATGTTGTAAATAATTCCTAAACCATTATTCAAACTCCATGGAATAAATAAAAAAAATATATACATAAAAAATTGCACCTTGGGAGAATTTTGGTTAACATCAACTGCAAAGCGAATCTTATGAGAATTTCACACTTTTTAAAATCAGTTAATATATAAACCTTTATAAGTTATTTTGAAAAATGTTTAGTATTGTGTGGTGGTTAGTGACCGTTAATCGATAATTATTCAGAAATCGTGAGATGCGATCACACCAGATGGCGTCTCACAATTTCTGAATAATTAATGTTTAGTATTTGAAAAATGGCAAAAAGGAGGGAAAATTCAAAAGGTGTGGTTGAGATGGCAAGTTGGTGTCCGAGGGGATCGAGGTCACGATAGCTCAAGTGGTAGAGCAGCGGCGAATCTAGCCGAAGATCGTGGGTTCGAATGCCGCTCGTACCATTGACTTTTTTATCTCAACTAAAAACCTTAATTAATTGTAATATATTAATTGGTCAAGCGGACCACAAAATTAGTGAATTTAATGAATTTAAATGAAGTATACTTCACTAAAGCCCTCCGTGGCCATTTCATTTGCCGCTGAGAATCCAATCCGATCACACGACATTTGAAAAATTGCAAAAAGGAGGGAAAATTCAAAAGGTGCGGTTGAGATGGGAAGTTGGTGTCCGAGTGGATCGAGGTCACGATAGCTCAAGTGGTAAAGCAGCAGTGTATTTAGCCGAAGATTGTGGGTTCAAATCCTGCTCGTGCCATTGACTTTTTTATCTCAACTAAAAGACCTTAATTAATTGTAATATATTAATCGGTCAAGCAGACCACGAAATTAGTGAATTTAATGTTTAGAATATTTAGTTTAGAAGATTAACATTTTCTACTCTAATTACATCGTAAAATGAACTTGTTTACTGTGAAGTCTCTTGCCAAAATCATTCCTGGTGGTTTTATTTCATTAAAAAAAAAAAAAAATGTTTTGTCTATTCCAACTAAAATGGATTTTTTCAAACCATATTTGCAGTAAATTCAATTTAAATTTACTACGCAGGTGTTCTTCACTTGCACCAAGAAATGAATTTAAACTGGATTGTGCATTTTTATTATTAGTGCTTATTTCCAAAGGTAAGCAAGTACAAACATGCATAAAATAAAATAGATTAATTTATTATTATTTTATATTTTAGTACTAAATAAAGGAACATCACAGAAAGTGATTTTATGTGAGCCTATATAGACACTGCTGGAAAATATAAATACTATTTATACAGAAGCAAATATTTAATTACTTATTTTTAAATATAAAAGTGAATCTAGATGTTCGTTCCAGAAAAAACAGCACATTTGTTAAATATTTGACTTTTTTAAATTTATTAAATGTGTGTAAATATCATCAAATCTAGAGTTTTAACTTTTTGTATTGAGTATCAGCCTGTGCCAAATTCACATTGCATTTTTTCATTATTTAGTTGCATTTAGCGAAATGTTTCCTGTAATTTTTTTATGTATGTGTTTATTACATTAATTTTCTCCATCAGTAACTGTTTTAACAAGGTTCCGAAATTATTCCAGACACTACTTATCTCATGGAAACTATTACATTACCAGATGAGCCAGTTGTTGACAATCAAGAGCCCGTTTTTCTTGAACCAACTGGTTCTTCATTGGTAAATGTTGTCATGGAACGAAGGAGATCGATTTCTCCGCATAGCATTGATATGAGCAGGCGGCAAAGGATGTCCAGGGATGAATCGATGGATCAGGAGCCTGAATTCCCCGTCAAACTCAGCAGTATACACCATAGTAGCAGTGAGACCAACATACCAAGAGCGGCTTCAACCCCTCATACCAAGAATAGCAAGCCCAATCCCCGGCCACATGGTCCTTCAAGTATGTCAGAAAATTTAATGACTCGATTATGTTTACAAGTCTTCTTTTAAAATTATATTCTGTTTATCATTAATTTAACTTTTGTTTTTACATTTGTAGATTTAGTAAAGACATTGTTGAGGGAAACAAAAAGTGATAGAGGTTCTTCATCTTCTCACGGGCATCATAATTCACAGTCAATGACAAATGTGAACAGTCATGTAAACTCAAATTCAAATAATCAACCAAACTCCCATGTTATATCGCACATAAATAGTCATTCAAGAGTTAATCAAGAATTTGATGATTTTATACCGATGCCAACAGATAGGCCAACTGGTTTAATAGATTTCGACGAGTTCGTTCCGGTATGTCAGAACTTATTTTTTAACTCTTTTTTCACCTGCAATATATCAACTTTTTTACAGAGATCATATCAACGTGGCTCGGAGTATTCACAGTCTATACCTGAAAAGTCAGAAGCAGAAGTCTTGTCTTCGATGATGAGAGGAAATGAATCTTTGATGGTGATACTTGATAACAGAGGTTTAAAATTGCAGACATTTTACTCACTGTGGCAAAGTCAAGATTTAAAAGTAAATAATCCTTTATTTTTAAAGATATTTTGTCTTATAGGTATTTTTAAGTAATCAAACTTTTTAAGGCCGCAGCTGAAGCAGCTGTTAGTGATACGGATCCTTTTGTTATGGCAGATTTTCTCCGAGCGATTATTTCAAGGCCGTAAGTAAACAAAAATAAAATTGTAAATGTTAAGTTATTAATATTCATAATAAATTACAGAAATATGTGGAGTTTGGATATTTGTGTGATTCTTCTACCTACAATTCACACTCTTCTTCAAAGCACATTTGAATCGTAAGGAATTATTTTAAATTATTCATGAAATCAACATTAGTTTGTATCGATGTGAAAACATAACAGTACTTAAAGGCCTGGCCATGACAGATTGTTTTCTGACAAAAAGCGATTCACAGTCGACGTGGCGTTCTGCAATATGGGTCTGACACATAGAATACAATAGACTGAATGAGCAATCCAGTCTAATTCAACAATGTTTTTTAATTATTTAATTAATAATTATACGGTCTTAAATTATTAACTTCTTTCCATAACTTGAAGTAGTAACTTTCACTTCCCAAAGGATTCTCGCTGCATTCTAAGATTACACTATTATATTTTTGCTAGATATATAAAATGATATAATTGGAAAACACAATTTAAGCTGTCATATTTTATACACCCAAGACGGGGACCGGTGTAACCAAGTGGTCAGTGTGATAGACTCTGTCTATATGCCATGGGTTCAATTTCTACAGTTATCCCTGGCCTTTTTCAATGCTGCCCTTCCCCCGCATTCTGTCAAAATATGTGATTGTATGTTAAAGTGGCTCCAGAAAGACAGGATTTGCTGAATGTCGAGCAAAAATTTTGCCGAATCCCCGATGAGTCGGGATGGGTGCTTGTGGTTATTTGCCGAGCAACAATATTCGGTGCTTGCAGATCGGTTATTTGACGTTTGCTTGCCCGCTTCAAAGTGCACAAATATTCATGAAGTAGCTAAACTCAAATAATCCATACATTCAAGAATCAACTGTAATCATCAGTCAACATTTATTATTTACTTCTATTTATTTTTTCACATAAGAAACACAAAGATAATTTGTAAGAATTTTTGAGTTTTTCTTTAAAAGTTGTTCAAGCAATATTATAGATCGGGTGTGTTTTTATGGGACAAAAACAACCAGTTTTTTAATTTAAAAGAATTTAATTTAATATTCCGGGACTACCCCATCCTTTTCCCAATCCGTCTCATTAATTGACAATGTTCGAGAAAATATAATACTTTTTTTTTAATTAAAAAACAAAAACAAACAAACTGGTTTTTTGTTATTTAATTTTTTTAAATTTAAATTTTATTATTTAAAAACATACCTAGGAAAATAACATTATAAAATAAGGGGTGATACAGTTAGGAGTATAATGAGCATGGTAGATAAATTTGAAAATTAATTAAATCTATATTCTACAAATTTTGGAAAATAGTTTTTGTGAAATTTTGTTATGCGAATAAATAAACTACTTACGGCTTTTCGAGCCAAATTGATTTCTATTCAAGCTCCATTGTCAAAACAAAACAGATTAAAAGAGATAAATAATGAACATTTTCGTGTAATTAATTAGTAAAAAGACAGATAACGTACATAGTGAGAAAACAATGGCAGAAAATACATAGAAAAACATATTAAACCATTAAGAGATAATGTTAGAATATCCAATTATGTAACTTGTCAGACAAAACCACCATTTTTAAAATGCGTACATAGTTTTAAAACAAATTGTATATACAAATGTGTGGTGATTAGTGACCGTTAATCGATAATTATTCACAGGGCACTCTCAACACGACACGCAAGAATGGCACAATTACACAGAAGACAAACACTTTGAGCCCTGAAGATGATCTCAGTAAAGATCGAAACATTGGCACGATAAAGAAAATGTTTTTCTGAAATCTACATCACACCAGACCGCATCTCACGATTTCTGAATAATGTATATACAAACAGAACACATTCAACATAAAAACATTAATGCACATAAAACATTTACCCCTTTAAGTACACCGACCCATTCTTTTCATCCAGTGTAAATGTATAAGAAAAATCATGACAAATCAACCATTGAAGTTAGTAAAAGAAAAGGAAAAGTCAGGGAGTTCAGGGAAAACTAGGGTGATAAGAAACAAGTTCTTTATCCCATAGACCTCTTCAAGAAATAGAAAAATTATATATTTTGTTATAATATTAATTTGTTTTAAATTTTGTTTATATAAGTATTCAGGCTTGATAGTACTTGAATGAATGACATTTTCTAAAGTAAGTCTAGAATATCCTTTGCATAAATAATGAATGTAGGGCAGTGCGAGAATAGAGGCATCAACTGGCAGGGCTTAAAAGCGCAGATTGCCGACGTGCGCGATTATTTACATTTTTAATGGCCTGTTTATAATCCGAATGAACGGACGGCAATCGCTATTACAGATCTATAGAATAAAAAATTTACAAACCCATTGGGACACGACCGTTTTATTGTCCCTAGCGTAAAATTATCGAACGGACTCTTCCTTTGAGCTTCCGAACTGGGACAATGTGACATAATATACAGCGTTCACGGTTTAAACGCTACCACCCCTTTTAGTCCGGCGGGGCAACCCTTTTTTTTTGAACACGGTGTACCCTCGTTTCGGCGATTTCGCGTGAATCGGTCCCGTATCTGAAGATTTATTACTTGTTAGCCGGATAGACCGTGGAGAATATTTTTAGATTTGATTGGCCCGATGTTCCTTTTATTGGAGTATTCTGTTTTTCCCCTATCGCGTGTGTCCTGCATTTGTGCAGACCGCAGTGTCAAATAATTTTTACGAATTTTGGCCTCCCTCATACCATTAGAAATATATATCACAAACCTTAACTAGTACATTTTACCCATTCCGATGTATGGATAACATATCGCACGAAACCAGTTAGAATTTTATTACAATTTGAAGATCTAGCGATACAAATTATAAATTGTTTTATTTTTAGCTTATACATATTTGTATATATTTATTCGGAAATCGTGAGATGAGGTCTGGTGATATAGGTTTCAGAAAAACATTTTCTTTATCGTGCCAACCTTTTGATCTTTATTGAGATCATCTTCGGGGTCTGGGATTTACAAACATTGTTTAAATTTAACAAATACATGTAGGATGTGAAAAGAAAGAAAAAATTTTTTTTCACATCCTACGTGTATTTCTAAAATTTAAACAATGTTTGTAAATCCCAGGCCCTGAAGATGATCTCAATAAAGATCAAAACGTTGGGACGATAAAGAAAATTTTGTTCTGAAAACACATGCCAAGAAAAATCAGCCAATACTGCCAGTCAGTGCTCAGAATGAGGGAGTAAGGGGCAAGAAAGTCTCGAGGACATTGTCGATTAAGGCGACTTGGCGGGTTCTAGGGATGGGAATTTGTAGAGGCGGTCGAGCATCAGGGTTAGGATGGATCGAGAGGTTGGTGTGAAATTTTTGGATTCGAGAACGGATAAGTTGACAAAAAGAATCTTGAGGTGGATAATGAGGCTAGTGATGGCTAGGAACAATGACTATTTGCCTAAGGACTTTTGGTTGGATGATTTCGATGCGCTGGATGTTGGATGGCTTGGCAGAACCCCACAGTTCCACTCCTTATGTCCAAAGTGGACGCAATATAAGGTTAGTTTAGTAAGACAGATTTCGGTCCTGTAAATCTTCGTCCAAGTTTTCTGTTAAGTTATGTCTCTTAAGTCTTGTGTGGGTATTCCTCGTCAGTCTGTTCTCTGGGTTTAGTCCTAAGTATATGACTTGATTGGAAGTCGGTAACGCTTTGTTGTTGTACAGTAGAGGATAAGGATGTTTTTCCAATGAACGTTCACCAAGTACATTTTCTTCATTCAGTCTTGACATCCACTTTTTTACACCTGTCTACGATAAGATCAAGATGTTCGTGGATGTTGGAGGTACTTGGATAGGATTCGAGTTAGAGGACAGAATTGCAGTATTGTCCGCTTAGGTGGTGATGATGGTATTGGGGTGAGCAGGTAGGCCAGCAAAGATGATTTAAAAGATGGGAGCAAGAATAGTCCCCTATGCACCTCACTCTTAAGCAGCGGTTGTTAGGTAGGATTTCAGTAATAAGGAGTGGTTAGGAAGTTAAAGTTTATAAAGCATGCCCGGCCGCTAGACCCTACCAAAAGGGAGTACTCTTTGTTTTCTAGAGTAGTGTCGACAACTCAGAACCATTGTTGGATTGTAAAATGATGTGGACGGAAGCCGAATTGATGAGAGGGAATTATTTTATGTGTATGTAGGATGGGGATTGTGAGAATCGAGGACTGAAAAAAGAAACAAAGAGGATAAATCTCTAAAGTAAAGCTTTCCATTAACCCTTAAATAAATTTATAGACAGGAATTGAATAATTTATATAGGTTTGCAACCAAAGAATGCTGGGTCTTGTATTTTTTCTAAATCCACCAGAACAATCAATCAATCTGCCATTTATTTTATATAGGCATATGAAGATCGGATGCGACGCTTTGAGGCTTATACTGAAGAATTTTTCGCCTGTGATAAAAACGAACGTCCTGTCCGGCCCTGTTGCCCTCGGCGTCGACATAACAAGAGAAGAAAGGTAAATTTTTTAAGTCTAATAATTTTAGCATTTCTAATTAAACTAGAGAAAACGTAATTACAAATTTATGTAGCCGTAAATCAAAGCAAACATTTATAAACTAGTCAAAAAACGCTAAACGTTGTTTTAATTGGTATATCGTTTCTTTTTAGCAACACTAGGCTAAAATTACAGGATGTTTTATAAATTGTAATTTTTAATGTTTTTTCTTCCAATTTATGAAGTTATTGTTTTTGTGTTATTTTTAAACTAATCATTTGTTTTTAAATCGCGAAAGAATCCTTGAACCATGCAACATGTACATTTTAGAAAAAGATATTTTGGAAATGAGTGGTGATTAGTGACCGTTAATCGATAATTATTCAGAAATTGTGAGATGCGGTCTGGTGTGATGTAGGTTTCAGAAAAACATTTTCTTTATCGTGCCAACGTTTCGATCTTTATTGAGACCATCTTCAGCACTCTCAACACGACACGCAAGAATGGCACAGTTACACAGAAGACAAACACTTTGAGCCCTGAAGATGATCTCAATAAAGATCGAAACGTTGGCACGATAAAGACAATGTTTTTCTGAAACCTACATCACACCAGACCGCATCTCACGATTTCTGAATAAATATTTTGGAAATTTAGATAAATTAGGAATTGTAAATATTGACGATTTGAAGATCAGCAAGGATTAAAAAAATCTTCTGTCTAATAATCTAAACAATTTAAATATTTAATTTTATTGTCAGGACAAGCTGAAATATTAATAGGATTTACGTGCTTTAAAGTAGAGTTTAAATGATTTTAATTGGCCATTGATATGAAGAGGATCAGGATATTGCAGCATGGAAAAACTTTAATAAAAAAAATTTCCTTTTTTAATTTTCAGGTACGAAAAGTGTGAATAAAATGTTTTATAAATACATTAACAAAAATAAATTTAGGAAATTTAGATAAATTAGGCACTGTCAATATTGACGATTTCAAGATCAGCAATGATTAAAAAAATCTTCTGTCTAATAATCTAAAAAATTAAAAATTTAATTTTATTGTTACGACAAGCCGAAATATTAATAGGATTTCTCTAAAGTGCTAGTCAAAGAATAATATTTTCTTATACCATAATAAATTGAAATATAACAAATATTATGGGCTTTAAATTAGAGTTTTAAAGATTTTAATTGACCATTGACATGAATAATATATGGCAATATGGAAAAATTGTGATGAAATGTTCTTTTCCAATTTTCAGGTACGAAAAGTGTATAAAATGTTTTATAAATACATTAAGAAAAAGAAATTTAGGAAATTTAGATAAATTAGTTGCCGACAATACTGACAAATTGAAGATCAGCAAGGATTAAAAAAATCTTTTGTCGAATAATCTAAGAAATTAAAAATTAAATTTTATTGTTTCGACAAGCCGAAATATTAATAAGATTTCTCTAAAATGCTAGTCAAAGAATGGTATTTTCTTATACCATAATAAATTGAAATATAACAAATTGTACATGCTTTAAAGGAGAGTTTAAAGAATTTTAATCGACCATTGATGTGAAGAAGGTCAGGATATGGCAGCATGGAAAAATTTTAATAAAACAATTTTCTTTTCTAATTTTCAGGTACGAAAAGTGAAAAAATGTTTTATAAATACATTAACAAAAAACGTTTTGGAAATTTAGATAAATTAGGCGCTGTCAGTACTGACGAATTGAAAATCAGCAATGATTAAAAAAATCTTAAGTCTACTAATCTAAAAAAAATTAAATATTTAATTTTGTTATTAAAGACAAGCTGAAATATTAATAGAATCCTCTGAAGTGCTAGCCAAAGAATATTTTCTTATACCATAGTAAATTGAAATATAACAAATTTTACGTGCTTTAAAGAAGAGTTTTAAGGATTTTAATTGACCATTGATGTGAAGAAGATCAGGATATGGCAGCATGGAAAAGTTGTGATGTAACTATTTCCTTTTCTAATTTTCAGGTACGAAAAGTGTATAAAATGTTACAACAGCCTTCTTGACATCAGGTCTTTCCTCCTGAAGAGGCAGACGCTTCAGGGTCCGCTCGGCCAGGCCTTCAGGGATCTTCACATCTCACTCCAAACGATAGACTCGAACTAACAAGACTGATTATAAAATAAACACCTCGTACTCGACTAATAACCGTCGAATCCTGCAACTCAATCGGAGTGTAGCCTATTTATATTCCAACTGGTATGTCGCCATCAGTGGAAAATGTTGTTTTGTAAATAACACTTAAAAAATGAAATTGGACTTCACTGAAGTCCCACACTGGAAGAAAATTGTTGAAAACAAAAATGTGTCTCCGTCCTAAATGCCTTTTAAAATTATTACATTATCCCCTTAGTTCAGATATTTTTACATTAAACGAACATTTTTTAATTAGTGCCTTTTTAATATTAATGAAATATATACTAAATTTAACACACTTGTTAACGTAATTACTCGTTTTTTCTCGATAATACGATTCTAAAGAGCATTTGCACATCCTAGGCAATCATAACAATTTGTACAGTGCCATTTATTTACTTTTTATTTATTAAATCAATCATAAATTATTAAAACTAAAATAAAAATAAACAAAATTGTATATTTATGTTTATTATTAATTTCATAATAAAAACATAATTATTACCAAAATAGTATTGTCTTAAGCACGTCATTTATTTTCGACTGGGAATAGTATTTAGCTAATAAAAATTAAATAAAGAATACTTTTTAATCAAATACCTAAATGTAATATGTATGGTAATATTGTTTAACCAGTTAAAAAACAAAAACAAAAAAATTAAAGAAACACTCCTTCCTTTCAAGACATCATCAGCAAGAAGATACTGATAGCAATTATTTATAAGGTATTTTTTAACCGGACATTACAGTTTTTTAAAAACTTAAAAAAAGGAAAACTTATCGATTAGACTGTACTTGGCCGACGTTGCGGTTTTCAGGCCTTGCCGGCTGCGGTAGACCGCAAGAGTATCTGACTTTCCTTCAACCATCTTTGTACCCACTTCCTAGACAGTCTTTCGAAAAAAAGAATGAAAAAGGAAAAAAGGGATCTCTGGTTTTTTTCACCATGGATAGAAAACAAATGAATTCGTTTCCCAGAGATTTTTCGTCGGATGCACTGTTTTGTCTCTGGCATATACATATATGCGGTTGAGACCGATTAGGGCCAGGACGTAGTCGTAGAAGACAGAAGTTTTTTTCCCTACCAATTCTGTTTTCTTTGGTTATTTATTAAAGGTACAACTGCTAAGTAAGTTTAAAAAAAAGCTAAGACAGATTGACGGTTTCGAAATGTTAGGCTTAAATGGATGTCTGGAGGAAAATGCGTCTGACCACATTGTAAGAGCGAAGACGTGAGGACCAGTCATTTTCAACAATTGTTCCGAATTGAAGACACACTTGGTCATGTTTGTTCTTTTGCGGATAGCAAATATAAAAACACAGACGATAAACCTAAAGTTTTAACCGAAAATAATCCACTATATGCATACCTCTTGTCATACTCTTGTCTTTTGCCGTGCAAATGTAATTTTCTATTTTGGTCGACATCTATTAAATAATAAAAAGATATTTAATAAACTATTGTTTAGAAATTTGATTTTACATTTCTAAGAAGTTCATTAGAAAAAAAAACCCTATGAACTTTACTAAATTTAGTCATTTTTTGACGTGAAGATAACAGTTTACAAAAAACTTTTATTATAACAAAATAATAATGGAAACAGAAACTTGCTTGAAACTAGCTTGAAAAATGTTTTTATTTTCTCATCGATTGTGTTTATCTTTAAACCTGCTGGGTATGGTTTTTAAACTGCTCCGGTTGTAATCAAGTCTCATTAAGCGTGTCTTCTTACATAGTACCAGTCAGTTTTCATCAACTTTACTTGACGATAAGCTTAATCATGTTAGTTATTTTGAGGATCTCTAATGTAAATACAAAAAGACAGGGCGAATTTAAAGTTTTTAAAGACGAAGTTCTACAGTAGTAATCTTCGGAGATGTACTCTTGTCTACCAAGTGCAACTGTAATTTCTAATTTTAATACACCATCCATCCATTGAACAATAAACGATATGATTTTTTTCATATCTTATAGATTTTTCATTTGTAAGAAGATTAACAAGAAAAACAATTGAAGCTCCATTTATTTCTCTTAATATAAAATCTAATTTTAAGATTTAGAGGTTAGATTAGGTCCACGAGGAGTCGATCTCTTTATGACCTTGCGCACAGAGATTGGTCTTTTGTTCAACTCAATAATTCTAGAGTTCTTTGTTAACTTGAGGATTTTTACCTGGTTCCAAAGAAGTTAAGGGTTATTTTGTGTTGTATTTTGTCCCAGGAGTAGGAATCTCAGCATAGGTCTTGGTACCGATAGAGGACATGTTCCGCAGTTTCTTCTTCTTCCTAGCAATTTCTGCAAAACTTCTGCTGCTACGGGTCAAATCCTACGGAGTCTGTTGTGTCCGGTCAGCAGGCCTACTATTCTAGTCCTACCCGAAGTTTAGTAGTCTTTTAAAAATATAGGTCTTACAGTATGTTGTTTTCAACTACATTCATTAGTTGAAAACAACAAGCAACTATTGAATATAGTTCAAAGCAACATACTGGAGTAAGAACTATCTTTTGAAAAAATTAATACCCATACTCACCCCGCCTTCATAGTTTCTAGACGTTTTAGTAGTTCTGCCGTTATTTTCAGCGATGGTCCTTTAATGAACATTTTCGCATGCTTCTGTCCTGTAATACGTTCCTATTGAATTGAGGACTTATTGTTAACCCATTTTCTGATGGATCTATAGCAATTTGATATGACGCAAAAGGTTTTAAGCCTGAAATTTCTGTTTTGATGCTAGCTTAGTCACATAATATGATCGAAGTGAGAATGTCCTTTGAGCACTACTTCCCAACAGCTGCAAGACCATGAATGGTGGTTAAACCATTTTCAGTTTCCCAGATCCTAACATTGACAAAGCCCTTGGCAATGTTAGGACTGAGTCGGTCTGAAAGGAAATTTGAGATCGCGTGTAAAAAATTTAAATATGTCAATCTGTAGACATATTCAAGATTGCTTTGCCCTGATGATGACCTTAAAATAGGTCGAAAGCTTGACAGTAAGAACTGAATTTGCTTTTTTCTTTAAGACAATACCTTCATATAGAGTGTTCTTGAGTGAAACAGTAGTCGATATTTCTAACATTGAAAACAGAACCTACTCTGATAGCGCTAAGCTGCAATTCCCAGTATTTTGTGGCCTACTCAAAAGCCTATTGAGTCGACAATGTCCAATTGCAGACTGCTGGTCTGCTGTAGGTTTAGATTCGACTTTATTGGCGAACCCTTCTGCCTGCGTCTGGTAGATATCCCACAGTATGCTTTGAATTGTACTTCATGACATAAAAATTCAAGTGGGTGTAAGCATTTTAAATTCCTTTTGAGGGTCAATTCGAAGATAGTTTATTTTAATACTCCTTGGAAAAATGTGGGAGATTTGACACTAATCGAACAAAGGGCAAGCAGTTATGCGATGATTTATTTAAGCCAGGCAGTAATGAGATTGTATCCAATTCCTGCACACCTCTCACTTGTCCGATTGTTATGATAAAAAAAGAAGAAAAAAAGGGGTCCTTGTACAATAAAAACGATCGGAGGGGACACCCCGGTGGGACCCTCCATATGTTGACAACTCTCTCGTCCCTGCCTGCCTCCCTTCGTCCCATTCAACATGTTTAATGTCATTTTAAAATTATTCCGCCGGCCTACCCCGAGCCCCCCTGGCTTTTTGTAAGTCACCAAAAAGATCTTTGCATTTCCCCACTCTGGGACGTCTTTTTCTTCTGTTATTGTCCCTCGGCTGACGTTTTGGAAAATAAATAACGGCGCGCTGTCCCCGATTCACAAAGTGACTCCATGTGCCTCCTTGTAATTCTTTGAAGACGGCACACGAATAAAGCGAAGAATAATGCGTGTCAGCAGGTTTTCCCTTTTATACTTTTAATTGGATTTAGTCCAGCTTCTATTTGAAATTATTTTTATGGACGACCGTCAATTGTCCACCTCTTTCATTTTTCAACTGCCTCAATTGCTTCAAGAGTTATAAAACTTTGACATTAAACAAATATATAGTACAGAAACGTCAAACATATAAGATTCCAAAATTCAAAATGTAATACTGAACAATAATTTTCAGTGTACGAAATGAACTTTATAAAAAACATTTTTGCAAAACTAGACATAAATTATTCAATATTGTTATTGCTATTTTGCGGAAGAGGCTGGTGCCACCGAAATCGATTTCTTCAATAAATGATTTGATCGAATGGATGTAAATTCTATAAAAACCCCATTAAAAACAACTGAAAACAAAGCACCAACCAAGAAGGAAAAAGAGGAGAATAAAAATTATTGGTATTTTTTCATCAGTACGTTTTTTTATAATTTATTTTTTTATATTTATTATTTATTGTAATCCATAAAAAAAAACAAATATTGCACAAAAGTATATTTACAATTTACTTTGAATTAAGGAAAATTAAGAAAATAGCTGGATAGTGGTTTTGAAACCGATGTCTTGATGGTCTCTCGAGTTATTCGTTTGCTGACACACTTTTTTAGGGTTAAAATGTACTTTTCAATTAATTAACCTTTAATTAAGGTTTTGATTGAGATAAAAAGTCAATGTCACGAGCGGGATTCGAACCCACGACCTTCGGCTGACTACGCCGCTGCCCTACCACCACTTGAGCTATCGTCATGACATATCACGTCGTGGGCGTGATTTAGCCGAAGGTCGTGGGTTCGAACCCGCTCGTGACACTGACTTTTTTATCTCACCCAAAACCTTAATTAAAAATTAATTAACTGACAAGAATTCATTTGGTCAATCGGACCACGAAACCTAATAGATGTTAAAATGTACCTTCAATCTAAGGTTTTCCGACGGCTAATTTACTCATAGTTTTATGCAATTTTCTGTAGAACAGGAAAAGAAATGGTCAACAAGTGCATGAAAGCGAGGATAGGCGGACCGTCTAAACTGCTGACAGCGTATTTGTACACTACATTAAATAAAAACGGGCTTTTAATGCCATGACCAGTTACCAACAGCCCGTAACCGGGGGAAGGATTTCATCAATATAGAAAGAACCGTTCATTCCTACACAATCCAAACAAATCTATGAATTGCATCGTAGCCCACAATTAGTCTGACGTATAATCGGTCGGAATGGACAAAAGCTTATTGACAAGTGTTATTGAGATCTAACGACCTGCTTCTTCCTTTGTGAGGGCGTTTTGATTGACAAGAAGAGAGCTACTTCGCCCCGTTAAATACAAACTGGAATAGAAATCATATAGGACCGGATAGGACGAGCCACATGTTTACCTCTCTTTCGGCCCTCTTCCTTTGTTTTCTTTCTACTGGGCCAAATCGCTTCCTCCAGCCGGATGTCTGATATGTTCACCCTCTCTTATCGGCGTAATGACTGTGAGAAAATAATGAGAAGCTGATAAAATTAAAATATCGTGATAGGATGTGTTAGTAATTTTGGAATGGAAAATACCAAAACTATCCAACAAGATCT